AGTAGCATGCAAGAAATGACAGGTCATCATTTATAACCTCTTAAAGTCAAAAATTGTCTTTAACACAACTATGCTGAACTAATTTCCTCATGTCAAATTAAGCAATAATGAACCCACCCAACACAGTCGCACTTTAGTTATAGTTACATGCCTGTGTAACTTGAATTAATTGCAAGAACAATATAGAGTTTAGATTTGGAAATAAAAGGTTTGGAGAATATGGAAATAGCCAATTGAAGTCGTTCATCTGAAGTGAGTGACTGGTTCGGTAACTTTTCTGAATGGCTCGTAGTCAGATTATATATAAGTTATAACTCAGATTAGACTCTTGTATTCTTCATGTAAATTTTTTTCAAGAATTTATATTGCTTTTCGAAAATTGTCGGTTGTCGTTCTCTGGTGAATATCGCCATTCGCCATGTCATGGATTTATACACGTAAAACTGACCTCTAACAACCTCTAACTGGATACAGGATCACACAGGTTCGGTTCCTTCAGAAAAATTTCAAACCATTCTTTATCAGTTATTGATTATGTTTTTAACTCTGAATCCCCTGATTTTGTTTAACTTTCGCACCAAACAACACATTAAACTACATTTCTATACAACCGGCAATGTATATATGTGTCATAATGTGTGGGTTCTATAAAATTGACAATCACATAGCTACTTTTATTGTTCGAAAATAGCATTTTAGAGACATCATTGAATTTCAGGTGTCGAAAACTGGTATTAATTAAGTATAATGACTGCACGAGCTGTGGTTGAATCAAATTTAGATAACTATCTATAGGCTTTCCTGATGTATACCAATGATTAATTAAATAATTGGCACTGCTGAATGACATGAACAAATTTAATTAATTATATGATTATCAATTTTTTGGTACAACATGTATTATTATTACTACCGTAATTAATACTTAATTAGAGCAATTAGACCAAATTAGCAGCCTTCTGAAAGCTTTCCAGCAATTCCTACAAATTTAAAATTATGTATTGCCGTTCGCCATGCAAGATGACACGACTGATATTATAACTTAGGTATTCATTAAATATGCAATTGTTAAACAAAATCGTTCTGCTTTGATTAGAAACATTCAGCTGACGTAAGTGTTCAATAACGCTATGGAATTCTTTTATTCCATGGCTGGATGCGGTTCAGCCTAGTCCCAAACACACCGCGATTATTGCCTGAGTTGAAAGCCCTGGGAACGAGGATATAGACATGCAAACGCAGCTACAATCGCACGTACGCTCATACCGTATTAATTAAGCCGGTTTTCCACTAGCGATATTTTTCGCGCGAAGCGACTTTATTCCTTTGTATTTGAGCAATTTGTTCCAGATGGTTGCAGTTGAGAGCTCTGGAACAAAAGTAAAATGTCGACTCGCGCGAAAAATATCGCTAGTGGAAAACCGGCTTTACGCGGGAGGATATTCAACTTTCACAAATTTAAATGGAGTCTGTAATTCTGTAAACCGGCGCTGCCGTTGTCAATAACCGGCTCTAGCTATTATAACGGCCTGATTACATAATTTGTAAATGTTTGTTTCTACAGAAAACAGATTTGCAGTGAATGACGTCAAGAAAATAGATCAAACTCTCAAATGATTCATGAAAATATAAAAATTGTTATCATTACAAATGATTTCCTTTTGACTTTGTGCGAATCGCTTTGAGCCAATTAAGCTGAACAAGTGACTGTAAATATCCGCAGTGAAAACTATATTGATTACTGAATCTTTATTAGCTTTATCAAGTACCAACGACGGTAAACTGCATTGTAATGTAAGCTGGATGACGTAACCAACTGATTGTGCCAATGAAAACAGCATTCTTGCAGCAGGTTTGTTTGAAATATCCGACGGAAATTAACATAAGAAGTTTCTCCCGTTAGTTTAAATCATCTTTGAATCGTATTATAGGAATCCCAACACATTAGTTTAGCGGATTAAAGGCCTAAGCACATCGTTAACACTTCAACAGCAATAAACAGTTTTTCCACAGGTTTTTAGTAGCTTAATTACAACTGATGTATTAACTTACATTCTTTGTTTCTTTGGGTGCTGTAGACGCAGATTCAACACGAACCAGGCTCCTGAACTTTTCTTTCAACTTAGAATACAGACTTCAGTGGTCCTCGACTAGCATAATACAAGTTCTATCTTTTTGCTTGCGTTGTGGATACACCACGTGTTGCACAAAAATGAGACTTTAGAAATTCGACTTGTATTCATATTATGAATGGTAATACCAGATATGAAAGCAGTTTATACTACACCCATGGTGCGTGGACACAATGGTATAAACTAATTACTGCTTGGAAGATATTTCAAAGTCATAACTGGTTTCGTTGAACATATTATGCATAATAAAATTTGACTCAATTGTGTTTACACACAATTGGTTTATAGACTTATAGTGTTCAACCATGCATTCACATTAGATGGTATAAATTACTAAAGGTCGAGATTTCTGTCTTTATTCAAAGTGCGTTGGGCATAATAAGCAATAATGAAGCCTAATGAGGTTTGTCAACTCTTTTGTTTGAATTGCATTCGACACGACCAACTAAATAAGTAAACTAGCCTGGTTTTCATCAAGCATGATTCTCATATGTCACCGACGGTCGGCGATGTATTGTTTGTGGCCGTTGACGAAGAAAATTTATACAAAATAACAAGATTTATTCTCCAGTGTTCAGCAAAAATAGCCATCCATCGCCAACCCTTGGTGACATATGAAAACCAGGCTTCACTTGCAGACAGTCGGCGGTCTTTATTGTCGTTTGTAACCGATGCATAAAATGCTTTGTCCGTAAAAAAAAATTCTACTTCATTGGTCGTCGACAATGGATCGGAGTGCGTCGCCGACTGTCTGCGAGTGATAAAAACCAGGCTTCATTAAACAACGTGATTCTCTCTTTTCACGGTATGTCAACTTCGGTCCGGATCCATATTGCAGCCCCGTATCTTGAATAGTTCATCGTTAGCAAACCACTATGGCACAACGTGAAAATGTGACTGATTTTGTTTAAATGAAAATATCCAAACTAGCATTATTATGAAGTGTCCTCATGCTCTTGTGTTTTTTGGCTAAAATTCATGAGTTATTTCTTCTTTGTTGCGTGTGCATCTTAAGTCGTTTCTTTCACCACAACGATAATTGGAGTAAGCCCCCTTGATTACCTATTAAGGGTTTATCCGTTCTGTCCCACCGGGATGGAAAAAAGCAAAGTTTTAACTGATTTTTGTACAATTCGTTCAGAGCTACAGCCGGAACAATTAAGGGATTGAAGGAATTATCCAAGGCTGGACAAGAAAACTTCAGCAGACTACGACAATAATTAGGTAATAGGACAAACTTTCAGTTCACAAACCTGTGAACGTTTTATAATTGCTAATCCAAAACGATGTTACAATCTTGTGAAGCAAAACATGAAAGACCGTGTGTTAATTAACTCGTTGCTGTGGACGTGGTGACTCGTTACAGAGCGCGTGAACCGTCGCGTGGACTGGGAATACGTGACTAGGTTCAGTACACTGGGTGGCAATGAATAAAAATTTCCTTGTTGATTCCGATTCAACTGGGCCGCTGTGAGAGTTTTCTTTGTGTTTACTTCCTTTTCATTGCTGACTCTTAGGTACTGACCATATGAGTCAGACCCCAAAGTGTTTGGCTGACGTTGTTACATGTGCACGACGCCCTGAAGGTGTAGTTGAAAGAAAAAGGGGAAGACGATCGAAGTAACCTAAACGAAAGAAGTGTCTACAACCGTGCAGCACTGAAATTTTTAACTAACCAGACAGCCAGTCAATTACAGCCTGTAGGCATGTGCTATATTTATTGTATATGGCCATGAACAAAAAAGGACTCAAATAGTAGCTAACATGCACGGATACGTTTTAATCGCCGGCGTCCTTAGGGCTGTTGTAAATATGATCTAATTTGTATGTTTCTCATTTCGACGTAAGAAAGGCTTTTCTCTATCCAACATTTAAACCTACAATTGTATCCGCATATCGGCAATATTCTTGCGACATTGTTTTACAAAGAACATCTCCTCCCAGCTAGGATTATAGTATAAAGAACGTCACTTTGTCGCCTGACCTTAAATAAGGTGATGAAAGATGATGCTCTAAACTTAAAATTACGTTAGATTATCGTCGAGATAATTCTCTCCGCTGCAATAGAAGATTTTTTAGGTTTCCTATGAAGTATGAAAATCTTATGATATTATAATCTCACGGCATTTTGGTTCCAGCCTTGCGGCTGCATTAGTATTTGTGATGATTTGATCAACTGATAGCCAGAAAATATTCAACCAAATCTGTCGTCAAAACGATCTGATTTCGAACTTCTGCAAAGCATCAAGTCAAACAAATGTTTCAATATGTTGACATACAATTTCTCTTTACCGCCTGACACTCTGCCAGGATCTGCTTCCTTATCACGCAGCTTCAAACGACCACAACGAGACAATGCGCATTTAGAAATAATCGGAGAAAATTGGTTATTCGAATTAGCTAAATCTCAAGCTTGCTGCGTCACTTTGTGTGGTCACAGTATCTTTAGATCTCGGCCATCTCTGCTTCTGCTCGTGCCAAATTTCACCCTAAAATAAGATGACATACCGATACGAGATGAAAAAATTATACGGCTGCTGCAAAACGCACTTGAAGATGGAATTTGGTTCGATTTAAGAACAGTAATACTTGTAAAGGTGTGCCTGACCACTTGCTACGAGCAGAAAACCACTTGACGTCCAGCCAATCCGTCAGCGACATTCAAATCAAATAAAATGCTCTTGCGCACGGACATTGAGCTTGCATGCGTGTGGTCTTTACCGCAAATAAATAAACAAGCATTATTTAAGCGCTCAATATTCTAATAATGACACACGCCATATTGTAAGTCATTTCGACATTAGCATCGTCCGCGTAACCTGCAACGAACAAGGATTTGAAAGTCAATTGAATTTTTTACATCATCACGCATTACACATCTGGAAGACGTCTGAGTATTGGAATATTAACATTTTTCAAAAATGACGAACATAACTGGTGTGTTTTGTCTGCTTTTCTTTGTTTTTCGAGCTTTTATTTTCTTTACGGAAATTGGTGGAAACAATCTTGTTTTCGCGATTAAGGTATGAACCTTTTCTTAAATCTTTGTTATTTGCACGAATCATTCATATAGCGGTTTGCGTTTATGATGCACCGGAATAACAGTAGTTATACCTGGCTCGTATAGCAAATTATAAACGTTTCGCGGGGTTCATGTTCAACCTTCTGCTATTCCTATAACGCAATATGTTCTCGGTTTGTTGAACATGTAACATGTTGTGCGAATGTGTGGGTTAAACTAAACTATAGGACTGCCCCAATCATTGAAAAATTCCTTCAAAGGCTCTCTTTTCAATTATCTGCCAGGATTTGGTGAATTACCCGAAAGGATCATTAACATCTAGGGAATAGGCAACTGAAAAATTGCATCTGTATATGTTTCGGTGTTTCAAGGTGTTAAAATGTTACAGTAGATTACAGCGCTACTAATCCCCAATAACTGAATTTCATCTCAGTAGATAAAGGTTGACCACATTTAGGTTTCGCAGTATAAAAGCGGTACTTTTTGCAAACTATATAATGCAATTAAATTATGAAATATGATTTCCAGTTTCACTGACAAACTGTCTAGTTGTGGGTAGACCGCCGGTAATCATTAGAGCTAATTTGAAATGTAGAGTAAATAACGATCGTTGACTTAAGAACAGAGAAGTCTGCTCATTTCGGCTTAGACGTAAAGCCATCTTAACCCTTTGTCTCTTTAGATGTTTATCCATTTTGAGTGTAGAGTCACAATTCAACCCATAATATACTCTCAGTGAGAAAATCGTTGTACTACACTTACAAACTATGTACAACTACAATGTTTGTAGTGATCGCTTTTTTTTTTCAAATGAAATTTCATACTGTGTAAGCCTTCCGACTGAACTTCATTCAAGAACAAGCGAAAAAACGAGCAGAATGTTCACAGTATTTAGCACAGCTGTTGCCGATCGAGTAGTTTATTGTATCAACTTTCATAGGACTAAGATAAATGTTTATGATTGATTTACGTTAACGATTTACTTACCGGCAATTGTATCAAAACTGAGCCGCAGTGATTTCTCAAGAAATACAAACAAATCATATTATTAGAAAAATAATGACATGATTACAGAACAAACAAAGAATGAGAATTATGAGATGGATCAACCCTGCTCGTACAACTCACGGTTTGCACGCAGACGAAGCTAATTGGTGCGCATAAATATTGGCATTTTATGCGCAAAATACCGAAACTTTAGGTAACATATAGTTAGAACTCGGACACCACATAAAAAGTTTAATGTGCACAAATAAAAAGTTTTAATTTCTGTGATTACTAAAACGGTGATAAAATATTTTATTTCGGTGAATCAGATCGACGGACCGCAAATATAGATAGCCTCCGAATCTATGTTGGTGAATGAACAATAAGGTTTCTTAAAATGTAACATATTTAAAGCTGACAATTTGTCCGCCTGAGAGTAACTGGGTAACTCGGACAACTCCCAACATTACAACTTACAGTAGCAAACACTAAAATCGCGGGCCTAAAAATTGTTTGACTGCTTGCTATGGCCATGTACACAACACTATGAAATAATCCGTTTTAAAACGAATTTGAACCTCAGAAGACAAACACTAAGTGCATATGACAACACTTGAAATATCAGATGTAACTGAAGCAATTTTAATGGCATATTCGTGTGCGAAGTGAAAAAAATATGGAGTGTTTATAAGTCGAGTGCCTCTACTTCCTATGTAGCCTTTATGGGCAGAAAAAAATCTTCATTGGTATGGAGGGAAACATCTTCATCATGGTATGAATGCACCCGGAGTAATGATGAATATTTCACACAAATTCGAATTCTAAAATGATGGACGCAAACAAACAGCCGCGTATCGTTTGATAATGGAACATGATACTTCAACTGTTAAGATTTCACAGCACATAATTGGTGAATGACCACACCTAGAAATTCCCGAAGAATATATTTTATGCGTGATTGTCATATTGTTTCTTGGCTATTTTTTGTTTATAAGACCGAATTTCCCCTCTTTATCTCAGGAGTCAAACAGGCGTTCGGGTTTTTCAATCAAACAATCACGGAGTCAAATTTGAAATTTAAACAAATAAAATTATTTCAAGCCTCAAGACATATTTTAACTTTTCAGTAGCAATATGTGCATCACGTTTCCTGGTTTAAAATATCATGTAGACTAAACGACTCTTTTAAAGCAATTACTTTGTGGAGATCCCACAAACCTAAAATAGCTTGAGGTCCACAAACAAAGTTATTTCAGGCCTCGAGACATATCTTTACTTTTCTGTAGCAAAATGCGCATCAAGTTTCCTAGTCTAAAATATCATGTAGACTAAACGACCCTTTTAAAGTCATTTATTATGTGGAGATGCCACAAGCCTGAAATAGCTTGAGGTCCATTCGACATTTGAATTGAGCATTTAATCGCATATGGCATTCATGATTGCTTCGTACTGGAGGAAAATCATCCCAGCGTGATATTAACCCTTTCAGTTCTTGCCATGTGTTACTAATAGAATGTCAGAAGCAATGATTGTAATTTTTGATTAAATGTTATATCTATTCAAGACATCCGCTATACACTACATTTTGGAGAGCACATTCAATATTAATCCATCTAACACTACCTTCTTGTGTGGTCATCTTGAATTTGCCCATATATCTTTCACTCAAACTGTTTGTGTTCATTGCGCTAATTACCATTGATATAGTCGTTTATTAGGCGTTGAATTACCGCACTCATGCACGTTCGTCAATTTACAGAACAAAAACTATAGAGGGCTTCCACAAGGCTGTCTGGTATGTTATAATGGATTGGCGATTGTGAATTAATTGCGCTATTGAGATTATGATTGTGTTAGCTGAAAACTAAGGTCAGCTGACAATAACGATCAATTTAAAAAGAAAGACGTACCGAAAAATAAATGCTACGTTGAGAATTCAAAATCACCCTGCTTACATTACATGCAAAGTAATTCAGATTTGACAAGGGGTAACTCTAACCCCGGTATACGTTTTTCGCGTGAAAACCCGTTTAATTTAACTTCGAAGTAGGCCGACGTTGGTTGAAAGTATTTGCATATTCTATATAAAGTCCGATATGTATGTACACATATTTTTGGTTCGAAAGAGATGTTTAGAAGTGGAAAACCTTTGTTTAGAAAAAGACGTTTAGAAGTGAGAAGAATTTGAGATTTAAAAACGTCGCTCAACACAGTCGAGAGCCTCAAAGTTTTTTTTAAAGAATAAATGCCCGACAAAGAAACAATATACAGATTTATAAACACACTGTATTTCGCAGCCAACAGGCTTGGTCAAAAAACTTTTTATTGATAAACATGCCAGTAAATACGACATTGCTCGTTTTTAAGCCACGCAACCATCACATTCATCAATTACACGTTTATTGACCAAGGTTTCCTGTGGCTGTGGAGAAGATTCTGACTTTCGGCGCTTGCTACAGCTTACAGTACAATGGTGTCCAAATCATGATATCATAATATCATAGAGAACAAAGGGGTCCATCTCACTTTCGTCGGCAACAATTGCCAAATTTATGTCATGTTATTATGTCCTGATCTTTTATCACTCTTCGTCTTTACGCGTTTTTTAATTTATGTCCAAAGATGAAATTCATAAAGAGAGGTAGTGATAAAAGATGGAAGAAATTAACTGATTACGAAATGGAGAGTTTGAATAAGGAAACTACGAGGAGGTCTTTTTAGAATCTTAAAGACCCCGGTGCACAACCTCAAAACAGAAGTGATGAAAAATGACGTTTTTTAAAACTATGTGTTTAGCAGTATTCATACAGTAACGCACTGATAAGAATTTGTTCATAACTTCGATAACTTGTTGTGATGTGCTAGAAGTTACTATCGCAAGGAGATATATATAATCTCCTTTTGTAAGTTGACGTATTCTGACAATTACGGTAGCACATTCGACTAAGTAATGTATTAGAAATATGTGCACGATTATGGAATATTGCAATAACTGATGAGAATCGATTATATGAATGTCGGTTTTGTCAGAAAAACAACGCTTCGTTGCAACCAATACTGGAAACTCCCATATTTCTATCCCCAGTGCCACCAGATCGAAATTTGCTTGAGACCCAGTATCAATAGATCGAAAAATAGTTGTTCAAAATCATTTTTTCAAAACATTTCCCCCTCAAGAATTAAACTTTCGCGAAACAAAAACAATTGCAATTTGCTGTTAAATAAAATACAAATGCCCTTATTTGCATGGACAACATAACTGAAATCACTGACTCAACTTGGGTAACTGTCTTCAGTAATCCTCGTGTTAATTAACCTTTCTTTGTTTTTAAGGCAAGAAATCGAGGCCGCCATTTTTCTAACAGCCAAGGTCATGAAGTCAGGCAAAGAAGTAAGATTATTTTAATAATTGAATAAAAAATCAGCAGACAGATGAGGTAGTTGTATCCTCGATTTCAGGCTCGATTTCATATAGTCGACTATTTTACAATATGCAATTATGAGTAATCACGTAAATTACAACTGAAAACTCGGCCTAACTCTACACATATTTTGCAGTGTGCACGTCATATTCATGTTTCACTATAGTGATCAGATCAGTCAATCCTGCTTAACAAGTTAGTAAATGGTTCGTAAAAAGTTAAATACAAAACACCTTTATAAAATAATGGGGGAAGATATCTTTGAGGTGATTTAGTATAGTAAACCAATGAGTAAGGCATTCGTGAAAATAGGAAAAGGGTAGAAATATTAGAGGTGATAAATGGATCAGCTCGTCTGCTACACCTCCCGGGTAGTGTTAGAATAACTTTAAACAAAACTTTAGAATAACAACGGCAAACTGTAAGATTTCCCTGTCTTCCATGACTCCGACATTGTGTCGTGTGCTTTTGTTGTTTTAAACAGGCAGGATATCTATTATTCATGTGGTTTGCCCACCAAGTTATAATGACTTAAAGTTCGTCAAGTATTATTCACCAAACATAAATATCTCTCGCACAGAGATAGCCAAGTTCATCTATATAATCTTGCACGTGCCTCGCACATGCAACAGTCCAAGCGAAATTGTTCGTAGCATAGAGTTCCATACACCATCATGCAAGTTAGCATGCATGACTAGGATTTTAATCTATTTATTGCCATTTTTGTGGGGGTGGATATGTCATCATATACCACGCAGTTGGGTCAACGAAATAGACATAGAAGACATGGTGTTTTAAATTTTGTAAATCTGCTGGTAATTGAGTTTCAGAAGTTTTACTCAGGTCACACCAGCTGTGATGATACTCCTGTCTCAAAAACGCATCAGAATACTATAAATAATGGAGATTTTTATGCAAATATCTCTATACTGCGGAAATATGCTCATGCCGTGTAAATCTCCGGACTAAACCATGCGCGGTTCCAAATTTGGTTTGATGAACTCGCATTTTTAGCAGGCATATCTTTGTGCCCTATAGATTTACCACAACGTGACGTTAACGGTCCATTCACGCAGAAGTAGAATTTGAGGTTAAAAAAATGCAAAAAAATCCATCGAACTGATGTTTGCGGGGGTGCATAGAGAGCATTAACTTTAACTTTATACTGCAACAAGAAATCAAAAATGTTAATGTATCAGCAGAGCAAAGTATCACGTATAGATATTGTGCAGAGTGTACGCTTAAAATATGATGGTGTTCAGAGTCCAGTTATTTATTCGCCTAAAGTTTGAGAGTTTGTTAACAGCGTTTAAGGAGAGGCATCTTCCATAACATCCGCTTGGAACCATTCACTTTATTTGCCTAAATAAACTTGATTCTGATTGTTTCCAACGCTTCCAAGACTCGAGGCGCCATCTGTATACGACTGTATGCAGCTACTCAGTACCCATATGGTGATAATACATATGAAAGAATTTATTTTTGTTATTATTTACGCCTTAACTAAACAATAACGCTTTGTCTAAAAGACATAACGAGTTATAACGGCGCCATGATGTCGTCATTAGCACAACTCACAAAGCTAATTTATTGAAATAACTGTCGTATGGTGACTGTATAAACTCTCATGTTTTTCTATATTAACTGATCTGACCATCAATTTACTCTACTTTATCACTGAATCTTTCGTTATCTTTTATCAAACGGGTTTAACTGCCTTTATAATGATGCTTACTTATGGGAGAGATAAGTCTAGTAAGATTTTGGGAGTAAAGTAAAATACATTCTAGCTGACACTAACAAGTTGATCAAGTGACTCCCGTGTGTCAAATCACTTGGTATTGATACACAGTAAATCTTTCAATGTACACGAGGTTTTTTAAAGAATCTATGACCTATATATGTAACATTAGTTACATAACAGCATTCTTCAATAGATCTTGAGCTACAGCAAGAAAAATGTCATAAAACCAAAGAGGTGTGGTTGAAATAATCACAGTTCATTTATAACAATTTCAGAAAGCAAAAAAAATTGATATAGTTGTTTTCACTATTTTCCCACTCTTCAAACGTTTCCAGGCTTCAGTTTGACGTTCATCCTTCTCTTTTTAAAACGTTATACTTCCTTTAAGTACACTCTAACTTGGCATGAAATAAAAGAAGCGGTATGTATCTACTATCTGGGGTTACATAAAAAACGCATTCTCTTTGTGATGACAGTAACTGTGAAGGAATGTTAAGTTCTGAGTACATTTTAACATCTAGTCCTTCTGCCCATGCTCAACGCTTGTTGACATAAATACTTTTCAAGATGATTTGTTACTTTGATCAAGTGAAATCATCCATTGTTTTGAGATAATTTGTCGCCTCTTTGTCTGTCTTACACTACAGCAATAAGATAAACCACCCCTTAGAGCAGTACTAAGCCAGAGCTTAGCCATAATGAACTAGTCAGTCATTTGTCAAAATTTTAAGTGCAAATAAAAGATTAGAAGTCCCCTCAAGGACCTGGGGGACTGCTTCTCAAGTGTTGTTATACGTAAAAAACCCCACTGGCTTTCGAAAAGTTGCTTGATTATACCATAAAATTAACTTTCTGGGATGAAACTTCACCCAAATGTTGTTCCTGACTATATTACTATTGTTTAAAATTTTACAGAGGGAAAACCGATACAATTTAGTGTCCTGAAAAACACAACAGTTCATATTGGTAGAACCGCTGTATTTCGCTGTGTAATCACGGGCTCGCCATCCAGGATAAGATGGAGACACGATGGCAGGAACATACCGCATTTGCAAAGATACCGTACACGGTCATATTCCTGGGGAGGAGTCTTGAGAGTGAGAAATGTGAGAGTGTCGGATTATGGCGTGTACACATGTAAAGCAAGGAATAATTTTGGCCAGATGACGTCAAATAAAGCTTATCTAAGAATAAGAGGTTTGTCTTTTGTAAATTTAATCAGTAAAATAATAGAGTTACTTCACCAAGAATTTACCGTCACAGGGCAACAAGTTATAAAGAGATTTGCATCTTTTCAGTTGAGCTCCATTTTCAATCTTCTCCTTTATTTTTCTATAGGTGTTAACCCACGTCATCGTGAAAGGTAAAAATAGTTAAATATCATCGTGATGATGTTATATGGTCGTGATAATCAAATTTCACTTTTTTTGCATAAAAAAACCATTTAAAAAGCATATGCCTATTCTATTTACAGATGCGAAGCATACACTGGAAATCTGTGCTCGAATCACGTTGGTTCAAGCCAACTGTTTATTAAATTTGGTCAGACTCAAAGGGACACAGAGAAAAAGATTGAGGACATTTTCAGAAAAATGTCTTCTTATGTGTCATCGAAATGTAAAACTCATCTTCTTCCCTCACTGTGCAAGTATTACTTTCCACCTTGTGCACCAAATAGAAAGAGACCCAGAGCCGTTCCGATATGTCAGAAAGACTGTATGCATTTGGAACAAGACGTATGTCAATCAGCATTTATTATTGTTAAAGCAATATCGGGAAATTTAAGATTTCAACTTCCAACATGCGGTAATCTACCTCCAGCTAACTCAGACAGTTCACCAACTAACTGTCAAAGAATATTTTCGTCAGGTGAGTTCTGTGAAACAAACTGCACAAATTCTTAATCGATTAAGGTGCTTTTTACGTGGTCATGTTTTTGAATTTTTTTATACTCTTCTTTTCAGAAGTCAGATCTAAAGCATTAGAAAAATCACAAAGATCGAGAGGTGAAAACCATGCCGAAATACTGAAATCACTATTTACTATCGTTAGTGGAATACCACACGATACCGAGGCAAGATCAAGAGAGGCGAAGAAAAGCAGGGATCCTGAAGTAAATGTGGACAGCGTGAAGGAAATTGACGAGCAATACAAGTACGTTTTACCCATAGGATATAGTTATCATTATTTGCTTTAAAACTACAAAAGTTAAAATCAGAGACTCAAAATATATCAAGGTGTTTTTCCACCAGCCAGGCAGATACGTTTATAATAAAAAAATAAGGAAATATATCGATTTTATCCCGACTTCTGACCCTCGGCATCCGACAATTCCTAGTCTCGTAAATATCATAATCAGTATTCAGTGATGCCCATTTTATTTTCCAGAGGAACATGCGAACCGTATACAGGGAGTGTATGTTCAAGATACATCGCACCAGGAAAGATGATCTTCATCTTAGAAAACCATACTCAACGAGGATACGAAAGGAAACTAAATCGTAGTTTATCTGCAGTAATACCTCTCACCTCAAGTAAATGTCGTAAATTTGCTTTGAAGGCTTTGTGTTATTACTTCTTTCCACCCTGCATCCAGAATAACACAACACCAAACCTTATCTGCCGTAAAGATTGCGAAATACTCGAGGCTCAAATTTGTTCGAAAGAATTTCAATATGCCAAAACGATGCCAATTGGAGGTGAAATAATCCCGGAGTGTGTGAACTTGCCAGAGAAACAAGAAACCTGTTTAGAACTCGGGATTTCTGGTAAGTGTTCCACCTATTCAACGCGGTTTAGTTCATTGTCATCTGCCGTTATTGACATCTCACTGTTATCCTCCTTCCGTAAACAATGAAAACATACTTCGTATAGATTGCATTCCCGGCCTTTTGGGAATTTTCACTTTTATGGTATTTTCATTTTAGATGAAATTGTAAGGCCTGACCCAGAATGCTACGGAAATCGTTACCGAAAGCGAGGTAAAAAACCAAGTTGATTTTTCAAGTATAAGATTTTGAACCGAAATGTTGGAAAATGCGAGAAATACGGCCTTGCAAAGTTTTGTGTTTTGTTTGACTCACTCGACAGCTCGCAATTTAAAAGAAGTGAAAGGGAACACCATCAATTTATAATAAACTGATATTTTTCTAGGTAAACCTATTCCACAACGACCACTTAAGTTCAAAAATTCATCTGACTGGTGCGAACCTGAATATCAAGAGATCACATCACTTCCAGGTTTTGTAAAACGACGACTCGGAAATATTGTTAAGAATATATCAATAATGAATGCTGGTGAAATGATGGTCGGGAGAAACATGAAAAAGTATTGTATTCATATACAGAAGAAAACAACACAAGAATTTTTTAATGATTCGTATATGAGAACTGTTGCTTTACCAAACATGCTTCATCCAAATCCGGACAGGCAGTTATCTGGAATAGTAGTGTTTGTGAAAAACAACATATCCTTTCAGACTGAAGTCCCTCTTGGAAAATTGTCTGTATATCAACCACACAAGTATATAGAACTCTCGAATGTTACGTTTTCTTATCGTTTCTCGAGCACTCATAACACATTCGTGGGTCGTGGGGATTATAGACTATGTGATTCAAAATTTAAGGTAGAAATTGAAAGAACACAAGAAGATAATGTACGTATTCATGGGAAATCATCTGATCCGGTTGATGTTGATAAAATTGAACTAACATTTGGGATGGAGCAAGCATCGGAAAGAATGTTGAAGATTTTAAAAACATACGGAGTATTTTCATTGCGAATTATGAGACCACATCTTGAGATGTTCCTCAGTAAGACAGTGAGCGCCAAATTCTCTGGACTTTCCTTCGTTGAGAAGTTTAAAACAAATGCCAGAACAGAAATATTCGTCGGCAAATTATACAAGAAGTATTTGTTGACTACCGGAATGATTTTTAATGGAGTACCGTTAGGAAAATTTGTCTCATCCTTCAGTGGAGTCTATCTGAGGTGGTTGGACGTGCTTCAAGCAAACGACGGAAAGAACAAGGTCAGGATATACTTATTTATCGTCTATGAACATAATAAACTTTATGAATTATGTTGGTTAAGCCTAGCTCTCATATGTCGCCGACGTAGTGGGCAGCGTATTTTCGGTGGCAAGTGAAGAAAATTTATTCAAAACGAGGACTTCATGTGACGACAATGGTTCTATACTTTATAGGAACTTATAAGATTAATAGGACATAAAGTACATTGTTCTTTACCATTCTGCTTGCAAGCCCTACTGAGCACAAGGCTCGGTGTGTGCACTCAAAAGAAGCGTTTAACCCGAACCTGTAAAAATTCTTTGTATTTTAGATTGGTCTTTCATTATCTGCACACCATGTGGATCTAAGCGATATTCCATTTATGACTTACACTTCGGAACCTCTGGCCTCCGCTTTTAGTACAACTATCCCCAAGGGACTTTATATGGCTGCATTGACCGGGACGCCAAAAACGTGTCATGATCATGACAACTTTTGCCAGTTTCTTCAAATAGTCCTTGGTAGAGACAAAGAATTCATGCTAACGGGCGAGACAGGTTGGCAATGGGCTCACTTCAAGGCTTCCATTCAGAATCCAGCCATGTCACAACAGTTACCAGTGGAAAAAGTAAACATTGAAATAAAGGTAGGATGTGTTCCAATAACAATGAACATTTTATCCCAACAAGTGAATTCACAGATCAATGTCTATAATTACCATAGGTGAAACAAGGCGGATATCGTTTTTAGACCGTTTCAGCCATCAGAATTAAAGTAAAGAACAGTCTCTTATTCTAATTCTAACCTGCTCTTTTTACATCTTAAGGGAAACAACAAAACTGGTTTGTTATTTGGAGTTCAACCTTTCCTGACATACAAAGTTAATGGTGACCTATTAGCTTCAGATGAGAAAATAAAAAGAATAGTTTTCACTGGAACATTATATTACAGCACTTCTGGTCGAGAGCTGGAAGGAAGATTGAAAACTAATGCGGTTTGGAAGAATGCATTTGGTTATCCTCAGCTTACTTTTAAACGAATGTCAGCTGGGTAAGAAAATAAGAAAACCAAGAAATTATGATAGAGATTAATTAAGAAACCTGCTATTATTAACTCGCCACTGATCTGTATAAGATGGTAGCTGAGCAAATCCATAGTCTTATGTCTATATTTCTCGTTATTTTGTGTAGAATATCTGTTCGCCTCGTGAGACCTCATTTTCCTAATAAACTTGAAACAAGAGGAGATTTCGAAATTGGTTTACACTGTAGTAAAGATGAGTACGAGGTATGCATTACTTGTCTGCAATATGCTCAACGTTGCCAGTGAACGAATTGGAACCTGAATTTCCTCACCCCTAATGGCAGAGTATGTACTATGACCAACGGAAGTCTTGAAATATTCTTTTCTACGTTCATTATGTGTCAGCATCTTATAAAACAAGACTTTCAGAAAGCTTAAAAAAAGCCATGAGCGAGTGAAATGGGTATAATGAAAGATAATTTCACCAGATACGTACTGAACGAACCAATATCTTCCTATTTTTAGAACGAGTGTATTACTGGAACAGCGTTTATTGGAATGTCTGATGAAATAAGTGAACGGTATTTCCATGGTATTATGTCACGTTTTACCATTCAAGATATTCTTCGTGTGCATGGAGTACGTTCAACTCTACCACCACCTATTGCAAACATTGGTTTTCCTGAGGGACTTGAGGTATGAGATACTATTGTTATACTTGTGAAATATGTAATAAAAAAACTCTTGTCGAGCATTTTATAAACACACGAGAATTTTTATCACCCTGAAAACCGCTAAGAAATCACCAACCTCTGTCTTTGACTGAGGATGAAAAGTTGAAAACTAGTTGAAAATTCTCTCTAAATGAATACTTCTCGGGATGATTTCAGATAACATTTGCAAAACAAATTCACAACTTGGAGGGCATTGGAGGACCAATAATCAAACCAGGGTTTACGATGAAAGGAAGAATACGAGTACTGGGGCTAGAAAGCGATTGTTCTGTAAATCTTAAACCCAATGAGGTAAAGCCTGGATATAAAATATATACAATTGCATTTATGCATATATGGAGTGTTTCCACCATCTTATTGATACTGACTACGCCACTGGTGGTGCATGTCATTGCCAGAAATCGCTGACATGGAATGTGCAGATTGATATATATATATATATATATATATATATATATATATATATATATATATATATATATATATATATATATATAACTGTATTCGTATCAATTACTAGTTTATTGTTGATGCCGATATCAATGGAAAGAAAGGTCCTATTAAACTTGGTGGAGTAACACCGCTGTACAGATCAAGACGTGACCGGAAGAACGGACCAAAGTTATATTTAGAAACGCGATTCTCTCCAAAACCTTATGTCAAGGTTAGTAAAAATCAAAGGAAAAAAAACATGTAATCATACTCCCCCGCTGACGTGGTGTAGAATCTAGATTGTTCTACCACTTTTCTCAATCATCTTCTCTTGTTTTATGCTTATGTTCAAAACTTCACCAGATACTTTGAAGTATACGTACAAAATGTTTGCCATTTTAAAATCAGAATGCTCAATTCAGCGCTTATATCTTCTTTATATAAAAATAAACCAACAAATGTTTTCGTATGCCTAGGCCCACATTGATGGCTACACACGAATATTTGGTATTTTCGACGAAATCCGTATTCTGATGACAAGAAGATATTTCACAATACGTATGGTCACGAGTATCTTCCAGTCTTTCAAAGTTCGTATTAACGTCGTAGCCAACTATAGCGAAGATCTTAGCAGAACACATTTCAAAGCCAAAGTTATCTTTGTTGGCGGCCTAGCGAAGGTAAAAGAAACCTCCCTTATTAACACATGCTCCAATAATTTTTTTCTCGATTTTTACCGTCAACCTGAAAAGACGGATGGAAACAATCTAAGGCCCGTTTCAAACGTCGAACTTTCCATGTGCCGAAATGAATGCAAATAAACTTTGACAAAGAACTAGGTTTACATCGACGTCTGAAACGAGAAAGCAGCTTACTGCAGCTTTACATCTACAGAATGAATACAATATTTTCCTAGCAAGTTTGTTGAATGTAGTTCTTGTTTGTTTTTACTTAATAGTTAACAAGAGCATCATCGAAACACGTGATGCAAATACTGAGAAATGAGAAAGAGAAATTGCAAACAGCTCGAAAAGAGATGAATGTCATAAAATCAGAATGCCAGTTGGACAGTAAAGCACATTGTGATGTCTGTTTAAGATCGTCTACGTGCAGCAGCAAACTGGATTCATGTAGACAGAAACTTACATTGAATGAAAGGTTAGAGTATTCACGAAGCTCAGCAACCCACTTTTGCCAACGAATTGTAAGAAACAATTGTCAGCTTATTGCTGATGATTGCAAAGCTGTTTGTCAGAATACCACCGAGACAAATCATTCGTGTAGAACGCTTGGTCAATCGCAAAAGACAATCGAAGATATGAAGCGAAACTTACTATGGGTTAGTCAAGTGAAAGCAATATTCACTAGTGGTTTATGCCAAGTGCACAGTATTATATTTGAGACAAAATTAACACCGGACTATATTGGAGATATTTACGTCAACGCAAAACTCGATATTACTATATTTGGTCAACGACAGAAAATTGATGGAGTTAGATTAAGATTTGGCCAGTTTGCTCGATTAGCCGCGGACATAGCCAGAAATGCGGTGGAATGGTACAGAAAGACAAACACATGACGTCATTGATCAATACAGGAAAGAACTAAGAAATCTGAGTTCCCAAAAGGCCACTCATGGATGATATTCGCAACTGCATGAATCCCACCAACAAGGATGTACTTTTAAAAGTAGAAACGTAATGTAAAAATGACGATGATATATATAAGGTCTTTAGTAAGAACGATGCGATCCCGTCGGGGTCACTAATAGTCACCCTAATAAGAGACTTTGCAGGGGGGGGTGGCTACTATATACTGGACTATATGTGTAAACGAATGGTGTACATTGCTATTCCCAAATACTATACGAAAATCTCCAGTAGTCAAGCAGAAATGACAGTAAAATACTAAATAATTATATTGATACTCGAGAGTCAGAAGAGAGTAGCCTTGGCTAAGACTTTAACTAATACTACCCTTTTACACTAACCATATTTAAAATACAGCGCTTGGTAACCAAGCTTTCTTATTTAGTGACCTTCACCATAGTTTGCAGTTTGGAACTTTATGTGAACATTTAAGATATAAGTATATGTCGCAGGTTAAATGTTTATAGTTGAATAAGAATCATCAATAGAGACATAGCCTTGAAACTCAGTAGAAGTTGTTCATGATTTTAGAAACGTATGGACAGTGAATAGAACGATGCCTTAATAGGGGAGATTTTGTGCACGGTGAAGTTGAATCAATCCACCTGACGTCATCAGGGAGAGCAATAGAAATAAGATAACACGATTTCGACTTACGGGCTATTGTTTGGAGTATTGTCACTGTGGATAGTGACCAAACGTTTAACGATGAAATTGCCAATCATGTCAACATGAAGGGAGGGGGGGGGAGTGAAACTACTTTTTCTGCTATAGCAGGGGAAAAACGAGGAATTTGCATTGTTCACGACACAAGTTAGTATCTGGGGCCACGCCAGTTGTATGAAAGCCGGATAGCGCCTTCCACCAGATAGTGTTTTTTCAATCTCCTCAAAATCGCCTGTTGTTTGGTATAACTTCGATTAAATCTTAGTATTCCTAAATTAAGGATCCCCTCTAACGATTGTTGGTTTCAAAGCTGAAATTTTATTGCTCTTCAAGCGGATGAAAAAATCACTATCCCGTGGATAGCGCTATCCAGCTTTCATACAACCGATCCCTGATTGTTTGTGCTTAAACGGTGGATAAGTTCAAAATAGAAAGCAAGTCTATCTAGTTGTTTCTATATCCTATTTATAATGAAAGTAACGAACATTGTTAATGTCATTGGTTCAGTGACTTTTATATATACATGACTAAAGCAAAAATTTCATTTATGTATTCTGAATCCTGTATATAGATATATTATGAAAAAAACAAGTGCATTTCAGTTTGCACTTCAATTTATAAACTTCATATTAATATTGTGTTACAACTGGTATTGTATATAACTAACGTTACAAACTTTCTCGTGAGGTATATATGCAACATATCATATACTCCAGAACTCGACTAGGCTATATAGGCCCGATTTATTGGCACGATACAGCTAAAATGGGTAACCGTACCAATTCATCCGGCGCCTTTCCTATATTGGTAAGTTAGAGCACGGATAAACTTGGGTCGCAAATCAGTACATAAATCTACGAAGAGTGTAAGGAACGACTTATACGGTTGTAAATTTTTAGAAACGACTTATACGGTATTTTACACTTATGAAGTATTTTACATGCCTGCAGAGTATGGCAGTATATAGTGCATCAAAGATATTCCTCTGCAACTTCAGCCGACGACAATCACGACATCGTTAGGATAATTATGCAAAATGAAAGTAGCTAAAAAAACAGGCTCATGAGTCTGGACAGTGAACAGAGCATTAATTAATTACATTATATAAGAGATTTTTCAAAGAAATTTAAAATTTCGTATTCCTTTCCTGCATCGTCATTTTTTAACGACAGATCCCTGAACAAAATTTGTGATGCGCAATCAACGAGCGATGTATCCACGACGGGAATGAAAATAAATGTTTCCCCAGGGTGTTTTTGAATAGCATTTTCCAACTGCCTGATGAGATGAATTTTAAGCAACTCTTCATCCAGGGTGTAGCACGCAGTAAAATATTGAAGACATTTCTCAATTGGACCCCAGCGCGAGTGACTTAATGATTGGACGGATTCACCAGAATAAGAAGTGAATATTGTGTCACCATCCTTGAGCAAGCCTTTGGGAATGTTAGACGCAAGAGCCTTGAACGGTTGCCAATTTATAATGAACAAGGTGTTACCAAACTTTCCTTGATTTAGGAGACATTCAAACTCAGGTTTGCTTAACTGTTTTAGGGCAGTACAGCGATGAGTTGAGAGGTTTGCAAGCCGAGAGCTCATTTCTGATTCGTTACCCTCCACGATACAAATAAAAAATGCAACTTCGTGAAATAAAATGTCATCTGATTTCTTTTGCATTCCCAGACGTTCTACACTTTTCGAGATTACCGTGTGCCTCTCAAATTTGACTTTTGGGAAATTCTTTCTCACAAAATTGCGACATTCTTGAATCAATCTCTTACCAATTCCTTGACGACGATATTCGAGATGTACACGAAGAGATTGAACAATAGCCGTTTCACCATCATCGATAATATGTATAACTCGCAAGCCAACAGTTTTACCATCTTTCTCTGCGATCAAAATTCGTCGATTTGGGTCATCTAAATAGTTCAAGAATTCGCCTATGAAATAATCAAGACCTTCATAGACACCCTTAGACATTTCTAAAACCGCTGGAAAGTCAGATTTATCACCAAGACGAATATTGACGTTGGCCATTTCTAGCAGTCTGAATTGTATAAACCTTTGTTGTTTGTGACCTAGTCGAGGAACAGGCAGCAAAGCTAAAAAATAAAATGTGGTATAGGTAAGCTAGCTTGGAATTGCCAATGCTATCTATTGACAAATCAGCCGTACTTGCATCCCGATATGATGCAAATACAACTGAAATATATAAACTTACCTTACTCACACACAACGCAGATAGAATGGCCGACAAGAACCGAACCATAACCAATACGTGTACCCATTGAGTAACTGAACCATAACAAATATTTTACGTGTACATTATTATGTCTGTCTGTCCGCAGGCTATGAATTAATATGTCATTATCTTTTATATATACATGACTAAAGTAAAAATTTCATTTATATATTGATAAAATGAATCATGTATATAGATATATTATGATAAAAACAAGTGCATTTCAACTTGCACTTCAATTATATATTAATATTGTGTTACAACTTGTAATGTGTATAACTAATATTATAGACTTTCACGTGAGGTATATACAGGGTGTATCAAAAAAAAGGTAATCCAACTTCAACACGCTATTGTACGTGAACTACTCAGTCTATGAACGAATTTTTTTCACATTCGGAAAGATCAGGCTTTTAACTATCGGATGACATGTTTTTTAATACCAAATGGTGAAAAAATGAGCAAATAGGAGGCTGATAAAAAGTGTTAGTCAAAATGCATATTTTCACCTTTGAGCCTAATTAAAGCAGTGCATAACAAATGAAAAAAACAATTAATCACAACATGTCACAGCTTGCACTGGTTTTATGCCGCATTGCTTAGAATGTTCTCCTAATGTGATTTATTCCTACTTAATATGAATATGCGGGTCGCTTATTCAAAAGCAAAATTCTTCATTTAAATCCCAAAGAGATTTCATTTTCAATGGTTTTAGTCCCAACTCTCAGAGGTGAAAATATGCGATTTTGACTAACACTTTTTAGCAGCCTCCTATTTGCTCATGTTTTCACCATTTGTTATCAAAAACATGTCATTCGATGGTTAAAAGCCTAACCTTTCGGAATGTGAAAAAAATTCGTTAATAGAATGAGTAATTCACGTACAATAGCGCACCAAAGTTGGATTACCTTTTTTTTGATACACCCTGTATAATGCGGCATATTCCAGAACTCGACTAGGCTATAGGCCCGATTTATTGGCACAATGCAGCTAAAATGGGTTTCTGTATACCTATTTTATACGGCGTACTCGGCCTTTGTTATATCGGTAAGTTAGAGCACGGATAAACTTGGGTCGCAAATACAGAAATCCACAAAGAGCAGCCGATTTTCCACTAGCGGTATTTTTCGCGCGAAGCGACATTTTACTTTTGTCTCAGAGCTCTCAACTGCAACCATCTGGAACAAATTGCTCTAATACAAAAGAATAAAGTCGCTTCGCGCGAAAAATAACGCTAGTGGAAAACAGGCTTAAGAGGAACAACTTATACGGTTGTAAATTGTTAGAAACGACTTATAACTAATATTATACATTATAGTAGCATAAGCAATTTGATTGGCTAATAGTTCACAGATAAATCGCGCAATCACGCAAAATTCAGTTATCTGCTAGCAGAGTGAGCCTGCGGTGGTTATCAAGCGGTATCATTTGAATGTATTTATGTATTAATCAATTATGTTGCTATTAAATAAGGTTTTTCATTCGTCAACAGTCAACACTACGTTTACTACCCCTCAAATGTATAATAAAACAATTATTGAATTCGGTTTTTGTGATATGCAGAGTTATCAAGGTCTCGGTAAGTGTTATCAGCCTCGTCTCCGGCTCGGCTGATAACGCTTTCCTCGACCTTGATAACTCTGCATATCACAAAAACCTCATCCAATAATTGTTTAATATAAGTATTTTACATGCTCCAGACTGCAGAGTATGGCAGTATATAGCGAATCCAAGAGATTCCTCTGCGACTTCAGCCGACAACGATCACGACATCCTTAGGATAGTCATGAGTCTCAAAGAGCATTAATTACATTATATAAGAGATTTTTCAAAAAAATTTAAAATAGTATATTCCTTTTCTGCAAAATAATTTTTCAACGACAGATCCCTGAACAAAATTTGTGATGTGCAATCAACGAGCGACGTATCCACGAGGGGAAGAAAAATAAATGTTTCTCCAGGGTGTTGCTGAATAGCGCCTTCCAACTGCCTGATGAGATGAATTTTAAGAAATTCTTCATCCAGTGTGTAACACACGGTTATGAATTGAGGACATTTGTCAATTGGACACCAGCGCGAGTGACTTAATGATTGGACGGATTCACCAGAATAAGAAGTGAATATTGTGTCACCATCCTTAAGTAAGCCTTTGGGAATGTTAGACGCAAGAGCCTTGAACGGTTGCCAATTTACAATAAACATATCTCTGGACAAAGTGTTTCCAAACTTTCCTTGATTTAAGAGACATTCAAACTCAGGTTTGCTTAACTGTTTTAAGGCAGTACAGCGATGAGTTGAGACGTTTGCAAGCCGAGAGCTCATTTCTGATTCGTTACCCTCCACGAAACAACCAAAAAATGCAACTTGGTGGAATAAAACATCATCTGATTTCTTTTGTATTCCCAAACGTTCTACTGTTCCTGTGGAGTACTTCTCAAATTTAACGTGCGGAAAATTCTTTTTCACATAATTGCGACATTCTTGAATCAATCTCTTACCAATTCCTTGACGACGAAATTCGAGATGTACACGAAGAGATTGAGCAATAGCCGTTTCACCATCGTCGATAATATGTATGACTTGCAAGCCAACAGCTTTACCATCTTTCTCTGCGATCAAAATTCGTCGATTTGGGTCATCTAAATAGTTCAAGAACTCGCCTATGAAGTAGTCATGACCTCCATAGACACCCTTAGACAATTCTAAAATCGCTGGTAAGTCAGACTTATCACCAAGACGAATATCGACGTTGGCCATTTCTGGCAGTCTGAATTCTATAAACCTTTGTTGTCTGTGACCTAGTCGAGCAACAGGCAGTAAAGCTTAAAATAAAATGTGGTAAAGGTAAGCCAGCTTGGAATTGCCAATGCAATCTATTGACAAATCTGCCGTTCTTGCGTTCCGATATGATGCAAATACAGATGAGGTATATACACTCACAGTCTCACACAACTCACACACAACGCAGATAAAATGGCCGACAAGAACCGAAGTAACCGAACCACTGAACCGAACCATAACCGAACATTGACCGAAACAAACCAGTGCTTCCATTACGAAATCACAATTTCCCGTTAGATTAATGAAAATATCCCAGTAAAACGAGTGCAACGAGTTCAAAGTATTATTTCGACCCTTCAAACGCTAGTAGGCATTATCCCCTTCAACATCCTCTGATATAAAACGGTTGGTAAGTCAGTTTTATCACCAAATACGAGTTTAGTTATTTTTGCGATCTAATTCCTACCATGCAGTAATTCCTACATAGTACACAAGCCTTAAATACCTTGCCAAAACGCATAGAAGGATTACGCATCATTAGCCATTTCTAAATGTCAGCAACTTGTAAGCGATTCGACAACGTCAATTGCTATATTGCGCAAATAAAGGTACCCATTGAATTACCTCCACTGATATTTCTTTCAACGATAGATAAATCTTATGGGACATAAAATTTGTGTCACCGTTTATTTGCCTCCAGTTTGTGATTATCATGGAAAAATTCCCACAACTTTTTCGCATTGACAGCATTTCCGAGAATTTCTTGAAGACGTTCTTCTGACAGTTCACTTAATTCGTGGATATTCTTCACTTTGTTCATCACAGTCCTGAAATTAACCGCATGCGATTTTTGCCTTCACGATAAAATTCAACCGAAATCATGTTGCACGTTGATTCGTACTTACTTGCAATTCTTGGAATTTATACCAGGAAGTTTGTGTAAAAAATCCTTAAAGAAATGGGAAATCTTTTGCGTCGGGTGTCAAAAAACGTAACTATGCTCTGTGCCAATTCATTTATAACCATCGTTCCTTAGAGAACTAGCTGACGGTAAAACTCTCTACTAGCTCCCACCCCTCAATTTTGTAAAACCGTCCCATCATTGAATTTGCAAAATAAACTCTACTGTCCAGTGAAATTTAAAATTTCCCTAACCACCCCCTCCTAGGTTTCTTATTGCCGCTTATAGTCTATAGGTATATTTCCATGTCGTAACCTACTTGGGGTGCGGCATTATACCGCTCTCCCCCCACTGCCAATGATGGATCACTTCCTATTTCCATAGCAACAGCAGCATCGGGTTCTGGTTGATTTTGCTAAAATTCAAAATGCACCTCATTCAGCAACCAAATACAAATTAAGCGGACGCTGTAGCTGCACTCAAGCTGACTTAAAATTTACCTTTAATTCGTCAAATAATTCTGCAGTAGCATAAGGACTAGGGCACCACAAGACTCTTAACTGCAAGACAACGAAATTTATCTTCGTAAAGCTTTTACATAGCGGAACGACAATACATGAACTTAAGTGCTCAATTTGAAGTCTCAAAATTCACTTCATTGAATTATTGACACGTCGAGACACGTTGAATTATTGCAACGTGGACTATCTTGTTATACTTACTTTTGGAAAGTGAATCGTTAATAAAGCAAGTTTTGTTGTGACATTTTGTAGCGATATTTCATTTGATAAAGATGACTTGGCCTGCAGTATAAAAATATTATTTATTGCGCATGTTATGAAACTTGTGTGTAAAGTTATAAAAACAAGTTTACTGAAGGACAAACCTGGAGAGAGAAGGATTTGGCTGGATCAAATTCAATCAACAATATGGGTCGTTTATAAAACCTTGTCATTGCCACACATTGAGTGTATCTAAACAAAAGAGAAGTCGAAATGTTGTGATGTTGATTGTTGAACAATCAGCCTTTCTCGCGATAGGCGCCATTTTTGGGGCAGCTACCTTTTTTTAATTGTGAGCGCAAGACCTTGTCAGGGCGGTTGTCTTTATTTTTAGGCTTAATTTATTGTTCAAATGGTCGATTGACTCTCAAAAAATGCTTCTTACATTGCTATTATTGTTTAAACGCATTTGAGAAAATTTGAAAGTACCCCAAAAATGGCGGATATTCGTCATCGTGAGAAATGCTAATTGACTAACGAATAGAGTGTCCTTTAATTAATTCAGCGTCATATCGCGGACTTACAATCTTCCTGAATTTAAGGAACTAATAAGATCTGACACACTTTTTCTTTCAACACATATGTGAGGTGTTAAAATGTAATCGCCAACCTAATAACAAAGAAAATTATCATGTTATATAAGCTTGTGCTACAGAGTATAGCCCAATACTTTACCTCGACAGTCACTGGTTCGATATCAATTCCTCTCTTGTGAATCAAAGAAGGTAGTTCACTTCGAAATTCGCGTGCATCAACAATTATCTGAAAATTGTATATACAGGGTGAGTCAGAAAAAAGTCCCCTCTATTGAAATCGAGCCTTTGTTAGAATCTGATTGCCTTAATATTATGATAAACCCAATTGAAAGCAAGACGCTTTATTTGAATGCCTCAACCTAATAACTATGCTATTTACTCACTACTGCGTTGATCATGCATTCAAATCAACAAAGGCTTCATTTCAATAGGGGGGACTTTTTTTTTACTCACCCTGTATAGGACCTGGTGAGGCTCGTCCACTTATTGTGAATTTGAAATCCATTTGACAGCATAAATACTTTACGCTGTATTTAAGGAGGAGGTTTTGCTCTTCAAAGGAAAAATCACGAGAATCCAGCATCCTCCCATAGACTATAATATGCAAGCAAGACACATACTAGGCAACAGCTAAACCTATATATCACCTTTCTATTCTCGGCAACTTGCTTTTCTTGACCACCACCTTTACGTGTGCTAGCAACACTCGAAGGTTTGCTGGGATCACGGTCAAGTTGTACAGCAGCTTCAGTTTTACCCTCACGCTCTTCAGGTATTATCATCGTCTATATGTAGGATAATACACATTGGGGTACTTCATGTATATATAGTTATATCAGTGAGAATGGTTTCGTCTTTGATTTTGTAAATAGGTCGTGTTCATAGACAGAGACGATCGGACGAAGGTTGGTGGGTGCTCATGAAGCGAGAGATATAATTAGTTCGACTAGTTTAAATATTTCAGGCCCTTCTTATTCTAACGATGTGCATGCAGGGGGCACATTTTAAAATATCCGAAGGAAGGCTCCTATGTTTAGGAGCTTATAATTATTATATCAGATTAAATATTTCAAATGGGGTGTAATCCTTAACTGAATTATTCCATAAATGAAAGAGCTTACCGCTTTAGACTTAATCAACATCTCAAAAGCTTCGTTCTCTTTTCTTAGTCGGGTAAGGTATCTCTAAGATTTAACATGAGAATGAATCTGCAAGTGATTAACAGTTTCTCAAACTCTTTCTCAACTCTCATTGCTGTGGTATGTAATGGTAGCTACCTGCTCCTCAACCGAACCAGCATAAACCATGAAATATATCCTCAGTGGTATACCAGCTCGTGACGCTTTGAAAACCTTGAATATTACAAGATTAATAAGAATTGATTAGTTACGACGATTTTAAATGCGGCCGTTTTTTGGAGAAAATTTTAAAATTTTATTAGTTCACAATGCGAATTTCTCCTGAAAGTAGCCCACTTACTTATTCTTATAATGTCAAAAAAATATCATGGCAATTTCAATTATTGAGTATTACCTCTAGCTGACGCACAAACTCCATTTGAGCATCGTAAAGAATAACATAACGTGGTTCGATTTCATGTAAGGTACGAGTCAAACTGTAGGGGTCACTTTGAATAAATCAACATAAAAAAGCGTAAATATCTTTTTGCTTGAATTTAACTTCAGGTTTTACTATAAACATTAGCATACAGCAATTGCAAATAGACAATAAGGAATGGCACGTATAGTGTAATTAAATTAGCATGCTTCAGCTCCTCTAAGTTTTAAATTCATCTTGCATGCTTTAGAGCTGAATGCTATATGCATCTGAAAATCTACATATGACCATGCAAGATGCATGCAAGGAATAGCAGGGGAGATAAAAATAGGGTAACTATATGTAATAAACAGATTTTGTTTATAAATACATGCCTGCATACACTAGCTCGCAGTACCTTGTTCCACTCAAGGGATGAATAACAATTAGTGGTGTTGAAACGAGACCAAATGTTATCTCTGTTATCTCACACTCGTCTGGGTTGTCAGTCTAAAACAATAGCTATATATATATAGTTCTGTTACACGGTGCAATTTTTCTTGCAACTTGCAACGCAATTCTTAATTCTTTTGAGAGATGTAAATTTGGAGACTACCAAACTTTTGTCTTTATTGCACTCCATGGCGTATCTTACACTTATATTTTCAAGACTCTTCACTAATTTACATCAAAGTAGAATTGCATTGCAAGTTGCAGTGAGAAATTGCACCGTGTAACATGGCCTTTATACTTTTACTATTAAAACAGTGTCGATTACAATTGGACCTCTAGAAGAATTTGATATAGATATCAAATATAAATAACATAGATATATAGCTATATGTATATTATTATAATGAAGCGTTTTAACACTTTTTTGAGAAGATAAGTGAGACAAAAGTACCTTCAGTAACAATTTTCCTGCACCCTTACTCGAGTCTTCAGCTTCTTGTTCTTCGCTAGGTACATACATATATTGAAATTTAGAAATGCGTATATACGGTCAATATAACGTCATGTGCAATGAGCAATATATATACCAATGATATGTACACCGCGTCATAATATCATGAATTTAAAAACAGAAGCTAACACTGAAAAAAGCTTGAGATCCACAGTATGAAAAAATATCATGTCAGAATAGTTATATACAATTAACTATCATGCATACTGTAGGTCTTTCTGCAGTGTAAAATTACAAATTTAATACTAACTTTTGACATATATCCTCATCCTCTTCATCACGAGTCATAAGAAACTTATCAATCGTCTTATTTGTTTTCCTTGTCGATTTTTGCTTTGATACCCCAGATTTTGATTTGCCCTTTCTTCCTAGACCCTATCGCAACCAGAATATGGAAAACCAGCGTCACATCATCACGCATATATCAAAGACAAAAGTAACTATTTTTTTTGAAAAATTTAAGAAAAAAATTAATATATGCTTCATTGTTTTCTTAAAATATGAAAACATTTGCTATAGATAGAAATATTTTCTTTTCATTTGAAGATAAAAAAAATTCTCAAAATAGGAAAGCGAATTTCGCTGCATTGGTATAGGTTCGAATATGAACATTGCAAACCGGCTTGGCTTTTTTATCCTTCTGTTTCTTTGACTTTTCTACAAGAAAATGGATGCATTTAATTCCTAAGCTTTCGAAGCTTTTTCCTAGTATAACGCGCGTTGGATGGAAAGGATTTAATGCGAAGATCTCATCATTACCATTGCTAGTTGATGAATTCTTTTCTGAACCCTTTCGATTTTCATTTTTCTCGTACAGTCGAGTGAGAAGAGCTTTACCGCCTTCACACAAGAGCTAGAAAATAGACATTTTATTTCAAAATGAAGTCCCACGATATCAGACAAAATCATAAAAAGCAAGGATATATTTCAAATAACTTAAATGTTTTTTCAGTTTTTGGTGTTCATTACTTCGCAGAACGATGAATAAAAACACTTTCCTTAGACTTGATAATTTCAAACATCGCAAAAACTTCTCCCAATATAATTGTTTTTAATTCTTACTTCTCGAAGTTGAGAGCAAGTGCGTTGATCTGAAGCAGCAATAAGGACATGTCTAGTTTCACCTGTAATGAAACAAGATATGAACATCAACAAGTCACAAACAAAGATCTTGAAATTTATCTTCCGTTGCTGTGCTTTGCAGGTTTCATGACTTTTAACCATAAATTAGAGGGGTTTTCAGTATATGCCTCCATGTTTTCATTCGGTATAAAAACGTGACTGCTCGCTTGTTTGCATTTATCAATTTAATCTATTTGAATAAACTGCTGGGAAAAAATGAATGAGATAACGACAAGTCACCTGATTTATCTGAGGAATTCTCTTTATCAATGTCTTCCAAAACATCTTTTAATACTTTCCATTTAGGGCTTTCTTCCAAAACCAACTCTAAATATATAGGAATATTGTATAACCCCTTATGCCTATTAACTCGACCACCTACCCCGAACAGGCCCCGTCTGAACGAAATTTGGGTTGGGGGAGGTTCAATTGGGACCACGTCTATTTAGAAAACAGGGCGTGGTCATAGCTTGCAGCACACCACTCCACATTCTTAATAATTAAAAGGTACAGTGTAAAAATTGACAGCATGTGAAAACTATTACGCACATACAACTGGCATCTGCGAGCCAAGTTTTACAAGTTAATACATTATACATAAGAGTTATAATCACATGCATATTTAACAATTAAGAGCTCAGATCGGACGCAACTAGTAAAGTGTGTATTTCCGCTTGCAGTGAAACAGTTTGAGACATAATAGTTCAACTTGACTGCACACAGTTCAAAACAAAACATGAAAATATTTCTCGAGAGGGCTTATTCCCTGCAAAATCGAGCCTAATACCGAATCGCCGACCGAGCATGCCTCGAACTACGAGAGGCAAGTTGTCCAACATATCTTCATGTTTCAAAGTACAAATTTTATTGACAAATACAAATACATATCTCGATACAAATACAATACAAATACAATATACAAATACAAGTTGTCATACAAGCGATTTTTCAAATAGGTATAGATTATATTGTTCCTTTTCTCCGAACTCGTCCTGCAGAATCGCTAACGACAGATCTCTGAGCAAAATCTGCGATGTGCAATCAACAAGCGATGTATTCACGAGAGGAACAAAAAGAAATGTTTCCCCAGGGTGTTGTAAGATGCCATTTTCCAACTGGCCGATGAGATGCATTTTAAGAAATTCTTCATCCAGTGTGTAACACACGGTTATCAATTGAGGACATTTGTCAATTGGACACCAGCGGGAGTGACTTAATGCTTGGACGGATTCACCAGAATAAGAAGTGAATATTGTGTCACCATCCTTGAGTAAGCCTTTGGGAATGTTAGACGCAAGAGCTTTGAACGGTTGCCAATGAACAATATATGTATCTTGAAACAGGATGTCACCAAGCTCTTCTTGATTTAGGAGGCATTCAAACTCAGTTCTGTTCAACTGTTTTAATTTACTACACTGATCGGTTGAGAGCTTTGAAACCCGAGAGCTCAATTCGGATTCAGCGCCATTCACCAAACATGCAAAAAATATAACTTCGTGAAATAAAACATCAGCTGATTTCTTTTGTATTCCCAGACGTTCTACACCTTGAGACGTTACCGAGTACCTCTCAAATTTGACTTTTGGAAAATTCTTTCTCACAAAATTGCGACATTCTTGAATCAATCTCTTACCAATTCCCTGACGACGATATTCGAGATGTACACGAAGTGATTGAGCAATAGCCGTTTCACCATCATCGATAATATGAATGACTTGCAAGCCAACAGCTTTACCATCTTTCTCTGCGATCAAAATTAGTCGATTTGGGTCTTTCACAAAGTTCAGAAACTCGCCGAGAAAATAGTCATTACCTCCATATACACTCTCTGATATTCTTATAACTGCAGGTAGGTCAGCTTCATCAGCAAGACGAATAACGACGTTCGCCATTTTGGTAATTTGAACCTTTACCTTTTGACCTCGTGTACGGGTACATGCATGCTTAATTATATTGCTATTATAAATGACGCGTGCGTGATAACACGGATAGAGACGAGCACATGTTCTGAGTTTGAAAATCTAGAAATATCGATAACTCTTTGATCGCATTAACATTTCATTATCATTTAACATCACCGGCTATATTTGCATGCAACTAACCTCTGGTTTTCTCAACCCGACTCACGTTGTCGTTTTCGCTATTGACAAAAAAGGAAGTATGGTGTAAATCTTTCTTATGTATATCATAAACTTAAATATACTCTCTTATAGGCCTTTAATAATACTCTCTCGAAACCCTCTGGCGTCAAACTAAATAATAATAACCGTTGAAAAACTGGTCAATGAAGAGATACAAAGCGGGAAGTCGCAACAATTTTTCACGCGATAATACAAATAAATAAAATTGATAGTATTATTGAGCGAACCTTTTATTCTCAACAGCTGTCAATGTTTTTTGCCTTTTAGCTTTAGGTTTTGTTTCGTGTACTTCATACACTCTTTCTCTTGCATGCTTGATAAAATAGAAACGCGTTATTTGAAGATTTATAAAAGTAGAAACTAGCGAGTAAAGCATTCAAAAGGACGAACATATCCCAACCACGCATGGTAAAGCAGATTTTGGGATAGCTCGGTTCTCAATAATACATTACATGCGCAGGAGAATGCCAGAATAAACATTTAAAACTATACCACAAATAACGCTTCTGTCGCGTCCATAAACATCCACATACTATGATATGCTGCATCACGTTCACTTGCTCTGTATTTAATAAAAGAGTAATAAACTTTATAAACGAGTATCTCAGCTCATCGCAGACATGCAGATACTGGTGCATTGAGACCAGTGTAACTATAATAAAACCTGGAACGCTAATTCCTATAGTATAAAGTGATGCTTGGTTGAAGCCAAAAATTGAAGCAAAAACTTGACTCTGACTTTTAAAAATTAGAAAACGATTGTATTTTATATAGTTCTAAACATTCCTATAAATAATTACTCTTTACGTCTGGTTCAAACGTTCAAAAACACCCTTCAAATTTGACACACTACCTTCAAATTTGGCTTCAAAGATGGCGGCCAAGTTAGCGTTCCAGGTTTTATTAATGAAACTAGAAGTGCTGAGCTAAACAGATACTTGGGGAATTACTATAAACAGTATACCTTAATGATAGAAGGAATTGGTAAAATGTTACACAATCATATTGCGTTAAATAGCTAAAACGAGAAAAAAAATATTTTAATCAGTCAGCTTTCGACCAAACTTTAATTAAATAGATATTGATCTGCAAAGAATACTGTATATTCAGCAGAAATACTACAGTATATGATATAGCACCAACACTTACAATAGCAATGTTCTTAAGACCTTTAGATCAGCAACAAGCTGCTTTGTCTTTGAGTTCTAAAGCAGCAAAGGTAATGCATGCTATCTAATGTTTGTTTTTCTATTCATTTATTATTTTCCAAAGTGATATCGAAACCGGGTGCATGAAAAGGGCCTTCTATAAAGACTAACAGATTATCTACACTAGACGTCATTCATGCATCACAATGTTAAGGCTACATTAAACTTTACACAACCCCAAAAGTTTCAGTACTACAGGACAGTGATTATCAAAGATAATTCAATGTAATTACATTATAGAGATTCATAGCAATCGAGCAGGGAAGACTAAAGAGGGAAGACAAATATATTGTGTAGACGATGCTTATTGCCCTGAGATGGAAGCGTTGTGTAAATTGCAGTAATACAAAAACGTTGGTCGATGTATATTTTTTCAGGAATGGATAAGGCCCTGTTTAAACGCGGTGCTTCTTAACTATATGCTGAATTTCGGGAAGAACTTAGTTGATTGAGTTCGGCTGTGAGTGTCACGACATCTGGACCAAAGCTACGTCGAAAAAACGAGCAGATTAGGAATATTGAAGATTTAACACTTACTAGCTGATGCCATACAGGATCAAGTTGAAGGCGTAATAGTTTATCAAAGGATTTATTAATACTGTTCTCAACTGTTAGCTCCTCTGGGTCCAACTAAGAAAATGTCACGTAACATAAAAATTAGAATTGGAATTGAAAACAAAATTGCATATGCAATAATAATATATATGACATTTTTCCTAGATTCGTTTTATTGTTAGAGGAATTTATGGGTATTAGAAAAGTGGAGGTCTTGTGCATGGTTTTTGGCGAAAAATTGTGAATTACCCACTAAACGATTACTCACTTTTAAAACTTACAAAGGAATTAAGGCGTTTAATGTCCCTTAAACATGTAGATATTAAATCCAGTATCGATGTCTGTATCACAAGCATAGATGGTGTCAGTTGAAGATGAAGCTCGACAAGCTCAGGCTGGTGAAGATTATTGAATAAACAAGTCAATTAATAATGATTGCTCAGACACAGAGCAGAGGATCACATGCAGAATCTTTCCCCACTGAGCCACATACCGTGTGTCTTTCCAAAAAAGCTGACATTGGCGCGTAGAATCTAAATATTGCATGAATAGTTGATATAATGTAGTTGACCATTTCCTAATTTAAATACCATCGCCATATATTACCTTGGCCACAAGTAAAGCTTTTTTACAAATAGATTCTTCATAACTCGTTCAACCTTTGAAAATCCAGCAGTGAACGCTTCTGGCGCATCAGAAAATGCCTTGATAAAACCCGTCTAAAAACCGCAAAATCATACGGTAGCTACATCACTCATTCCGTATACAAAACAATGTAATTTATAAACCTATATCAGAATTAAACATTTATTTCATTATATGCCTGGAAATCTGTCTAATTATCTCAATGTTCAATACACCAAGAAATAATCATAAGTTTCGATTTTTTTTATTGAGTCGGAAATATGATACTTGCAATTTGAAAGTAGTGGCAGTTCACATGAGCAGTGATGAGCACGACTACCCGAGAATACGAAGCGTAAAATGACTTTGAGGTATTGAAATGAGTTCATAACGTGATCTTGGGCTGGTAGTTGTGAAGACTTATTTTAATACCGCATCTCACGCTTCGTCAGATCTCAGGTAACCGGGCTCACGTGAACATCCCCTAAAAGTGACAGTGACACGGTGTCTATAATCAAAAACAGCGATTACAAAAAACGCTTTTACGGTTAAAACCAGCCCAAGTAAGTGTGGGTACATACTTTGTTGTTTTCCCTGTAAAGTCTTAATATAAACGCTTCTTGGCAAGAATCTATAATCCTTAAACAAAAAAACAACAAGAGATAGCAGATTGCTAGAGAGACCATACAATATTTTGATGCTCTAAGGCACCTGAGCTGGAAAGACGAAATTCGCTTTTACGTTTTATCACTATACTAGAATGTAATCAAGATGGCACTACAGGTGCACTTTATGTGTTGCTGAACAAAGCTGGATCAGTGTTGGTTCAAGCTGCGGGCGGATTTTTAGGATATTTGACGACGTTGAATTGAAAAATGCATTTCTTTATATACCTTGTAATTTAGCATATTACATCTCACACAAAAACCATGACCAGCCGACAATTTAAAAAAGTAAAGTAAAAACCAAATTCCAAATAAACAGGACATCTTGAGAGTCGAAAAATGAATCAAACAAGACACAGGTTGAGACTGTAAATTTTCGACTTCATTTCAAAGTCATCTTCAGTTGACCTGTGTCTTGTTTGATTCATATTTTGACTCTCAAGATGTTTTGTTTATATCTCACACAACTCACTTATGAGCTTTACACACAACTATCCCAGTGACAAGATGTATTGGCAATTTCTTCGTCAGCATGTCTACCACCAAAATACGAGAGGTCACAAATAATACACCACCATTTAAATACAGAACCTCTCTGTGGAAGAATGATTTAAAATGTAACTAAAACACAGAGCTAAAGACCATGTAATTCTATATGCAGATGTATACATCAATGTCTGTGAAGTAGGAATGTATAGTATGTATAATGACGGCAGCTATTTCTGACAAAGATTGACCAATAAGTCTGGGGTCTTGATGCGCAGAAAACTACAGTCAAAGTCTTGAGTACAGGCACATATCACCTCTATGCCAAAACTTCCAATACAGTATCATTTCATGATACACCATATACGCAAGATTCTTCTTAAAACCGTTTAGACATTAAACATTATCATTATCGTAAACACTGTTCCAAATTCCCCATAGTGTTGAAAAATACATCTACCCAGAACAATGACAGTTAAATTACAAGTTTTCATAATTTTATTTAGTTCACTAATGGAAGGTTGATACTAATCTTGTGACTTGTCTTGATTAGATATAACTTATGTTGATTGTAAATTACCTGTCTGATACACCATACTCATTTGTAACAGCTTTTGGTGCAAGAGCATTTAATTTGACCAGTTCTTCTATCAAGTGATCCTATTTTTATAAAATATTATTTATGAAACCAAACAAACCACATGCATACCACATGTACTGCCAGTTACCTCTTCTTGTGCTGATGTGTTGACAACCAATACTAATGAGGCTGGATCACAATGTATTTTAAGGAAATTAATTAGAATATTATCTGTTGTTATTCCCCTAAAACAATACAATTCTTACTATTACAATTGTACTTTTAAATTAAGTCTTCAAATCAGCTCACATAAATGATACCGGAATCCACTTAAGTAGCTGGTCAATGGTAATAGGGTACTTACCTATCCCTACTCCTTAATATCAACGTACACCATGCTCTGCACGCTTGTGGTTGTGTTTCTTGTTTGCAATTTACCTTGTTTTCATCAATTCGGAATTAAAGTTAAGAGAAATTTACAATAAACTTACTTTGCAGTAATGAGCAGGCCATCTTCGTTAATCACATCCAAAAACATTGCTGATTCATATTCCAACAATGGAATTGTGTCCGCCATCTTTATTTTTCTGTTTATAGTTTATACTTCATTACTTTATATTGTAATTGTAAGTGGGTGCTTATTACTGATGCTTATCATCATAGTGGATTCAATTTTGCAAATTCAATACATTTTCGTATTTGTTTTCATACGTTTTTCGAAGTTGTTTTTTAATTAAAAGTTTTTTCAAACTTTTTACGATTTTCAAAGTCGATATCTTTTTATTATTTTTTTATTCCTAGTCTATTTGGAAAGATGCAAACATGCAACGCTGGCTATGAGAACGCTGGGCCGTTCTCATAGTAAGTCGCAAACTAAATTCATTTTCGCATTTGTTTTCATATGTATGGTGGCACATTGTTCGTATAGTAAATTTGAAGACTACAACAAATCCAAGCTGTTCCACGTTCAGTAGTCCATAATGTGATGGGGAATGTTGATCCGGATGGTCTAATTGGTCTTGAAGACTTGAACGTAGAGGAAACATTGGTGTGAAAAAGAGAAAAAAAGGAACTACAGGGACATTCACCTCACTGATAGGCCTAATACTGAAATGCTAGTCTTATTTCCAGCATACTCTTGTATTTTTGTAATTCATAATTGATATATGGATTATGGAATTTGTCCTAATAATTTGCAACAAATCTCACACAGTTTACTATCCAATGACGCAAATTCTGGAGACGGCCATCACAATTTGATAGGCTTTTTGAATGAAACTTTTCCATTAGCTGTGTATGGTTTACAAGATGTCTTCGGTGGCTATATTGTGTACCTGAAACTATGGAAGACAAGTCAAACTCTGAGAAGTCCAACATTCTAACATGATTCTAATTATAAACCAGTCAATCCAAAAGATTATATTATATTTTATGGTCGCGCCTATGTTCTCGTTTAGTTCACCCCTTTGCCTTTTCCACTGATTGGTTTACCCTAACGTGTGGGATCATCCTTGTAATTTCTATAGACTATAGCCTACTCCCATCTGCCTATCCTCACTGAACCGTTGCATCCAAGGTATTTCTCTATTCAACACCAGACAAAATAGGACTTTTGCTAATTGCTAGTATCTTTTTTATTTTCTTATCAATACTTTTAGTGTTATTTTCCATTTGTTGCACATTTTGTCAAAGTTCCTAGAGCGCCATGAACACTTGCAAATGGAACTTTAAGGAAGGCTGTTTTGACTGTGTAGGTAACACGCAACCAATCAACAAATGGCAGACGACAGAAGGAAATCTTAGGTTGGGACGGTTGAGGGGTATGGTAACATGGAATGTGCGATTTGAATGCATAAGTTTGGATCTCCTTACACGTCATCGGTTTGTTATTCGTTATCAAAGGCACCAAGTCGACTTGCAAGCATTTACGCACTGCATCCACCCAAATTTTACCATCTGAAGTGAACTTTTCGTACATTTTACCAAACTCTTGGCAGTAATGCTTAGCAAAACCAATAGCGTAAGGATGAGAGGTGTGTTCACAAGGGAACTGTTTCTCGAAACATTGACGATACCAGTCACATGTATTGCCACTTGGCGTGAAACACTCAGCTGGTAGTTTGCCTTGATCTGCGGAATAAGCTCTCTGAGCAATTGCCCCCGAGACTAGGCAGGTGATTGACACCAGTTTAAGGAAGAACAACGCCAGAGATCTGCTCATTTTGTTTAACCTAGTTCTGCTTCTAGTTTCTTGCTAAGCCAATAAAGGTGAACTTTTTCTACTGAGTTCTGTGTTCCGAATATCGTATTATATAGACACGACGTGATGATGAAGTTTGCACAATGCAAGATAGTGGCAAGCATATTTACTCATTTCAAAAGCTTTTCGCCTCAAGCAATCGGCAAGTATTTGCCTGAGTATCTTGTCCACAAGACGCCGGTAAGCAGCTGCTCACACAATATAGCCATACCGCAACGTAACGATTATCCTTGTTAACAATTTACATTTTATACTGATTTTTGTTCATTATCAACTTATGACTCAATGGCATTTTTCAGTCGAAAAGTTAAATGGTTACTATTCTCTAGGGTTTTAACATATTTACTCTCTTCCAGGGATTTTTTACCAAAATATCATGTCGAACTTTTCTACAATGACTGCTTTTTAAAAAGTACAAATAGGAATAATCCGAAAAAGGCTATATATAATATAATATCATATACTTGTTGCCAGAAACTTCTTGGCACATCTGAGTTTTTTAAAAAAGTCACTTAAGATAAAAAAGATTAAGCCAGCGATGTGCCTGAGTCAATACATTTATTAAACTAAAACGAAAAAGAAAAATAACATGGACATCTTTTCAATAATGTTCCAGATGAGTAAACAACTTAAAGAATTGCATTTTGCCTTCCTCGTTTATACATTTAACAGTTGATTAGGTGATTTCAGCTGTTCAATTTTTAAATTGTTTTTTTGCTGCGGAGTCCTAAATGTCTCTCTATGCACGCCGATATGTGGTTGGACCATCCCAGGATCACCCCCCCTGCCTTCCCGCTCTACTCTGAAAACGAAATTGAAGAGAATCAAGGAATTGAGTCTTGGTAGATGGAAACAGAATTAGAGGAACAAGATGTCGGACGCGTACGATGTTGTTGGTGGTTCGTTGAAGTTAAAAGGTGTCAAAGATGGAGGAGTTAAAAAAAAGTTAGATATTTTTAATAATAGTAAATCATGTATAATTAATAATTTCATCCCTTACCATAACTTTGGAAAGATAACGGGTCTGAAGGCAACTAATACCTATTAAAGTCAGGTTCCACAGTCCCTGTGTCAGTGATCATGTTTGAAAACATTATATTTTGAAGTTCACTGATAAAAATCACTGTTAAAGTATAGGTAGTAAATAATGTTTAGAGTTTTATTTGTAGAAGTTAGGTTTCCGTCTTTCGTTGAATAAATGATAGCAAAGGAAGATAACATAACAGGAATATTCTGACAAGGCCAAAGGCAAAGAGAACATAATTTTCTTTATATATATCACACTGTTATATCCCTAAATAGAAAAAAGAAAAGCAAGGAAAAGAAAGAAAAAGCAAAGAATATAGATGTTCCAAGACAAGATGATAAGGCATCGGAAATGATATCCAAGCCAAAGGATAAAAGAACACCAGCTCAGATTGCTTTTCATAGAATACAAGAAAAAAGAGTGAGTAAAATTACAAGTGACAAAGTGATTCTTTAGGCAAATTTGGTGTTTAATTGTGCTTCTTATAGAATAAATATGTACTAATTGGACTGGAATGTGATGTTATATCATTGTCTTTTCAGGCAGCTGACAGAATTTTATCTAAAGCATCTCAAAGTCATAAAGAACGTGTTGCAGTGAGTTGAACCAGGAATACACTATTCATTACCACCACAACTTTGAGTGGCAATGTCTTATGGCAACTTTCCATCAAATGTTGTATAAAACTGCCTCATACAGACCAGACTCTGAAAGGTGTTTTTAGGCAGTTGTTATGCCAAATGAGTAAATACTATGCTTCCTAAAAGAATAATTTTATTCATTTCACTATTATATTATTCTCAGCAAGCTTGTACATATTTTGCAGGAGTTTAATGAAAGACTGGATAAGTTAACTGAACATTATGATATTCCAAAAGTCAGTTGGACCAAGTAAATCAAAGGGAATATTGGTGGATATTCATTGTTGTGGAATATATTGATGGAATATATTGTTTCAACATACTGATTTTCGGTCAAATGCAAAAAAAGAAGCTGCTATAAATAGGGATTAAAGGATTGAGTTTGTAAAATTTAATTATATTATGACTTTGTTGGAGGAGTGCATGTATTGTGCTAATAGTAATCAAGAAATGGATTGAGTGCAACTATTGTAAATATATGTCTTAATTATTTTTTAAATCTTGTACATTTTTCACATGGTAAAAATAGGGATTAAAGGATTGAGTTTGTAAAATTTAATCATATTATGACTTTGTCGGAGGAGTGCATGTATGGTGCTAATAGTAATCAAGAAATGGATTGAGTGCAACTATTGTAAATATATGTCTTAATTATTTTTTAAATCTTGTACATTTTTCACATGGTAACTATCATAACTAAAATGTATCGTCAAGTTTTAGATTAGGAGCTAAATTTTGAATCATTATTTTAGCTCTCTCCTTGCTATTTCTAATTGTTTTAATTGTTTCTTCTATCAGTGTCAATTTGTCTTTTTCTTCGTCATAGCTCTTTTCTAAAGCATGACAATTGGATGAAGATTCTTTTACGAGTTCCTCGTTTTGATGAAATTCTAATTCTAACTCTTTTATCTTATTTTGAACATCACTGTTTTCCTTTTCTAGCTTTCTCGCCACTCTTTTTTCTTTTAAAATATCCTCTGTTATGGATTCCATGGAGTTTAATATCCTGTCTGCTTCATCTATTAAAAAAAGGTTTTCCAGATTTTAATTTAAACATTGTATAGAGTGAACATGTTTCTAGTATAGTCTCAAAATATCATAGGTTTAGTATATCACCTGTTTTCATTTAAATACTAGATAATTGTACTTATTTGCTGAAAAAATGTACTTATAAAATGTGATTGATAGAAGAGAAAATAATTTCTTTCATTTGCAAACTTTTCAATATTGTAACAACACATGCTTGGAAACAAGCATGCTTGGCCCTTCAGAAGGTAATTGAAGACCACCAAAAGGGGTTAGAAATACCTGCTAAACCTTCACATCTTAAATTCAAATTCTGATATTCCTCAACATATTTTCTTGTCTGTTCTTCTAATTGATGAAGTCTTTCTTTCTCTTGTTTCTTTCTGAAGTCTTCAATAATCTGTTGCATGACTGTATTTGGTGCTGTTGAGAATACCTCTGACTGACATTGTGGGCACTTGGAGTACTCTGAAACACATATCTGACAAAATGTGTGTCCACAAGGTATGATTGCCACTGGAGAATGGGGTGAAGCCATTAGGTTGTGACAACCTGAACATATATGACTTGACATTGGTTTTTCACTTTTATGACCAGTTGCAACCGGTTCATTTGTTTCCTGTCTTTTCTGCTCTTTCACTTGCAACCGTTCCGCTATTTTATCGGCAAGATTATTAAACGAATCCGCTCCTAGCTCAGTTGTAGTACGATTATTGTTCAACGAACTATACTGATTACCAACTGGAGAATTTGGAGCCCTGGTGGACTTATGCTGTCCATCATCATATCCTGCGATAGAAGTTTCAGATCGTCGCGATTCGCGGGAGCGATTGCTGTCAAGGTTACGTTTATTATTTAAAGAAGGCGGAGAACCGTAACCAGATTCTCTAGACAATAAATCTCTGCTACTGCTACCACCGCGACTATTTTTTCCCCCATGCTTTCTACTTGACACCTGGTAATCGTCCTTAGATATCCATGCTAGACTATTGTTTTTACTCCCATTATCATTAGTTTGTTTTTTTCTTGATTGAAGACCATTAGACGGTGACCGAGAAGATTTTTTGGAGCTGTCTGAGTGTTTCGCAGATTCCCTCTCTTCCATCCATAATCTTTGTCGTTCTTTCATTTTACGAACTTTTTCGGATATATTTTCATCTGTTTTATGCCCTGCTGGCTTACGCGACATTCTCACTTTCTAAGGACACGTTTACGTATGACCTGTGGTATGGCACAGTGTGAAATAAAACGTTGCTATGTGTCAAGATGCGTAGTATAAACAATAGGATAACAACGGCTAATCGTTCGCCATCTTGGAACTTTATCCATGGGTATGACGTATTATCTATGGACCATGGGTTCCCATTACTTACCGATCCGTGATTAAGCCAGTGATTAGCACACTGGATTAATTAATTAATCAAGTAATTAACATCAAAAGTAATTTTTCTTCATTGATTCCGTGTGCATAAAAAAACACTCAATATTCATGAATATTCGCTTTAGTCGCTCTCTATAGTCGAACAAGAAGCTCGAACAAGAGAAATTGAGTATTCATGAATATGTTGCGTTTTTTTATACACCCTGTATAATCAAAAGCAGCCCAGAAATTATTGGTACTTACTCTAAATTTGCGCTTACTTACTCTAAATTTACTCTAAATTTGTGCTTACTCTAAATTTTGCTTTTGTACTTACTGAAATTTCAGGTAGGGAAGAGAATATTTGTTAGTACAAAAATAAACACTTCTCCTTGATTTTGTTTGCAAACTTATTTCTTTGATGATTTACATGATATATTCATAATATTATCATTGATGATATCTATTATCTATGGCGACAACAGTGGGCGACAACAGTGGGCATATCCCCCCGGTTGCATCAAATCAGTCATCAAATATAGAACTTTTGTAGTGGAAGCTTTTTAGCTCTTCCTCAGGACTTTGACCGTGCATATGAGTGGTTGATGGTTCCTGTGCAGAAGTTGTACAATTTAATGTTATTTTACATTGTCAATTTAATGCATTTGTTGCCGTTTGATTGAAATACTAAAGTCTGTGATAAAGTCAAGATATATAGATTATCACAAACAGATTTAAACATGTCCATGTCAGCTGTTTTTATCCTGGATGTTAAAGGAAAGGTGGGTTTCAAAAATTCAAAACATTTACTTTTTTGTGTGTAGCGATATTATAATTCTTGAAAGGCTTAAGCTTTTTAATTCAATTTTATACAGTAATTTTTTAACACACCATCTATCAGGATAGTATTAAATACTGTATAAAAATTGGTATGCATCCTTCCTAAAAGAGAAAATAAGATAATTTGGAAGAGGAGGCTTGGTTCCTTGCAGTGTCAGATTGTTATTAATTTCCTTAAGTACATGCCAATTTTGACATCTGATTGATATATTGCATCAAAAATCATTAGTCTATTAATTAGGTAATGAATCAGTATGAAGCTGACTTGACTGTCCAAGAATGTTTGGGAAGGATCAAATATTCTTCTGTATACCACCACCAGAGATTCCAGTTGGAGGGTGTATAGTAAAAATAAATATGTGGCAAAATAGAGTTCAGTTTTAAAGACTAGATATCAATTGCAATTTTCCCATAGGTCCTTATATCAAGAAATTATCGTGGAGATTTAGAGATGTCTGTGATAGAAAAGTTTTTTCCATTGGTTTTGGATCGTGAGGATGAAGGCAATTCGTCTCCAATTATAATTCACGAGAGCGCTACATTTACTTATATAAAACATCATAATCTTTATGGTAGGCATATTGATATATTTATCATCTCTAAATCTTGTCAACTTTTGTTTATTAACTTACTTAATCAAGCATGCACTTACATTTCTTGGTCTATATACTTTGATTTATAGTTGTTGCCACAACAAAGAAGAATGCAAATGTAGCATTGATCTTTTCCTTTTTACATAAGTTAGTGAAGGTAAGCAACAATGTAAAATAATGCCTTCCCTTAAATGGAGATAACAGCATGGAAAAGGTGACATTTATCTGTAGATGATTTGTGACATGTATCATATTCACATTATATTCCAATATTCTAGGTATTCATGGAATATTTCAAAGAAATGGAGGAAGAAAGTATCAGGGATAATTTTGTAATTATTTATGAACTCATGGATGAGCTTATGGACTTTGGCTACCCACAATTTACGGAGAGCAAGATTTTACAAGAGTATGTGACATAAGTTTATTAATGAAGGCAGAGGAATCACTTCTGTATCTATATACTATTGTCAGTTTCAATATTGTTTTGTAACCAGCTGATCTGAGATCATGACGTCATGAGGCGTCTCGACAAAACTGAGTTATCATACACCTGGTGTTATTTGTCAATTTTCTTTTAACTAATAGTATAATGGGCGAAAAATTCAAATTCTAATTTACAGTCGGGAAAAAATAAACGTGTTTTCACATAAATATAATAAAATTACTTGGTATTTTCAAGTGTCGAAGTCATATGCAATGAAGGAAATGATAATTCAGTTTTGTCGAAGATCTGGCTTTTGATTGGTTGATTTTTATACCCAGATCAGCTGGAAGTAGCTAAATAGGTAGTTTAAACTTTCAAGCCACAGTCTATTGCTCTTGGTGTCCTGTTTTCTACCCAGGTTTTACCTGAGTTCTATTGTCAACATTAGCTCCAAAATTGACTGTTGTTATATGATATTATATTTTTACAGATATATCACTCAGGAAGGTCATAAACTTGAAGTAGCTCCACGTCCACCAGAGGCATTAACTAATGCAGTTTCATGGAGAGGACAGGGGATTAAATATAGGAAGAATGAAGTCTTCTTAGATGTCATTGAATCTGTTAATTTATTGGTAACTGTCCTACAATTTCTTGCAGTACATTTTTGTACTAAAATCCTCTGTAGAAATAGATATCAATGTAGTCTGTTTTAACATAATTGTGATATTACATTTGTAGTCAGAAAACCATCCATTTATTGCCATGTTTTCATGTGTTTTTGTAGGTCAACTCTAATGGAAATGTGCTTCAAAGTGAAATAGTTGGAGCGGTGAAGCTCAGATGCTATCTGTCAGGAATGCCTGAGTTAAGACTCGGGTTAAATGACAAAATACTTTTTGAAAACACAGGCCGTAAGTATAATTCTTTTCCTTTTGTATGTTGCAATTACATGCAGAATATTTATGATGAAAAGGTTAAATATTCTTTTCTCTTGCACCTGCCAGTTGAAAACATATCCATGTCTTTGTGTTTCTGTGCAGGTGGTAAAAGTAAAGCAGTTGAACTGGAAGATGTCAAATTTCATCAATGTGTCCGACTATCAAGATTTGATAATGACAGAACTATTTCATTTATCCCTCCTGATGGGGAATTTGAGTTGATGTCATATCGCCTAAACACACATGTAAGTAGGTATATTATATATAATATGTTTAAAGATACTAGCTTCATCTTATTTTACTGAAGCCACTTCTTTATGAGAGTAATTGAAAATTTAAATCCAATTTACATACTATGTGTTCACTTTGCATGCTTATTTGAATATTTTACATAATATATTGAATACAATTTTTTTATATTATTACAATTTTTTTAATATTAATTTGCCTATTTTTTATTTTTTGCTTGATGTCAAGGTGAAACCATTGATTTGGATTGAATCTGTCATCGAGAGGCACTCCCATAGCAGGGTGGAGTACATGATTAAAGTTAGTATTTGCAGTATATCTTTTCTCTTGACAAACCAGATCATTATTTTGTAGGTGTAGTTTTCTCTAACAATATGCAACATTCAACTGGGATATCCAAGATAATTTTGTGCCTTGGTCTTTGAGTACCGTGTTTCTTTACCTTATGCAGAGAATTGATAAATATATAATCGATCTTACCATGATGTTCACCTGTTTTTATAGGCTAAGAGTCAATTCAAAAGACGTTCGACAGCCAATAATGTTGAGATTCAGATTCCTGTACCTGCTGATGCTGATTCGCCAAAATTTAAGGTGATTTTTTTTATGTGTATATGTCTAAATTATGCATCCATCACTCGTCTATTAGTAATTATATTCTAAAAAGAACACCACGCGAATTTTTAAAGTATTTTAATAATCTAATCCTTCATTCTCCTAACCAGCTACACACATATTTTTCTTCAATGCGACTGATTTTTATGTTGATCCATCGTATTAGTTGGCTTGTGCTTGATTTGTTTGATAATTGAAATTCAATATAGACAACGGTGGGAACAGTGAAATACGCTCCAGAGACCAACGTCATTGTCTGGAATATAAAATCATTCCCAGTAAGTCTTATTTAATGTGTTATAGTCAATCACTCTTCATCTAACTGTTTGACTTTTACCTCCTCCATATCACTTCCCCGATAGAATTTATCTTTATTCACTATGGTTTGCAAATTCTAGGGTGGAAAAGAATTCTTAATGAGAGCTCATTTTGGTCTCCCAAGCGTTGAAGCAGGTAAGGCTATTTCAATGCACGCAAGCCAGAGCACGCAGCCCATCTCGTAGCTAGGCCCTGGGGATGAGGATGATGCAGCCTAGGTTTCGAATACTAAGCCAATACAGGGCTGGTTGTATTAATCAGCTTTAAAACATTAGCTTCAACATAGTCCCATAGTATTGAATTGCTAATCGTATTTTAACCACTCATAACGTAGTTGAGAGTTTTATACAACTGGTCCTAAATTTACGTAACTTTTATACTGTACAGTATATGCTAGTTTGTTAGATTAAATTAATATTCTTTGATATTTACAGAGGAATCACAGGGAAATCCTCCAATTAAAGTAAAATTTGAAATTCCATACTTCACTGTATCTGGTATACAGGTTAGTGTTACCAAACTCATCTCTCTTAGTTTCTTCGCGGTATAATAAGTAGCATGCAGTAACCTAACCGAATTCTAACCAAATAACGATGATTCGTTCCAAGGTTCGATATCTTAAGATTATCGAAAAGAGTGGTTACCAAGCTTTACCGTGGGTCCGCTACATCACACAAAATGGAGGTAATTTTTAGCAGCCTAAGGCCCGTTCACGTGATCCAACTTTGTCGCATCCAATTCACTTCTGGCGTATGGAATAAAGTTTGTTACGGACAAAAGCAGTAAGCATTGGTTTCACTGTGGTTTCAGTGGAATTGCAAGTCAATTGACTATAAAACATCCATCAAAAGTGAATTGGATCCCACAAAATTGGATCGTGTGAACAGACCTTTATACCCCCGATCATTTCCCAGATAACGAAAATTTTTTTACTTACAGATTACCAACTGCGTACGACGTAATTTATACCAACGATGATCTCTTCTCATCGATAATAAGACTAATATTGATATTGAGAATTTACAAATTTATTCCTCGTTTATACGCTAGGTTCGCGTCCCTATTAAATAGTAACGGACAAATATAATTTGACATTTTTTGATCGAGGGTAATTAGAATTTTTGGTACAATATTGTGACTTGTGTACAATTCTAAACATATCACAGTTCGTATGAATGGAAACACTTCCTGATTACTTTGAGTCATCTCACTTAATTCTTTAGAGTTGTCGCATGTATTTGTATAACTTTAATTATCTTACAGTTTCTATAGGAGTTTAATACCTCTTGCATTTTTAAAACGCTTTAAAAACACTATCCTTACTACTCCCGTTTATGTTTAAGCCGCCTTATTAACACTTTGAATAATTGCATCGGCCTTGTCTAGAAAAAGTCCCCCTAATGAAGAATCATTTCCGTTGAACTTTAGTTATATTAGACAATTCTTGCCAATTTCATGAATTTAAAAATCAAATTTGAAAATTGTAAAACTTCAATACTTGTAAGTCAAATAAATTTACAAAAAGTTGCATCTTAACTGTTGTTTATTTCGACCGTATATAAAGATATTCCGTTGTTTTTGCCATTGTGGTTGGTTTTCAGCTCTCGATGTGTTTCAGGGACATCGTGCTGACCAGGTTTTGGAAGATTACTCATCACATTGCATCACAATCTATTAAAACAAACCCAACGTACTTTCTTCGATTGATTATTGTGATTGTTCTCGCACTTCGGAAAGCAATTCCTCTACTGCAAACTTGTAAAGAGCTTGATTCAGTTGTTTGGAGTCCTTCAGCTGTTCATTCAATTCAGTTTTATTGAGTACTTTCTCATCACCACACAACTCATCATCACAATTCTAGGAAACGTTATTAGCCATTAGCCATTTACGAGCATTTACTATTCATTGTTCCTCAACTTTATCGACATAAGACATCTCATCGAAATACATTCAGTACCTCTCTCAATACGCACTCTAATAAATGATCGCGAGATGCTTGTTTTTCATGCCCATTCTAGATATGAAAAAATATATTTCAGACCAGGTAAAATAATCTTAGTTGAATCAAAGCACGAAATTCAGAACGTGGGGAAAGAGGCAGTGCCATTTAGACCTTCTTTAATGTGTGGCTTGGCAACGCCAACGTTATCCCAAATCTTGCTGAAATGGTTATTTATCATTACAGCACAACTGAGGAAGTTGGATTCTACTGACCTTTCTCTCAAAAATTTTGATAGGAACTTTTTCCTCTTGCGAGGAAAAGTCGTGAAGACTTCTCTTGAAAGTTCCAAGAACTGGTAATGATGGTTTAGAGCGTTTGATGTCAAAATTTTGAAAATGGGGATAGATTCGTACGTTTTCCACGCTACCTAAGTTAACACAATTTTAACTGAGTTTGAAAGAAGGAAAAAGAAAATGCAGAGATAATTTTGGCATAAATCCTGTACCTTTGTGTTCTAAGACTCTTAAACATTGTTTACTTGAGACATCCCAAACTCTAGCAGTACAGTCTTTTGATCCTGACAATAATGTAGAGCCATCCATTGACAATGACAGACTATTAACTTGCAAGCTGAAAAAAATTGAAAATTATTGGTGTTTAGTTACTGTCTAATGTAAAGATACAGTTATAGACAACATTTCCATTGGCTTGAATATGCTTGAACTGATATAATCACCCAAATTTTCAAGTCTCAATGCTGCATCTATGCAAAACTACAAAAATGACCATCTCCGTTTCATACTGACCTGTGACCAACATAACATTGTGCACCAGTGTGTTCATCTAAATTTTCTCTTTCCATTGTCTGTGCAAGTGGAAACATTTTCTATTACAAACTCAGATGAATGGAACTACAAACTCATAAGGAATTTGCATGGCACATGATGACAAAATCAAATTGGCCAATAATGAACACCACACCTGAGAGAATAAACAAACAGAGTATATTTTCCCATCCATCCCTCCTGCAAACAGTCTGTATTCAGCCGCATCCATGACAACAGATATAATTGCAACATCATAAATGAATGAACGTAGCAGATGACCAGTAGAGAGATCCCAAAGCTTAAATAAAATATAATTATATTATTAATTTTCCATCTGTGTATGTAATGACAAAACTAGGCTATATTCTGCACAATGCAAGGCTTCTGTCATGTTAACAGAACTGTGAATAAATGTCTTCATCAAGCAATTCAACTTGTTTACATCTTCCATTTGTTTTGCAAAGATGTAAAGATTATTCTCACCACTGACCAGAGAAGCTAGTCCCATTTTACTGGGGTGGCCGTACAAATTTCTTTGTATAAAAAAATCAAATATACCTTGCAAGTGTGATCCAAAGATGAGGTTGCAACTCTTGAATATTTTCCACCACAACCAACATGAATTGATGTGATTGGCAAAGAGTGACTTGACCAGGTGTATTTGGGTGTTATAGTTTCAACTTCAAAACCACGAGAATGTGACAACACTCTGAAAAGTTGACAAGAAATAATACCTTATAATTTGCATTGCAGGATTAATTCATCAGGCTTGCTACAACACATCATATGATATCAAAAAAATTGTTATACACTACCTTACCAAGGGCCATACTGAGACTAAATTGTCATCAGCCCCTGAGATAAGATATGAGCTATCATCTGTGAAATTTAGGCATGTGATTGGTTGAAAATGCTTTGATAAAGTACATAACAGGTTACCAGTTCCAACCTGTAGAATAAAAATCCTCTCAAAAAATGCTATAATTTGCCTGTTGTAAAAGAACTTCTTTTTCTATTGTTCCTTTTTTTCTAAACAAATCCAGGCGAGTGAGGTATAGAATGCCTTGAAAATGGTTTAATCCACAAAGTTAAATCAACCACAAATATACTTTTATTCAAACTTATTTACCTGCCAGATATAGATTATCTCAGAACAAGCTACTGCACAAAACAATCCATTGGGAGAGACAGCCAATGCTGTTGGAGTGGCTGGACACATAATTTTGCAATGCATTTGTTCCTAAAATATATATAATTTATGTAGTGGAAAAAATTCCAAATTATGAGATATCATATTCTAGTTCTTCAAACACATTTCATGCCCCCAAAAGGTTATGTTTTAATACTCTAAGAAATAGGGGGTGGGGGGAGGAACATTGTGCCGCAATGCCCTTCTGGCACAGCAGCTCTTGCTTTGACATCACACCAGACATACCTTGCTGATATCCCATACATGTAAGAAAGGTTTGTTGATTTGGGCTGCTAGAATGTAACTTTGAGAAAACAATGTCAAACATTTTCTTGGGCATACACCATGTTTATATGCTTTCAACTGCATCCAACTTGCAGTCTCCCAACATAAAACACATGGACTTTCTGAACCATTGTCAGTTGTTAGAGCTATTTCTTCCGACATCTTGAAACAATTCAGATCATTATCTGTGGGGCGTTGTTTATCACTCACATAACAGTATCTGCTGCAACATTACAGTAGAGAGGCATGAGCTGAATTGTTACTCTTGCGTCTTGGCACGTGTAGCTCGGACTAGCTCATCTATATCTTTTTTATATGACGTACTCGCGGCTAAGGATTGAGCAAGAATGCAGGATTGAAACTTAACTTTTCAAGTGATTTAATTGTGTTTACTGTATGGCTTTTGTAACAAAGATATCGTGAAATTTAGGCACAGATGATTTACAGCGCATAGCGTAATAAACGTATTAATAAAATCTCAATAACATTCGTGTAAAGCATCATCATTATAAGTTGGTGGATCTTAAGGATAAGATTTCAATACGTCATGTAAGAAGCAATATAATTGTCATATTGTGCTACAACGAAACAAAGTTTTAAATGTCAAAGATGGAAGAGCAACTTTGTCTGGAAGAGAATCACTCTCTATCTATTTTAAACGCTTTAAATGACTTCAGAGAGGACAAATTCTTATGTGATCTTGTGCTGCTGGTGCAGAAAAAGGAAATGTATTGTCATAGAAACGTCTTGGCAGCTGGTAGTCCATATTTTCGTGGCATGTTTTCAACCAAGATGAAAGAAAATATGGAAAGCAAGCCAGTTATATTAAACGATTTGACTGTAGAAATAATGGAACAAATTTTAGCTTTTTTGTACACTGGGCAAGTTCTGATAACGGCTGAGAATGTTAAAGACATTGTTGCTGCTGCAAACTACTTTCTAATGGATAATTTGAAAGAAACTTGTTGCCAATATTTAAAGAAGAACTTAAAACCTTCAAATTGTTTGGGAATAGAAGCTATTGCAGAGCAATTTGGTTGCGATGAACTAAAACAATCAACACACCAGTATATATTAGATAACTTTGTTGAAGTTTCTCATTGCAAAGAATTTGTGTCACTTTGTTGTGAGCGACTCCTTGAACTTCTATCGAATGATGAAACAAATGTTGAAAAGGAAGAGCAGATTTATGAAGCGCTCATGACTTGGGCTAAAACTGACAAGGACCAACTTGAACGGGTCAAAGAGTTAGAAAATCTCTTGTGTATGGTGCGGTTTCCATTGATGTCACCATATTACATTGCTGACCATGTTGAGAAGGATGAAATTGTCACTTCCACATCATGTTGTAGCTCATTGTTGCTAGAGGCCAAGAATTATCATCTTTTGCCTGATAGGCGCCACCTACTAGATAACTACCGAACTCGACTTAGGAAATCGATGGGTTTGGTAAATGTTATTATTGGCGCAGGCGGTATTGAGAAAGGTCAAGTCAAGCATACTACATTCTGTTTTCTTCCACAGCGAAATACGTGGTTCTATCTTACACCAATGTCTACTGCTAGGTGTCGTCATGGCCTTGCAGTTATGGGAGAGTTTGTATATGCTGTGGGTGGGCAATCACGAGAAGGTTTGTATATCAACTAAGTTTGCATGACTGGTATAAGAATGCAGTTTCTAATTTACCAGGCCTAAACTGATTTTAGCACACAGTCAATGCGTCTTTGATCGAACGCATTGATAAGCAAATGCATGCATTCATCATCAATGCCAAATCAATGATACTATGGGGTCGTTAGACAAGTCTAATTTATTGACAATGCTTCTAATATGTGTTAAAGGTTCTGCTCAAAGTTCATTGAACAATGTTGAACGTTATGATCCAAGAACAAACACTTGGGCACCAGTTGCCCCTATGATGAAGAAAAGAAGTTTGTTGAATGTTGCTGTCCTAGATGGTAAATAATTTTTTTCATATTTACAAAGACAATATCATAATAGTAAGGCAAACCAAATGTTCATGCTAAAATATTTGTAGGAACAATGTATGCTGTTGGTGGTTGTGATGAAAATAACGTACGTCAGAATACAGTTGAGAAATATTGTCCAGGTACCGACACCTGGACTATGATCTGCCCGATGGCGTCAACTCGTAGTAGCGCATGCGTAGTGGGGTGTTTTGGCCTTTATGTGATTGGTGGCGTTAATTTCTATGGCATGTCGCTGAATTCAGTTGAGAAGTATGATCCAAGTACAGATACCTGGTGCGAGGTGTCATCATTAACCAACAAACGTGCCAGTGCATGTGGGGCATTTTGCAATGGAAAGATTTATGTTATTGGTAAGCTTGTATGTTTTATTCATGCATTTAGACACATTAGAGAGAAAGGTAATTGTTTCCATGTCTGTGCTACTTTTTTTCTGCATAGAGTATAGAGCAAGCTTGGACCCAGGGTAATTACCCTGCTCCCCATCTTTTTCAATAACTCACCAGTGTTATCTACATAGGTGGCTGGGATGGTACAAGTCATTTGAACTCAGGGGAAGTATATTCACCCGAACTTGATGAATGGGATCATATTCCTCATGCCAATACTGCGCGATGGGATGCCGGGATCGCTGTGGATGATAATAAAGTTTATATTGTTGGTGGGTGTGACCGCAATGCATTGTGTACATCGGAAACTGAATGTTTCGATTCCGAAAAGAACGAATGGTCAATTGTGGCATCGCTGCCTTTCGCTATTCATGGTTTAAAATGCAGCAGCATACCCGTCGCAAACAAGTTTTTCACAAAGTAATTTGACCCCTACAATCAGTAGGTTCTGCAGTTGTTGTGTGAATACAGCTAATGAATTCGTTTTTGCCAAAGCTGGGCTTTCGTTCATATCGCCAGCTTGGTCCAAAGTTTAGGTTGAAACTGACCTCGCAAAAAGGGGAGCAGCGAGGGAGACTAGCCGGTTTCTAACAAACAAAATTTTTGTGCGAATGTGACTGAACAACGTCAAAGTCGTTATATATATTGTAGCACCGATCTACTCTCTTGCTTATTAAATTTTTGTGTTGTAAAAAGGTTTAATGCTGACGATATCTCATAAAGACTTTAAGATCTGTATCTAAAAACATATATCAAAACGAAAGAACTCCGATATCTATATCATCGTCACGCAAACTTAAGATTTAGTCACCGAGACCAAAATCATTGTCAAACCAAATAACTATTTTAGAAGCGGGCTCAGATCGTTTAGGTGGAGGAAAATAACGTAAAGTGATTGTGAAACTATTTACTAAGTAGCATTACAGTGTAAGTGGTATACAGGAAGAGTAGAAGTTCTTTGGAAGCTCTGGGACCGTTATCGGTCTTGGTGCCTAGTAAGTTAATAACTTCTGAAGAACTTGTATTTTTCTGGTCAATCTTCGTAGTATTGTCAGTTTGTAAATAGTTTCGAATTTCATATCGTCAATGACATTATACCATTTACATCCTTTCACCCAAAATTTTTATAACTTAAAATTTTAGTTCGCAAAATGGTGTTATAAGGTTATCGGAGTTCTTTTATATTGCATGACATTATCTGCAGAAAAACAGGAAGAAGATATAAAAATGTTAAATGTTGTTATAAAGATATGTATAGAACACTAAATATAGTACATTATTTATGAATAGATTATCCAGTTTTAATTCCCGATTTCTGATCTTATATTGGTCATTGTATTCTTCATTACATATTATCCTGGTTTGGTCTTGCCATTCTCTTTGAGATTTTTAGGGCCTAAAGAAATCGAATAAAATGGAATGAAATGTGACATTAGGCCCATGACATTAGGCTTTTTTGTGTAAGATTATGTCGTACTCCACCGTCTTGTTGCCGAAACTCTGGGTAAATGTTTATCGCAAATTCAACTCAATTTTAAATTCAATTTTAATGCCAATGATTCGACCATGGTCGAATACGCCATTTTCCGGCAGACTCGACCATGGTCGAATACGCCATTTTCCGGCAGACTCGACCATGGTCGAATACGCCATTTTTTGGCCAATTCGACCATGGTCGTGTTCGCCATTTTTCGGCCAATTCGACCATGGTCGTATTCGCCATTTTCCGGCCAATTCGACCATGGTCGAATTCGTCATTTTCCGGCCAATTCGATTATTCGACCATGGTCGAATTCGTCATTTTCCGGCCAATTCGACCATGGTCGAATTCGTCATTTTCCGGCCAGTTCGACCATGGTTGAATTCGTCATTTTCCGGCCAATTCGACCATGGTCGAATTCGTCATTTTCCGGCCAATTCGACCATGGTCGAATTCGCCATTTTCTGGCGAACTCGACCATGGTCGAAAACGCAGTTTTCCGGGCCAGGTGATCATGCGGTGACTGTGGCGGACCGGCGGTTATGTTCAATGAGAATATATCAGAATATATTATATATGAGATTGAACTTCAATCTCCATCCAGTAAATACCGCGAAGGTCTGCATTTAAATTCCCGGATGCAAATTTCAAGTAAAATTTTTTCGCGCGCATTTATAATGGCCGCCATTTCAAGTGCGGGGAAATTTGTATCACATTATATTTGTAATAAAACTTGATATATGGAACTGTAGGTGTACTCCAAAGATGTAAGTGTTTGACTTATAATGTTTTTTAAAAAATGGGCTCCGTTTGAGGTATTTAGATGCGCATTTGTGTTTTAAACACGTAGACACACGGAGAGCACTTTTATTGTGTCAAGTTGCTGTTTTGATTCATTAGGTTCATGTCACGTTTAATTAGATATCTTTTGCATTGTGTTAAATTCCCTCTGTGCTTTTAAGGTGTTACCACCAGCACTTAGATAGTTGTGTTTCTTTAGTACAGAAACAAATTATCGGATTTCTATCAATGAAGAAAATGGTATTTTAAACCTGAGGCTTTGTGTTGTCTGTGATCTTTGGATATCAGTTTGCAAAATGAGCAAAGAGGCACAAAATGTCCCAATAGTTACCCTTGCTGGTGTTGCTAATATTGGTGATTGTAAGTATCTATATATAGGAATGCTGCTGTGTAGTTAACAATGAACAACTAGGAAAAACAAGTTTATTATTTGTAGTAGGAAAAACCTAGACCAAAAGCATTGGAATTAATTCAAAAGCAAACTCACCAGAGTGTAAAGTTTGCAGAAAACATTTTATATTAGCTAGACATCCTAGAGTCTCTGTGATTGCAATATATGCAAGTGGCAGGGCATCTCATAAAAACAGTTTCTTGACATACATGCACATCGTGTCCACTTAGACAATTAGGGATGCAAGATCATGTGTAGTACTGCTTATTATTTTTATATTATCTCATAGTTTTGTCAGAGCTGCCTTTGCCAAAGAAGACAAAGAAAGAAGCTATCAGTTTATTTCCCAACAACAAAACCAGTTCAGATGCTTGGAAAATTATCTCAAAGCATGACATGACACTGGCTACGCAGCTGGCTAATGCCCTTAATCAAGTTAACACAGATCACTTGTATGTTGTACTTTAAAATACAAAAACTAATTTTGAGGGCACATTTGGCATGCATAATATTGAATGCATAATAAATCTCACCCTATTTAGAAAACTAAAAGATAGTGTTGCAGATAATGCAAAGGATGTTGCAAGAAATACTGATCCAAAATTGATGAAATTGTTGTCCCAGCATATTTCTTATCTGTTTAAGTCTAGAGGTAACTATTTTATACATGTATTGGCATGGTTTAATGGCAAATACAGAGATGAATGAAGTTGCCCAATTGCCTAGATGCTAGACTTGCTACAAGTCAACTCTTTAAACCCACACGCGAGCTTGAGCGACCAAGCGTAGCGAGGACGCAACCATGGCCTTTTTCATCTAGGGAGGCTTTTAGACCTAAACACCTTCATAATTTATCTATTATATTTCATGCAGTCACCGGACCAATTTGATTAACCAATACTTGCTGTAGCTTTATAGTATGTTTTTGTATGTGTTACAGGTCAGCCTCACCAGCAGTCTGATTTTTCTATAAATTCTATGATGGGAAATACTGGAAGAACTTCAATGATGAATGGCCAAGCTGGGTTACACGAACAACAAGTAGCCTCATCACAACAAGGTAATCCATAATTCAAACAACAGTCTTTTACCAACTAATGCCTAAAAGTGTTACTAAGCATAAAATGAAGACGCTTCTATTTGTTGCTCAAAGGTCAGAGTTACTACTCCCAGATGAATACCCCTATACATGATCTTTCACCATTAAAAACAAGAAGTATGAGGACAAATTCAGCAACACCATCTAATCCAAGAAACCAGAATTATGAATCAATGCAAGGTATGTATATATTTTCTTAACAAATTAGACATGCATCTTTGTGAAATATAATTTTACTGTCAGGGTCCAATGTAATCTTGTTGATCTGTGTTTAGGTAAGTCGTTTTGACTTAGTAGCAGTATTGCTAACTATGATTCTGTGTTTGTTGCATTTGTTAAAGATGCTCACTCTAGTGTAAGCAGACATAAACATGCAAAACCAAATCAAGAGTTTTCTCCACTAAAGACAAGAGGGATGAGAACAGACTTGCACAATAGCAGTAGACAACTGCATGGTGAGAAAATAATAATAAACTAAAGTATTTTCTGCCAAATTTTATAGCTTCCTGTTATTGCCACTCTCTTTAGGGGCTACACCTGGTTGGCCTGCAATGGCCAATGAATACGACAATTCAAATCAATCAAACATTCCAAGAAATTTAAACAGTTTACAAGCATTTAATGATAGTTTCACAGATTCAAATAAACAGGCAGAATTAGCAAGAAATGGATACATCACTTCCAGTCGAGATAAACTTGAATCACCACGAGCTGAATTTTCAAATCTTAGCAGCAATGTTTCTGATGAAAGACATTCTCATGCTTCTAAGAAACACAAAAAATCGAAGAAACATAAATTAAACGAGGGTGATGATGAATATATGGATGGTGGTATTCAAGTTCAGCCGAATGCTCTTGCAACTGAGAATGTTTCGGTAGTTGATTCAAGCGAGAATTTCTTTAGAAGAAATGAGAAACAATTAATACCAAAAATAATTTTATCAAGAAACGCAGCAGATTCGAATAAATTCATCGTGAAGGAGAATGCAACAAATTCAGAGAACAGTCTAAAAAGAAGAAGGTTGACCTCGGAGGATAGTGGTCAGAATTTACCAGATAACAAACGATCGAAAAATGAGATTGGAGTTAATGATGAACTCCCAGTCCTAATCCCGTCAATTCCTATTAAGCTTGATAGGCGGTTATCAGCTCGTTCAGTGGATGTCTATGGTGAGTGTTATTTATTTGACCCATTTTCTTGCGTTACATCCAAGCTATTTATCTCAAAATACTTCTCTTCATTTTATCAAAGCTTCTCTGATCTCTCTACATGTGTTAACGGGACATTTCAAAGAACACTCAATCCACAAACGCACTTGTAATGTTTTCTGTGAAAATAATTTTATTTTTATATCCGTTTATACATATATTCATACATTTTTTAAAGCAATAGGCGTTACTATTTACAGTATTGCTTCTTCTCAATGGCCATTTTTATATGCGTAATAGTTCCTCATGTTTCACGCAAAGAAGCGGTAGAGTATAATCAATTATATTTATACAGATTATCGACAATCAACTTCATTCAAAAGATTCGCTGAAAACATGGAAAATATGTTTGACTTTGACGATGAATGTGATATTAGCAGCTCAATTGATAATGGTAAGCTACATACGTACAAGCGATAAACATGCATCAAGGCCGCGTTATTTCATGTGTTTTGGAACTAGCTGATTTGTCAAGTCAAGAGGACAGATTTCTATATTCTCTGTCTTCGGGGACCCCTTTCGCCATGCAATTACAACTTTTCGAAGCGTAACAACGCCTGATAATTTGATATCAACCACGTTTGTTTAGAATCGCAAGAAGTCGATGCAGAATTCCTTCTTACCAGAACCGCACTTTTAGATATGTGCACCGAAACTGCCAAACTAAAGTCAATGAACGTTCTTTCAAAGGTATTTGAATAGCTATAGCTACTAATTGGCGAGTTTTCCGAGATTTTGAAAACAGGAATGAATGAGTTAATTAAGATTGATTTATTCATTTATAGGTTGACGAGAATGATTTATCAAGATTGATTATAATAATGAAAAGGCATATTAAAGACGGTATTAAACTACAGTTAGCATCTGGTCAGGTAAGTTGTCGCGTGAGAACAAGCAGGCTTTTTCATTTGCTGAAAGCCAATTTTTATCTTTATATGACTGTGTAGTATACTTGCCTCCATGTGGCTGTAGCTATGTTTTGCAACTTTAAGATCAACAGGTCAAGCTAATTGTCTTCTTCACAGGATGACGACGAGGAACAAAAGATGTGGAAGGGTTTTTATATGGAGCGTATTTTACGTTCATTTGATGCGGCGTTATTGGTTCTACACATCATGACCGCCCCAGGAATGCCTAAGAAAGTCTACATAGAAGAAATTATCGAAATGATTGTATCTTTAATCAGATACAATCTACAACATAATATATTTCCCGAATATGATCCATTATATAAGGTTGAGCCTGACTCTAAAGGTATAAACTTTAAGATTGACTCTTTTTCCATATTTCCATAGAAATATATCAGTTTTCGACCGCATTACCTTTATTCACGCTATAGTTATATAACAGTTATTGTGTGTGTCTGTGTGAAAGCTTTAACCACAGCTTAGAAGTTGTTTAATTATTGTTCCTATTGTTTTATAGACTCTGGATTGATTTCAACCAAAGCAAAACGAGCAAGATCTGCAAATAAAGGAAAAATATTTGTCGAACTGTATAATAAGATCTGTACTGCTGTGTCGCTTTTGGGAGATTTAATGGACATTGAGAGACTGACGGATACTATTGTGTTACAGGTGACATTTACACTATATATGAAGATCTACGAATTTGACTGCTGGCCCGATACAAGCAACTATACCATATGTCCTTTCTAATCTATTTATATATAGGTGTCCAGTGTTGGAACGACACCATTCTTTGTGGAAAACGTCAGCGAATTGCAGCACAGTGCTCTTAAACTTGTTAGAACGGTAAGTTGATTATTGCACATACATACATACAGTATATATCTTTCAGCAAGGCAGACTTAGACTTAACAACATTATGAATTTCTCACATCGTTGTGATATATAGCTACTGACTACTACTCATGTGCATTTTAGACATTTCAAAAATATCTAAAGCACAGAGAGCTCATTTTAGAAGATATTTTCGCCTCACTGGCAAGATTACCATCAAGTAAAAGAAACTTACGAAGCTATCGGTAAGTTTCTGTTTTTGTACTTTCTTGCGTGGAGTTGCATGGGCAACACTTGGTAGTGTAGATCCATGGATTGTAAATTATTTTATTAACCTTAGCTCTATATATTTATTTAATAGTATTCAAGGAGATGACTATATTCAGATGGTGACAGCGTTAGTTCTGCAATTGATTCAATGTTCAGTAAAAATCAAAGAAAAGCCATCAGTAATCGAGGAAGAGGAGGCTTCACCTGAAGTACTCAAAGTGAGATATTTCATGAAATTTATATTTTGATACCAGATTACAGATAGTGTCAGAATGTATATAACCTTCCCTCCCTTTCCTCTGGCTGTAATTATATCTATTTCCGTAGATGGACAGAGAACTTGAGATTATTGGGTCGTATGAAAACGCTTTACGCACAGCTCAGAATTTCTTGTCTATGTTTTTAAACAAGTAAGTACATGTATAAACATATTACTTTCTCTTATATCATAAATGATATAAATTATACAAGTGAGTAGCTAATGATTTTGCTCAAATTTTTTTGCAAAATCCAAAAACGATCGCACTATACACTACAGTATATATATATATTATCTACAATATTCTCACAGATGTAACACCGTTGGTAAAGACGAGGAAGACTACCGCCCCTTGTTTGAAAATTTCTTGCAAGATTTGTTAGTTACTCTGAACAAGAATGACTGGCCTGCCTCCGAAGTGTTGCTGACATTGCTGGGTAGACTTCTTGTAAGTACAGACTACAGATGAATAGCATTACCATGCATGTATCCAGCAGTTTTTTTAAAGAGAAAATGCTTTTTAAAAATCTATAAACTATACCGTAAAATATATTTGAGTTATTTATAGTTTTACAGTAGTTTAGTATGGCCGATGTCGTATTCTGACATATACATAATAGATGAAAAGAGTGCATGGGTTATAGCCAGGATAACGAAGGGACGCTTGCAAATCTTGAATTTATCAAAAGAGTTTCGTAAGAGTTTTGTAACTGCATGTTAATTTTCCATACGACTTTTCCAAACGTTGAACAATAAACTATATATTAAAACAGGTGGTGACATTTGGCAATCGTTCTAATGATATGGGCTTGCGTGTCGCGTCTTTGGACTATCTTGGTGTTGTGGCTGCACATCTTCGTCGAAATTCGATGTTAAATAAAGAACAAGAACAAGAAGATCTCTTGGCAATCATATCTGAGGTATATACTATTGCATATGTATTAATGTATATACTATTGCATGGGTTTATCCTCCTACAATTGAATTACCTTGTCTCTCAATTACGTTAAAAATGCAGATAGACTATATAGGAACAGTGCAGTCATGAATTAAGTACTGTGTTTGTAGAATATAAGAGTAGAATATGTTGGTGTTCTTAGCCTTCAATGTTCTACGCGTGTATATTTAGATTACAGGCGACGAAGTTGCAGAACACGACGAAATCGTTGAATTGGTAAGTTGCTCATCTTGTAGTTTATATTTCGTGTTTACAAGCAAAAACTAAAACTGGAACTTTTGGTAGGAGGAAGCTGGTTTCAAAATTGAGCAGAAGCTACAGAAATATTTGTTAAAATATTTCCACGTGAAAGGGAAAAATGACCCTACATTATTGGTAAGTTTGAGTGGTTTTGCGTCGGGGTGATTTAACTTAATCTTAATCTCTTGGTTCAACATAATCTAAAACTTAATCTCACTTCTTAGCTTGCCAAGCAGTTTTACTTATGTCAGTGGATACGCGATAATCAAACAGAATTGGAGAAAGCATACAAAGCTACAGTTCCAAATGGAAACGATAATGATTTACAGCCGACCAACATTGGAGGTGACGATGTTACGTCTTTAGAGGCCAAAAAAGCATTTCTCTTTTCGCTTGTTGATGAAGATTGGCCACAGCTCAGGTATATTTCTATGTGATGTAGTTTTCCAGCATCGTGATTGACTGATCTATATGTAAATGAGTAATATTATATTGATAAAGTGAGTCATGCAATCACGCTGTATCTTACAAATGTAGAATTCCAAATGGTTTTCTGGATTATGAGAGAGCTAATTTGGTAGCTAAATATCTGACATCCAAGCGATCATTCCTCAAAAGTTTCGATGTTTATCTTCAACAGGTAACCGTTTTGTTAAAACACATTACGACTTCTGTCCATAGAGCTCTTTAAAATCAAATCGTATTTTTGTTGTATGCCACTGTATTAAGTTCTTGTTCATTACATTAGATCCTAAGAGTTCTTAACGAGACAGCAGTAGCTGTAAGAACGAAGGCGATGAAAGCTTTATCGTCAATAGTTGCTGTGGATCCAAGTATCTTAGCAAGGGTACGTTCACTGGCTTTGTTAATGCAAATCTTTTTTCTGTATATTATAACACCTCATTTCGTAAAAAAGATGGGTAATGGTAACAGCCACTCTGCTCCTGCACGCTGTCCCGGCCGAATAAAGGAGGTGAATATATAATTTTCAGCAACCTGGTATTGCAATAGTGAAGTATTGAAGTTCATGGTTGAATACGATTTATATAGGAAGACATGCAGAAAGGAGTTCATGGAAGATTTATGGATCAATCCACTAGTGTCCGTGAGGCCGCTGTTGAGTTAGTTGGTCGATTTATTTTAAATAAACCAGAGTTGACTCATCAGTATTATGAAATGATCATGGAAAGAATTTTGGTAAGCTTTTCATTGTCGAAGGTTTATCTCCATGTTTTTTCTAGCGAGCTTGTTTTCAAGAGCTGAGAATAAATTTAACTTGTTACTGCCTGCCTTTTTGTATATCAATTTCGAAATGTTTGTATCAGTGATGTCGAAGTACGTCGTGTTTTTAGGATACGGGTGTTAGTGTACGAAAGAGGGTGATAAAGATTTTGAAGGACATTTGTATTGCTCAACCCGACTTTCCTAAAATAACGGAGATATGCGTGAAGATGATCCGTAGAATACGAGATGCAGATGGGATAAAGGTGAGATTTTGATTATCTGAATAGTGATTTATTGCCCTCAAGTCGTGTACAGTCAGTGACGTAGCCAGCTTATTTTAGGTTGCTACAATAATTAAGTACTTTAGAAATGGATTATTTTCACATTTAACGAACATCAAACTATCAGCACAATGGGCCAAAATCGCCAGGCTGGCCGCACTGCTAACCATATTCTTTCACAAGTCATTTCTTCACCTCTATTCAAACATGATCTAAGAAAAGAGTCTTGTTAATTATTAAGTTATTATTGTTTGATTAATCTTGAATTTTGCTTTACAAGGAACTTATAACTAAAGTATTTCAACAAATGTGGTTCATTCCTTTGGAAAAAGGCAAGATGCAGCAAGATGATATTCTGTTAAAACGCGCAACAAATATTGCTGACGTGGTATGTTTTTGGTGCATAAATTTACTTTTGGATAATTTCATCAAAGAAAACTTATTTAAGTATATACCATTACCTAACCATTTAATATCTATATTGGTTATCCATTTTATTTTTGTCTTTCCAGGTTACAGCATTTGGAGAATCTGGATGCGAATGGTTACAGGAACTACTTGAAAATGTAGGTACATTATTTTTCCCCTCTGCAATGTACAAGTATGTGTTTTTTTCGTGGCCTCTTAAGTTCTAATTCATACTAACTACAACTGGTATTAATTTCAATTACAAGTTATGTGTAAAGTCGTGATTTTCAAAGCAAAATTTGAATAATTGCAGTTAATAAAGAACGACGATGAGTCGGATCATTTGACAGCTGGGGCGAAGCAAGTTCTTGAATCATGTTCACAAATTGTTGACTGTTTAGTAGACAGGCTGTTAACTATTGAAGAAAACGTTGTTGGTAAGTTTTCACATGCAATCATAAAAAACACAGGCACATTATACATCTTGCATTAATTCAATCCGTTACAAATTATTTATGTAGCATGTTGCATCTGTAGATGTTGGTTTCCTTGATATCGACATGCTCATCATCCCTATAGGAATAATATTTACCACCCTATTGCATGCATACAGTACATCAATTAAATCTTCAAGTTTTTAGTTCTTGATCAATTAAGTGCATTGTCAAACATTTGGCCTATTTCAAACGTGATTCTCTTGTGCTAAGCGCATAAGAATCCACGGAATCGGTTGAAGCACCTTATTCTAAACAGTATGTTCTCTTAACTATGTTTCTACAATTTCAGAGCAATCAGGTGGAAAAGCTTCAAATAGTCGTCGTTTAATTGGGTGTTTGACAACATTATACTTGATGAGTAAATTCCAACCGTCAATGTTAGTTCGTCACGCGGCTACACTACAGCCATACCTCAGCACAAAATGCAACGTAAGTACACCGTATAACCCGATTATATCTTGGAAATAAGATTATCGATTAGAATTTTCTTAGATGGTATTTGACTTTGATATTGGATCATTGATATTGGAAGATTGCTCATTTGGGTTTTTCGGTTTATTTATCGTTTGCTCTTTCCATTTAGACGCAAGGTGATCATCTTATTCTCCATTATGTTGCTCGTATATTGGAACTAGTGATTCCTCTTATAGAACATCCAGGTGAAGCATTCTTAGCAAGTATGGAAGAAGATCTAATGATGTTAATTCTTAAACAAGGACAGACGGTAAGTATCCAACAGAATCTTATTCCATCGTCACCTTCGACTTCCGCCTTAATAGCACTTAACAGAAACCATTTGCTTCGTTTTATATGTACATAATTGAAATGCGTGTTTTAAGAACATTCACAATGCTCCCAGTTTGGCCTCAAAAATCGGATCTGTCTGCCTTTGTTCTTCGTAGGATAGATATTCTTATATACTTGTGACAAATAGTATCAGTGACATCCTGAAGCAACTTTGTTTTGTTGCTTAGGTTGTTCAAAGTTGTATAGCTTGTCTCGCTGCTATTGTGAACAAAGTGACACATAATCATAAACTGGTGAAAGATTGTTTCCAAAGATATTTTGGTGAGCATAAAATCATTATATATTTCTTATCATAGCATCGTCATTCGTATATTAAAATATACTGTCTTTTTATCTCAACAGCAACTTTAATCCGCGCAAGGAATGAATTAATTCAGAATCAATCATCGACAATACTGAAATCTGACCGTCCATTGTTGAAAAGATCTCTGTTTACATTAGGCCTTCTTTGTAAACATTTTGATTCAGAGAATGACCTGAAGTCTCAGACCAATGTAAGTATACATAATATATAGATAAATATGTAAGTAATTTACAGTACATTGTTTTTTCTGATCGCTTATTCCTAGTCATGTGAATAACAACATATTTCCAAATTACTGTTATTTTGCAAAAGCGGTCTTCAAACAACAAAAGTTAGCACAATTTAGGAATCATGATCTTGAATGTATTAGTGTATTCATATTTTTATGTTTTTTTATCCTAAAGCAGGATTCCATTTCGCGTCAAGTCTACACCATTCTCATTTTCTTTGCCAAAAACAACGATGAAGAGATTTCTCAGAAGGCAATTATTGGTCTTGGTATGTCTTTGTTCCGCTGTGATTGTACTAGCCTGAATATTTTTTGTGTGTGGAAACTGACTTTCATTTGTCCCGTTTTAGGTTTTCTTTTTATCCGTTACCCTAAGTTTCTCCTGGAAGACGGTGCTCGGGATTTATATCAGAGAATTTTATCACCAACGCATCCGTCCTTAAGATTGAAACTGCAGGTACAGTAGCTATCAAAACATCACGCTTTAAAGTAATAGTATTGCCTATATTGGTCTTTGATTTGTATATTAAGAAACAACCTGTTGGACTTCACTTCTCCATGTCTTCGCATTGGAAACCTCCACTGTATTTCTTGATTCCAGGTTTTAAAAAATGTTCAACAACATTTGGTTGAAGAAGAGAATGCAATGACCGTGCGAGATTCAAGCTGTGAGTATATGAAGTGCATGAAAGAGAGTTTGTGACTGTTTGATTGTTTACAAGAGATTGCCTTCATTTTAGGGAAAGAGAAAGCAAACAAAGAAAATCTAAAGGAACTTGGGGATAGTTACTCTGGGTAAGCTTGTGCCTTCTGCGTGCTATCTACAGTTGCTATTGCATAGAGTTTTAGCATAGGCGGATATGAGAAGCTGCTTTAGTAATCAGTGTAGATAAAAATACAGCATCACTATGACCAAGGCTAAAGTTCTCCGGTGTGGGAAAAGTACACCCATTAAGGAGGTTTCAACATGGTTATCAAGTTGTATATTTCGAGTTAATACCATGCATATATCTTCCTTTTCAGAACAATCAGTGAGATCATGCAGCTGTATTTAAAACAAATGCTGGAAACGTTTTTGCACCCTCAATCCATGATCAGACTGTCAGCTCTCACTGTTGTGGATATGATATTGAGACAGGGATTAGTGCATCCAGTTCAGGTATATATGCAGGTCTGGGAAGATCGTGTACAATTTGTTAGCCTTAGCTCAGAGCTGATCTTGACTGTGACTTCTTCTAGTAGTTGTCACAGATTCTAAAATTCTGTAATACAAATCTACAAATTATAGTGTGTATCGTACCTTATTGCTATTGGTACGGATAGCGAACAAGGTGTGAGAACAAAAGCAGCACAAAGATTGGAGGAAATTGACAGTAAATATCCTGGATTTGTACAGGTAATTTATCGACCGCGGTTGTAGAGTTGGTCCAGTACAGTCGAACAACTTTATATTGGTCAGTCTGTTGGACCGTATATAATCAGTGCTGTAGTAATCTTTGACATGCACAGTAAGCTATGTAGCTGAAAACAATATTTTTCCATAGCCAGAAAGTCGCGATGTTTAAAAAAAATATTGCGGCAATATCTGATGCTGAGCAGTATTCAAACTGTATGTTCATAGTTAAGTATCCTAGCCAAATACAATACTGTATGCTGTGTAATCTACAATTGTTGAATGTATATCAATTTCCTTGTATAGATGAAAGCAATTGCGGGAGTTAAAATGGCCTTTGACTTGCAAAAAATTCTTCATAAGGTATTATCATTTAATATACTCAGATAAGGCCCAACGAGGCTAGGCGAGGCTTAGTGAATACTATGACTATAGTAACCTAACTAGTTATGCCCGCTGCGGATCGGTAGGGATGGAGACGGCAGTACGGCGAAGCGAACGAGGTTGGCGATGCGTAGTCTTTACTGTCATTTTCAATCATGCGTACGTCCATCAGATATGGAACCTAAACGGTACCCTCTCCATCCCGTGATCACACTGTCACACGGAATCACAGAAGTGAAAGCCGTGGAAGGAAAACATGAACACACGCGATGCACACATAGTAAATAATTCGATACATACCGTAGGAATCTTTGCAAACCAACTGAACCTAGAGAAGCTAAACTAAAAAACAATAAATGGAAACCATCCCCCGACGGGTGGAATGTCAGGGGAGGAAGGCGGGGCGAACGAAGTGATAAGATAATAAGCAGATAAACAACAAGGCAAGCCATATAAATACTAAGGCCCGGGGAAAATACCCCCGTGCCAAACACCCAACTAGGAACTCACGCGAGGGCCAACTCTTCGATATTAACTTCTTTTATTATACTAATAAATACATTAAGATATTAATATTAGTGCATGTGGTATAATTGTTTGGCAAAACGCACTTAAATACCTCCATTTAGTCGTCAATGTTGTGCTGAATGATGTGAAGTAGTTTGGATCTCTTACAAAATGAAATAACTGTAGACTTCCCACTGTACATCAATCACCTTCGTGTTTCATTTTCTTCTCTTTCTAATAGGACGAACCGTTTGTAAGAGGTTTTCGCGAAGAAAGCACGAGTCATCTTAGCCACCTTTACCTCATCCTTCGTTCAAATCGTCAACACAGGCGTTCTTTCTTGTTATCATTACTGAGAATGATTGATGATGAAAAAGTAAGTAAAACTTGTTTTGTTTCATTCGAAAGAATTCTTAAATTGTAAATGAAACTTTTACTGCAATTCTTCCGTCACATTTTGGTGTGTTTTTTATGTTTTTTGATGACAGATACAAAAACAACTAATCATGATTTTCTTTTTTACCACATATAGAAAACTGGTCTGAATGTGTTACTCTTTATCGTGGATAGTATGGCTTATTTCCCGTTTTCTACATTAGAAGAGCCGTTATTTATCATACACAATATTGATTCAAGGTTGTCATTTACTGGAATGAATATACTACAGTCATTTCAACAGGTAAGAGCGAACGAAGTTTTATATTTTACATTGGTATTCCACATGTTTTGATACAGAATATGCGACGACAGTTCTAGGATCCCTTGTCTGTGATAAGTGAAGAGAAAACATTTTATAAACCATAAAAAAGCAATGGACATCGCAAATGAGTTAGGATTAATATTCGTAAACTATACAAAGCTTACTAATAAATACGTTGCGTTTTACCCAAGTCTGTGTCATTGGGTGTTTTCAATAGAAATTTTTAAATTATGCCATTGTACATTGTAGGCCCTCACACCAGTTGCTACAGAGAATGGTGAAGTAAGTGACGACGTGGAGGAAAATGCTGAAAAAATTTTAGGTACATGAACCTTTATAATAAAGATTGAGTTCATAATTCTTTTCATCATCACTAGGCAAACCACTATGTAGCTATACTTAAAAATATAATCTGAACGAGAAAATCACGAGCATAAAGGCTCGTGCATATTCATTTGTACTTCTTTAATTAAGAAACTACTCCGAATGAAGACATTTTATAGTATTAATTTGTATGCTTTCAGAACGATTACCAACCGATCTTAAACAACTCGAAGACTGCTGGAAATTATGGCAAAACTGCATGCTCTTGCTTCACTTGCGACAGCATCTGAAAGAAACGTACAGTTTAAACGACAGGTTGGATTGCTGTCAATTGTCAAACCGCATATCCCCTATGCACTGTGTGCCTAATGAAAGAGATGAGTACGTATCTATCCTTGACTTTCATTTACGTTTTTCTCATTCGTTTACAGCAAGTGTCGGAAATATTCACCTTCAGAACCAAGTAAAACATACGACAAAGGGATAACGAGAAAGCCCGGTGTTAAATTTTATCCTGACCAACCAATCTCGTGTCTTGAAGCAGGATGCATCTTGCCGTCCAGGGAGGAAATCGTTGATCAATATTTGGAGGTGTGTAAATATTTAATGTAATGTGTAATGTAATGCCATACACGAAATGATGTAATAACAATCATTGATCGTTGTTAGTTTAAAATGATGATAATGAATTTGGACAAATCAGAAGATGACAGTGATCATGATTCCACAGGGCGAGACAGTCCACCTGCTGATGCTAGTGGTGAAAACTGTCAGGTATTTTGTAACCATTATTTGCACTAAATTCCACCGTCCCGTTTTATGATTGCAAACCACACAGTTTATCAGTATACGTCTGGGCAGGGCGATATATCCTGTCGGTTTACAAGTTTTAAATCTGAACGTTGTTATCATAACTAGGACATTTTTGTATCCTTATAAAGGTGCAGTTTCATGGTTCATACTTTTTTAAAAAACCAAAATGATTTTATCGATGTTGAAAACTTTTCCTAGGCTAGTGAAGACAAGGTCGTAGATTCTGACTGTTTTATTTGTTTTATTTAAGGAATCTGGTCAAAACAGAGAAAAACGGCCAGCAAAAAGTCGTAAAACTCCTGGTAGAAAAACGCCATCGAGCAGCAAAGCGAGACCGAAGCCCAGATCTAAGAAAAAACGCAAAAAAATATCCTTTGATTGACGTTTTGTACTTTTAACCTTCTCGTGAGCTATTTAATTGTTTTCCCCCTTTTCCCCCGATAATTTTCACACGTCCCTTCCATCGTTAAACCCTCCTCCCTTTGAATGAGGTAGGGTAAAGAGTACTGGAGTGTGTTATGAAACGTGTGATAGTTTGTGCACTAGACTGTAGTAATAGAGTGGTGTAAACATATTGGAAACATTTTTTAATATCAAGGATATGTCCATATTTTTACCTTAACTGTTTCTACATGACGTTCGATGCCAGTGATGTTTCCGACAATGAATTCACTTCAGAAGATATGACATACGTTCCAAGATAACTTGTTCATCGTTTCAATTTTCATGATTCATAAAGTGTAAATATATCAAATACTTTATTTTGTTTTGTTAATATTTATACATTTAGTTGTACAAAGGCGATATTTTATTGTAAATACTGTTACGTATGATCCAAATATGTTCTATATATACCCTGGTGCTGCACTTTTTGATTTTAACTCGTTGTTTTTAACTTTATTCATAAATTGATTACAAGGTGCACCGGGAACTATATTTTTATGTGTTAAAACCAATGTTGAATTAAAGTTTGAATAAAATTTTGAGCATGAAGGGTCATAAATGTGTGAAATGGTCATGAATATCTGGTACTTGTTAGGGCTCTTCAAAAGGGGGACGCAGCTTTTTCTCTCTTTCACGCAGCGTCAAAGCATAGAGTATCTCTGAGTATGTCTTTGTCTGCCACTGATCTATATGATTGCACTGCACTGTGTTCAACGAAGGGCCTGCGGAGGAGGCAGTGTCTTTGTGTGAAAAAACTTTGAATGGACCTTTTGCATAATAGACCAACTTACGATCTAGTTAACAAGAAGGAAATAAATCACCACAGCTAAAAAGCGCATACCGAAATTAGCATAATTGTCAAGTTTGGCCGCGAAATGTCAAGTATTACGGAAAATATAGCCACGCAAAGTAGCCAATTTTGTATACTTTTTTACTACGTCCGGAAGTGTTTAACTAATTTAGTTACATACTTCCGGTCGTAGTAAAAAAGCATACAAAACTGCCAACTTCGCAAGGCTATATTTTCCATACTTTACAATATTTTGCAGCCAAACTTGGTAATTTTACTAAATTTAGTTTGCACTTTTCGGAAATTTCCTTTTTGCTGCCTAATTCAAAAGTTGGTCTATTATGCAAAAGGTCCAATCCGGGGAATCACGCATGCGTAGTGTGGCTCAGCTATCTTTGAATTTGAATCGGTGAGGTGAGGGAATAGAGAAGAGGAGAAAGGAGATTATTCAGTCATAGTTTATAGTTACACTGGTTCAATAGTACCAAATTGGTAAATAGCAGCTAAATACACATTTCTATAATGTCCTGTTTCAGTATTGGTCGACGTTCTTTACTAAATTTGAGGATACGTCCAGCGCAGCGTTACGGCAATTCCACCACCACAAGCACAGTTCCCGAAATAAAGAAACTGTACATCAGAAATGTTTTCAAAGATAATCCTTCTGCGAAATATTATGCACTCACAGTTATCGCTGTAGCTACTGGCACGACCTACTATGTTTACAACAAGAGACAAAAGACAAAATTCATTTTGAAATTGCTTTCAAGTGCTCCAAGCCACTTTACTGTCCCACAAGATACTGAAATTGATAAACTAAGGTCTTTTCTGGATAGACAGGGCAGTTTACACCAAGTGTCAATATCTGGACCACTAGGATCAGGAAAAACACAGCTAGCCAGATTACTAGCCGAAAATTTGAATGAAACCCGAAGGGAAAGCTTTCAATTTAAATTATGGCCAAAAGATGAAATCACATTCAGTTTGTTTGCTAAGACCAAAGAGTCGCTGTTATCAAGTTTAAAAGAACTTGCTAGTAAATTAGGTTGTGAAAAAGATGAAGTTAAGCTGGATTGTTGTAATTTAGACAAGCAACTTGATGTTTTTAGCCAAGTTGTTAAGGAAAAATTGAAGCAGAAGACATGTTGGATACTGGTCATTGATGATCTTGATGAAGACAAGGATTTAACAAAGTGGTTACCAGATTCTGCGTGGGGGAATGGTTATGTCATATACACCATAAATTCAGAGTGCACTGGTCATTCAGATAATAAAAAGCATTTTGCAAACCTATCCCTAAACCAGTAAGTATTTTGATTGGTGCATTTTTACTTTATTTTGAGACCAAATCATAAAATCTTAAATATATCTATTGAAATAAAAAATGTCTAGGATTACTTTTTGACCAGAATTAACATTTTACTAGGCACATTTTCACTAAAACTTGCCTTTGCTAAATTTTATGTTTAGAATAACAAGTGAATCTGCAAAACAGATCTTTTCTGGTATCACAGGAGAAAATTGTGATGAAAACCTTTTAAACCTGCTCCAGTATAATCCATTGTCAATTGCTTGCACTGCAATATATTTTCAGTGTAAAGTTCAACAAAATAAGAACTACAGTCATGAAAATCTTTACACAGACATTGAGCAAACTCTAAAGCAGTTACAAAAAGATAATCCAGATTTTAACCAGCTTTGGATTATTCAGACCAGTTCAGTAGCTCTAGCTACCAAAGTTTTAGGAGAAAATTCTCCTGAACTTCTTCATGTCTTTGACTTTCTTGGCTCTTGCAATGTTAATAAACCATTGCCTGTGAGTATGTTTTCACATCATCTTAAAACATCCGAATATCATGTGCAAATGAAACCTGAGGAAGCAGCTGAACAATTTGTGAATAATGAAGAGGCAAACTTATCAGTAAATCCCAGTTTTGAACACGAACATAATCTATGGTCATTCCGTGGTATTGTTGATCGTTCAGTCAAGTTATATGAAAGAATCAAACTTGAAGTAGATGCCATTAGAAGTCTATTTGGTTATGGAGATGCAGCATTGGGAATTCAATCCAAACCAGCCTCAGATGGTCTAGATGCCATTCGTTCATGCCCATTATTTCTTGTATCACATGAGCCAATGGCTGGTAAGTTTTTAGAGAATGTAATGCATCAATTGAGGTATTGAACTGCCTAAAATAGACAAAAACTCTTTCTGATGTTTTGACCTAATACTCTTTGTCATAGGTCGAAATATGGAGTAGTGTTTTCGTCTATTTCAAGCGATCATTCTATTCACGTATTATATTTTCTCTTTCAGATATCGAAGTTATAACCACTCATCCTATTGTGCACAATGTCCTTCGACAAGTATTTCTAAATATCACGATTCCGTTACTGGAGCAACAACATTTGCTCCTTGCTGAAAGAAAACATCAACAAAAGTCATATTTTGGTCGGTTGCGAAGCTTCGATCCCCAAGCGTCGTTAGCGGAATATCGCAGAGGATTAGGAGATGTTCAATCGTTGAAAAGTGATGAAGAGAATTTTACCTTTACCTGCGTTGGCAGTATTCTTGATTCTAAAGAAGACGACGATAGCGTTAGCCAAGCCCAAAGTATCTCGAGACATTTTCAAGAACACTTGGGTCGTGTTGTAGATTCTCTTAGCTGCCACTATCGTATTGCTGGCGGCGACAGCAATGTCATGGTTTCCAGGTCCTTGTTACTGCCTCATCTTGAAAGTATCGCCCAGGAAAGAAATCTAACAGCTGCGAGCAAAGCCCAAGTTTATCGCACGATGGCAAACATCCATTCCGAAGTGTTTGCAGATAATGCTTCCAGTATGCGGCTTTTGAACGAGGCTTATGCTATCACCAAAGAACGGTATGGTGAAGACAGTCTGGAAATCGCAGGAATACTGACTGACCAAGCTGAACTCTGCAGTGCAACGGAGAAACTCGATCAAAGTAAAGTGCTATTGGAACGTGCGGTTGAGATATATCAGAAGGATATCAAAACTTCCCAGACCAACAAACAACCATTCCACTATGGTAAAGCTCTGGTCGCACTAGGCGTAGCATGTGGTAGTCTTGGTGACACAGGTCGTTCTAAAGATCTGTTGGAGAAAGGGTTGATGGAATTACAAAATGCTGCTCCTGAAGATCCTCAAGCCAAAGAAAACAAATGGTTTGCAGCTGAAATCAGTAGCGCGGTCACTTATCTTGGTCATGCTTATATCGCACTGGGTAAAATAAATCAAGGTCGTAAGTTGCTAGAACTGGCTCTTATTGGCCACCAGAATGTGCACGGTGATACACATCAAGAAGTCATTCGTACTCTGACTACACTAAGTATTGCACATGCCATGCAGGGGAACAGTCAGGAAAGCAAGAGACTGAGAAACGAAGCTGGAAAAATTCAGAAAAAATTAGATATAAGGACACCATTGTTTTTACAATGAGAACTTTGTTCTAAGAAATATTTGTATTTGATATGAACCATTTTTAAAGGGTTCCGTATTGTTTTGTTTTAAAGGATGTGTTTTCATACATTATAGACGTATAAAAAAATTTAAAAAAAAAACAGCAATTGGGTGTTATATAGTTCACATTTTGTCCTCGTCCAGGCTACGACAATTTGCGCACACTTATCTACCCAGCATCCTCTAACTTTACCTTACATGACGTACGAAGAGGCATTGACAGGCATTGATAAATGAAAAATATTTGAAACAAAATGGCAGATAAAAAAGCTTCATTTTTACAAGGACCGATACCATTGAAGCCCACATCAAGTTTAATGGTAAACACTATATTACCAACGTGTTTTAATTTTTTTGAATTATTGCAATGGTTAAACTGAGGAACGTAAGATTGTGTGCCTCAAAATTAAAGACTATCTGCCATTGTTTCCTGTTAATTCATCCAAAATTATCTTTGTTATTTTGCCTTTTCCCAGACTCTTAGGTTTGGTCAGTGCAGGGAATGTATTCCACACAATTTATGAAAAAACAATAAATCTATAACATTTAAAAAGTACTGCCCCAGTTATAATGTTGTATAATACAGGGTAAAATGTTTTTCAGTCAAAAGCATCCTCATCTCTTGGAAGTAAAACAGCTGTGCCTTTTAATGCAGAGAATTATAACTCATTTTCTGTGAAAGTTCCAACAAATAGGTGCGTTTCTCATATATAGTCTGATCTGTGACTATTAACTTATTGATAACACCATCATTTATCACCTTTCAAGATCTTATCATTTCAGCTTTACTTGTAAATATCATATTTTTTATTATGACTGCAAATTCATTTCTGGTATCCATACCTTACCAAGAACTCAAACAGTGAAATTTAACCTTTGTTTGGTTGGGATCTTTAGAGATGTGAAGAAACGTCATTCAATCATGAAGTTCAATACAAAAGTTGATGTATCTTCCATTAGCAAGGTATGTTCTCAAAAAAAAACTTATGACAAGCAAGTGAATAGATTTTCTAAAATCATGTCTAAAATTTGGCAGAAGATAAATAGCATTTCTAATATCTTGCTGGTAATTTTACTCTACTTACTAAAATCACCCCAATCATATTCTTCAAAATACATCAGGCTCATATGCAACGCCAAAGAACCACAACTGAATTCAAAGAAGAAGAAATGCCCAAATTTGGTGCTGGAAGTGAATACGGTCGTGAACAGAGGTTGGAAGCAAAGAGGAAGAGACGAGGTTATTTCAAGAAAGAAATAAAAGATGAAGATTTACCGTGGCTTTTGAAAACTGGTGGAAAAGGTGGAAAGACGTAAGATTGTTATTCTCAGATCCTTAATTCAAACAGAGAATGGCAGTTATCCATGTTCCCAGCATTTCTCAATTCTGCTATTGTGATCCTCATGCAAAATGTTTCTGCAGTCTATTGTAGTAATAATATCTATAAATTATCAAATATGTTTATTAAAATGATGACATTTAGGTCAGAAGCGCTAGGGGTTTTTGCACATCACAATTACACACACACAACCCACTCACAGCAATTAAATATGCGAACCTCAATGAATCTTTCAGGTCACACCTTGCTGTATATATGCGGAAGAAAGACTGCGGTTAAAATTGTGTGCTTGAAATATCTCTTCCTTTTGCAATAGAGATGTTGCAATAATTTTGCTGCACTGCTCTGCAGCTAATATATTCAACTGACCTTATTCAAGTTATTTTTTCTTATATGAGTGTTGACCAGGAAGTTCTTTTTGTAGGTACAAAGGAATTAAAGAACCATACATGAACCAAAATGCAGCATATTATATTTTCACACAAGCTGATGATGGATCATTTGAAGCTTATCCAGTTGATTCACAGTATAGATTTACTCCAGTAATAAACTATAGAACATTAACTGCTGATGAGGCAGAGGAAGAATTTTCATTGAGAAATAAAACAATCAATTATTTCTCATTAATGGTGAAAAAACGACTCACTGACACCGAGGAAAAGGCTGCGGACGAAGAGATTGTAATACCTAAAGTCAAATCAAAAGTTGATAAGCTGGTGAGTTTTTATATTGAGGCTGGTGAGTTGGTCCCTGATGGAGGCTGCTGAGTTGGTCTCGTATTACGCTTTGATAGATATGAACGAGTGGGTAAGTGGGTTACTGATGTTCATCAGAGCATTCGTAACTGTTCACTCGTTCACATCTTTCGAGAGAAGAAAATTGTTGACAAACTGCATGAGGACAATAGAAAGTTTAAATTCCAAATCTCTATGGAAATCCAAAAGTATAGATTCTACGTATATATTATGGAACGGTTTTAATTCAATGATTTAGCAAATCTACAATGATGATGATTTGGAGGACATGTCGAATGATGAAGGAGATGATGAACAGGAACATTTAGATGAAGGTACTCTCATTAGGATATAGAGCTTTCTCACAATTATATTCATATTTGATCGGCTCTACAGCGACGTCTTGTGCACTATTGCCGAGCCGATTTGGAAGAGATCTGTTGTGTTTCCTATTTGAATTTATATCGGGCTAATTATATCAAAACAACGTTAATGCGTAGTTATTGTAACCAGCATGGTTCGTTAAAGATTCACCTTATCTAGAGTTCATCTGTCATTAACAGTATGTTGACTAATATGCAGTGGCTGAACCTTTCAGGAACAAAATGTTGATCTATAAAGGACAGTGATTGATATTCGCACGTGTATCTAGTCGGACACTCATTTATTTGCATGGCCAGCTTTTTTTACATAGCACAACGACATTGTTTTCTGTATTTAGAAAAGTTTCAAAAAGCGAAAAAAAAATTGGGTAAGACAAAGAAATCAGAAAATGAAGATAATGGAAGTGATTTTGAGGAAATGGAAGATGGTTATGAAGATTCAAAAGAGATGGATTATTCAGAAACCTCGTCCTCAGGTTGTGCATTACCCTGAAGTTTATATCCTGAAAATTTGTTTATATTCCCTATTCTTTTATATTAACTCAACCACAACAGTGAGATTTAAAAAAAAGTATATTAATGTGCTGAAGTACAGTTAGTACTTTGGGCATTCTTAGAATCTTAGAATGGGCAAATTTGGGTGAAATGTAGAATGTAACTCCTGAGTCGTACAGTCTAGTAACAAGCGAGTGTATTACTAGTATTCGGTCTGACTGCTGTGAACATGCTATCTTTAATTTGTTTTGTTCCGACAGATGAAGAGCTTGAAAAGAAACAAGCTGATACAAAACCTCAAGCTGAAGACGATTTGAATGCACAACTAAATCCCGACAGTGAGGATGATAGTGAATTAGAAGAAGACAGATTAAGTAAGGGAGGATTGTTGTTGAAAGATATGTTGAAACAAAATGATGATAGTTCTGATGATGAAGATGATGAAGAGATTGATGAGGATCAAACAAAATCTGCTGTTCTTCTGCAAGGTATGTTTCACTTAAAGGTTTCACTTAAAATAATATCTGAAGTCCTTCCGCAAGGTTCCTGAAAATCCCTTTAAAGATATCCGGCAATACCCCTATGCAAGGTTTGCCCGGCAGCTGTACTTGTCAACAGCTTCGCCGAATATTTTTAACGTATGAAATTAATGTGACTATTCTGTCGTAAATGCTCGAACTGAACCAACGAATCTGTCTAGGTCAGAAAAAGAAAGGCAAGAAAGCTGGAAGTGGCTCGAGCACGTCATCAAGCAGCAGGTCTGACACCCCGACTAAAGGCATTGAATCCACTGACAAAACTATCGTTGATGCCGCTAAGAAACTGAAGGATATAAATTCGCCAGGTAAAGCAGAGTAAAAAGTCATCTTTTTAGATAATGTACCATCTCCAACGATTCACAAGCCCTTTATCATTACAACCAACTCTTATCTTACTATACTAAAATTTTACATGCTTTATCATTTTGGCGTATTTCAAAGCTACAAATCCTTACTACCAGAAATAAGCGTATAGGGCATCGTTTGTTTTTTCTAGCTCGGTCTGGAAAGAAGCGTTCAAAAAATTCCCCAGGTGATGAAACCCCGAGTAAAAAAGCTCGTAAAGACACTGAAAGTCCAATCCATCGCTCAGCCAGCGGCAGTTCACTCGCCTCACGTGCCCTTGGTGAACCCGAGAGACCCGGGTCCCGGGGATCACCAGACGTTGGAATCACCGAGGAGGCAGTTCGCCGGTATCTGTCACATAAACCAATGACAACAAAAGATTTATTAAAGAAATTTAAAACAAAGAAAACAGGTTTAACCAGTGAACAAACGGTACAACAGATTGGGACGATATTGAAGAAACTTAATCCAGTACAGAAAATGATCAAGGGAAAATTGTTTTTATCTTTGAAACGAAGTTAGATGATAACTTGATATGTAGTAAGTATTGTTTTAGGTTGTAACATGTGAATAAAACACGGTCATCATCTTGACGCTACCTAGCCTAACATAAAAAACCGATTAACATCCCCCTGACATTATTGTGCTTCTAAACACATCACCAAGATTTGTCACGAAAACAAAATAAAGGAAGTTCATGCCAAGGGCGCTTTCTCTCATTATTTATATCGTAGTTAGTGGCTGAAAGTCGTGTTGGACTAGACGCTAGTCCGAAGACCCTCCTTTGTAAAAATCCTTTGAAAATTTACTAAAGATATGAAATGTGTGATACTGCTTAAAGAATGAGAATAACCCATGGGCTTTGCAATACATTTATGACACCTTTTTTTCTACAGTAAAATTTTATTTCCAATAAATCTGCTAAATCGTGATGACAAAGATAATCCAATGCAAAGATACCTAATATCTACAACCAATATTGTGCCAGAGACATGATGGCATCATCGCAAAGTTGCAAGCACGTTCAGTTCGTATCTTGTGTTAAGCCTGACCGCGGTTAATTCTATTAAGCGTGGCCTTACTGACTGTCTACGACAATGAAAACCAGGTTTTCATCTTGGTTCACACTTGTCCTAAGAATCTGGGTTCCTTTTGTTTGAATTCACTAGTGCGTAAAATGCTTTGTCTATCAGAAATTAATACAATAGATCCCCGATTCTTAGGACCTAGTGTGAACCAGGTCTCAGTTGTGTGTTTTCAAACGTTTAACGTATTGTAATATTATAAGTAAAATATATTTTCATTCGAAAGTTGCCATGCAAGAATATTTCTTTCAGTTTTTATAATTTTAGAACTTAATATTATTTATCTATGTAAATTCTATATTACAAAAATGATGGGAAAGTCGCCTATAACATTTACATATAAATGTTAATAAGACTTTATATATACTATGGTAATGCAAATAAACAGGTGCGAATATCCAATTGCTTATGTTGTAATGTTTTATTACGTCAATGTTTTTTACCAGGCGTAGACCTTTCACAACTATAACCACCATAATAACTGTCATTTTCGTTGGCGCATTTATATCCTGTAGGACATGGACTGTCTTTGCAATAGTCTTGCGCTGAAATAGTAAAAAAATATGAAACTTTGAATGCATGCAAACTTCATAATAAAACAGGGAAAAGTGAATTGTGGACGAAACATTATCTAAATTATATAGAACTTACTTTTACATTCGTGAAAGTAGCCACAAGAACAGTAAAATAAGGTTCCTCTTAGTTCTGATCTGCACCACATGTTTTGGGGGTCGACACATGTTGACGGGTTACATGGATTCTCGGGGTCTGAAAAAGAAAACTGAATTTTAATCGTGATCCCACGAGCAGGCCAACGCACATTTTCTCTGGTTCCTGGGAAGGAGAGAGGGAGAAATAGCAGACGCAATCGTAGTAAGTCAAGTGATCATAGGAAAGACGCAATCGTAGCAGGTCAAGTGATCTTAGGAAAGACGCAATCGTAGCAGGTCAAGTGATCTTAGGAAAGAGTAAGAAGAACCACGTGTCCACCTGTATTGGGGATCATAGCTGCGAATATATGTATCGAAGCAAATTGGCTTTTCAGTTAACAGTGTTACTTACACTGACATCTGTCACCAGTCCAATATGCTCCACAGTAACAATGGTAGCTCTTCCCTCCATCAATCGGAACACAGTGACCCCCATGTTCGCATGGATTGGAATAACATGGTGCATGATCTGAAGTTATGGTAAGAAATTAAGATTAGTTTCCGGTTATTAGCATACACGAATAATACCGAATAACGTTGGGTCTGAGATTAGATATATTCTACATGAACGTGAAATTTTTTCAACAAATTATGACTGAATAAATTATGACAGAAATAAATGTAGACTTAATTTCAATTGCTGGAAACACAGTTTGGGACTAAGAAAGCGCTCAAACTCTTATATACAAATAGAAATATAGATTGAGTCCTAGGTATACCTCTCCAAGCCTCCAGGTTGATAGAATATTGTAGAATACGACCACAGGACACACGATTTTCAGCACATTTTGGGGCAGTGAAGGCATCTTTTTGTATGGATACAATGTCTTTAAGATTATGACACATTACTTGAGATAACGTTACTTTCTTTATTTCTCTTAACTGTTCCTTGGTAAACACATCTTTCTCCTCGTAGTAAAATCGATCACCATCGCGAAGGTTCCTGAACTGCTTACTGATGATACAATGGAATGTCGGTCCTACTGCTGAGTCAGGCAGGGGATCTTCTGCTAGTCCAGCGACCCACAGGTCTACTTTATCAGGTGTTCCATACAATGTCTTAAGCAAATTTCGATACGTCGGGTCCCTTATTTCTAAAGCAACGTCTTCAAATGTTTCAGCAGATTTCATACCACAAAGTTTTCGATATGTATTGTATCCTGATAGGCCGTGGTCTCGTCCACGTTGGATGTTAAGAGAAGCTAGATTCAAACCAACGACATGCTCCCTTTCAAACAAATGCTTTGTCAAGTCCTGAGCTAAAAGAGGGTCAACATTTTGGGAGTTGTTTGCTAACAAGCCCAACAGAACTGGTTCAATTCCATATTTTTGTATAAATACATTATTGAAAAACATCTCTTTCAAAGGAATCGGTGCTCGTAGAGGATTGTATCCTTTATCAAGGACATCGAAAAACGGTCTGATTAAACTATGACCAAATCTGAAAGCCGCAGTTGAAAACTCGTTAAGGATTCCAGGATTCACATCGTACTTATATCCCTGGTACGGCAACACGCCATCGTCTCCGAGAATCTTCGGCAGGAAGTCGTCGTATGTAATTTTCTGCAAAATTCCGCCAACAATTTTTCTAGTTTCTTGGAATAATTTTTCATCGTCCCAATGGACATTAATTTGCTTCAAGATGGTAGCAATTCGATTGTGTTCCCTGTTGAAGAGTGTGTGCATGCTGGCCAATCCCATCTGCTCATTAACACGACCATCTCCAGACAAAAAACATCCTCCGCTATTGGTACACAAGTCAAGTGGATGACCTTTTACATCCTTATCTAGTATTAGTAGGTTTTTCTCTGTCATACGAAGTAATCCCTCTTTACCTTAAAAATAAAAATTAAACAGATAAAGTTCCCATTCGAACAAGTCTTGAACGTTACACAGTTTCTCGAACTTGGCAACTCGATAACTGAACTTTACTGCATGAGATTAGTCGCAACCAATTTTTTACAGCGACTATTTTTCTAACCTGACTCGAGCTCCGCAGTTTAATGTGGTGCTTTCTCAAACATATTTATATTTGTATTATGCCTGTTTGTTAGCTAATTTCAAACTAAAATTCTGAGGAAAAACAAACCAGTTCTGAGTTTCTTAGCCACATATTCAGAAGATCCATATATCTGTGAACCATCAACAAATGAAGTGAGAACATTTATCTGTTCTCTCGGTTGTAAATCTGCCGCATCAGACTGACACACTGCCGCAGATCTCGTCATTCTAATACAAGGGGTAGTAGAGTTTTTGGCTGAAACGATTGGAAAACATGGCGGAATGCTTATTCTTATTGAGCCATCACATCTAAAATTCAAAGCAAAATTCAAAATTATTAACAAAACACTGCACTTCAAAAATGGTTATCGACGGTGAAAGGAACACAAAAGAGTTGCAATCATCTGCCTCATGTACTTGACACTGATGCATTTTCCATTACTGAACCTTGCAAGGGCTTTCAAATAACATAGCTAGGAGAACCTCCTCTGAAATTTGTAGTGTGCAGCAGAAGTATAACTACATCTATCAGTAATAACTTACGGTACTTGTGAACATTTGTCTGCTCCCTCGCTTTCGGGACTGAGACTTATGTCATGATCTAAGAATTGTCCCCATTGCATGACTGCGTGTGAATACGGTTCATTTGAACCAAGAGAGTGGGTTTGTGAGCCTATAAAGGTTTTGCTGACATCACTGGCTAACGGAAGATGACTTTTGTAAAACTCGTCTGGGGATCCCTTGGGAAGATAGAGTTGGTCAGGATCGGCGTATTCAGCAGCAACCATTCTCTCTAACTTGTTGTCAGCGGAACCCCAGTGTTTGTGAATAAGGTTGTTACATGTGCCATCGTAGGTACGATATTTCTGGTAGCAATATAATGGGTGTGCATTTTTTTCGACTGTTCGACACGTGCTTGGGTTCAATAATATCGAGATTTTGTCCAAAGAAAATAACTTTTCGATGTGCAGACAATCAAAACTGATGCTTTCTTTCAAAGCTGAAAGCAAAGAAGATATTGTTAGCCCAGTTACCCCCTGACCCACCGCAGTGTTTCGCCCTTACGACCTCTGTAATGATTTTACCTCCAGTTGTTTCATCACATCACTTTGCAAAGGTTGTTGAATTTGAGAGCTAGCGAGTGTTATCGTGCACAGTTGCATCACTTGCTATACTACTATTGCCACAAATGTATTCTCAGTTTTAACCACTGGTTAAAACTGAGAATAGTTCATGTTGCCATGCAACTGTTGGTCACGGCATCAAAATAAATTTCCGAAAGTGTAGGTGGTACTGATTTCTTATAGGTTGAGAATGAACTGTATGGTGAAAGTATTCATGAAAAAGAAAGCAACAAAACAAAAAGGTGTGGACTGTTTCCCTCTAATCTACCTGAATTCGATCGATTATCATAACTTACAAAATGAAAATTCGTGTACGATTTTTCTTTTAATATAATTTAACAACATTTCCTGCTTCGCCTCCAACAATGTAATATCTTCCGAGGTCTTTGGAATTCTTCTTATAACTCGCAGTAAAAATGAAGGCGAGATTGACGTTGGGGTTATTCCTTCAAAGATGTGATTGACCAAATTTTTCGTTGTGACATGTTTCAAAGCTTCTTCAACAAACCTGTCCCCAAAGTTTCTTCGTAATGCGATAATTAAAATATTTACAGCAGCACAACTTTCCTGTCCATTCCCAGATTTTTGACATCCAGTAACATTGAAAGAAAGCCGTCTCGTACCATCTCTGCGGAGTACTACAAACTTCCTCAGATCTTTCCGAAGTGTTGTTGATCCTGATAGTTTATCAATACTTAAAACATCACGCCATTGTGTGGGATCTATGCTGTACATTACTGGAGAGGAACCATTTTTGGTTTCTACGTTGACTGGGGCTAATTCCTTACCAGCCTTCATATCGTCATTTACAAAAAACGTGAGTGTTTTTGCTGCAAATGAAGTACCTTCAAAAATAAAGCAAGGTAAATATAAGACCATGAATGGTTTATAGGACTGAAAATATAAAGACAACAGCTGTGCATGATTTGTAAATAACGTGCATAATTTATGGAAAGGACTCCCAATTTCCAATGGCAATGGCTACGGGGGACCTATTGCGCTATTTTTGAATATTTTTCATAAAGGAGGCTTGATAATACTGTCATCACAGTGCAGTTTTGCTAAAGCATGATAATTTGCGAAAAACAGTAATTGGAGATCAGCCTGGCAAAATTTAGACAAACAATTATTGTTGCTCTCTGTCCTCCGCCAGATCTCAGAGTTCTTTGATCTAATTTTACGTCTACGAAAATACAAAAACCTTTCACCTTTTCTCATATAAAAGCTGAAAGCTTCTTAGAACTTAGAAGGATTGCTTGAAGACGTAAGACTGTTTGTCGTGTGAGTTCGTAAGCTTGTACTAAGTAGGTTTTTGCAACAGGCGGAAAAAGGTCTTTATATTGTTCAAAGATAAACTTTAACGGAAGCATGGCTACCTTTTATTTAATTTGAAAACCTCCAAAATAATGTCAACGTATATGTATACATAAGTACTTTCAGTAGCTGCTTGAATGATAAAGATGTACAATATATCGCTCAAATTCTAGAGGGTCAAAAATAATTACCCTACCAAATCATAATCCCAGGGTGTAAATAAAAGTATAGTTGTTAAATGACTCGCATTAAAAGGCATTTTTAAAACGCAATTCAAATTCCTCTCAATAGTATGAATAAAGGAAAATTTGTACTCCAAATTTGTCCTTCCGGGGGGGAAGGTATCTTGTCAGCTACTTTAAAATTGGCTTGCGCACGGCATTAATTTACTTTTCACTTTACATTCTTAATTTAAATTTGCATTTCACGTATGGCTAGTCGACTTAGATCCCGTTTTAATGATTTTTAGCATGAATTTTACGCACGAACCAATGTTTCCTTTTGGAAAACTTCTATATTGATCAAATCAAAATAAAATTTTATAGCTAGTGAAACAAAAATTACATTTGCTTCTACTGCCAAGATGTTTTTGACCATGCAGTTTTTGCGCAAGTCAATTTTAAAGCGCGGTTCACGATAATTACTCTCTTGATTACTGGTATCTTAAGTCGTCCAAATTCAAGCAAATTTCTCGAGCCATGCTAAGGTTATTTTATACGTGCTCCGCGAACACTTTATACTCTACCTCGATGAAAACATTTTTAGCGATGTTCCAAAAACTGTCTACTTTCAGTTTTTATACCTATAATATGCATGCTTCGAGCACTGTATATAATGAATGTAAAAAAAGTGTTCACCGATATAGCACAAAAATCACGAACAATAAAGTATCTAACAAGCTCACATTTTGTAGGTCATGCAAGAAAATTACAGAGTGCACTAGTAGAGTGCATGCGAGTACAATGCAATCACGGCAACTGGTTGAAATTTCACTTACCTGAAGTAAGGGAACAGCGAAAAAGACATATTGCCAAGACTGTTAACACTCTAACATGCACCATTATCGATCTGCATTTGTCTGCCAACTCTTGTGTTTGGTTAATTTGCCATGTAATATCTTTCCTTTATACCTCATCCACTTGAAACCATGGCCAATATCCAGTAGCAATATCAAGGCATTAAATCTAATAACGACATTTTAATTGTTCAATCAAAGCATTTTTATCATGCATTCATAAAGAAGTGACAGAATATATTTCATGGTTTTGTATTCTAGATTTTTTATTACGTTGATTTTTTTAATAACACAGTCCGTAGGCTGGTTGGTATTCGGTTCATTTTTAACAAAGATTTTTTACATCACTGAATATCAAATTGTTTCAGCGCCGACAAAACCCGTCATTACTCATTAATGAACCAAATTATAATTGATAAATTGTTTTCGATGCAACTTCTAGACTGAATAGTCCTGTGTCGATTTTTAAAAACAGTATTTCTGAAAACTTTAGGCCGTCACTGCAGAGCTATTTTTCGTTATTCTATACCAATGCAAAAATTCATTTTGGTCGGTGAAATAAATATAATTTCAAACATCATTCATCTATACAGTTTAACGATGAAAGAGAATATTGTAAATATAAAAGTCAAACTGAGAAAGCCACACTCAGGTGGGAGTGAAAAGGTATAAGTCAGCTTTAAATATACCGATGTTATTATATATTGGTTTTTCATCTTTCACACCATTTTACAACTCAGTTCTAAATTTCGCCTTCGGATCTCCTTTTATTTCAAATAGTACTTGTTTCAAAGTCTTCTTTTGTTTTCTTGAAAGGAAGCGCGCATTAATTTGAATGAATATGCATTATGTTAGTTGTGAAGCCTTCAGAAGGTTGTTTGTACTCTGATGGGGCAAGTATTCGCTTAAACCAATAAGACTATATTTCGTGTATTCATCTTGTTAATTAATGCACGGAATATAGCTATGCGGCAAGGAATTGAACAACACCGGGCAACGATGTGTGCATGGGAATAGCATATACATTCAATTTGACCTGCACACGGGCCATAGCGAGAGGGATATTTGCGGATATTCGGAAAACTGCTTTATAGCGGTGATGCCTGACTTACGACGACCAACACATAAGGGTGAAAACTTTATTGCGCCTTGTTTCTGCCAATAGTAAACGACTACATCAGGTATAAACTTTTTTACCTGAAAAACTCCAAGGCCACTCAGCTCCACCCCCTTCAACAAGACGACGTACGAAAAAAGCTATGAATGCAACGAGTCATTGAGTGTACAAGCTATACTGAAATGAATAATTAAAGCACCTATATGATATAAATATAATGCCAATTTAGTGGAGTCATGAACATTTTCCACATGCAGTTTATTGTCTATATATATTGTGCGACTTTCTACGCGACCAATATTTGAACTTTATATACTGTATCAAATCATTGCGATGGATAACAAATGTTTTTTCACTAAAATGTATTTGAAGGAGACGAGGAGTTTTTCCGACGTTTCATGAGTGATGTCGTGCACGTTTTCCACGGTCCCTGATACTTGCATGCGGCTAGTATTGCGCGGAACTTGACATGAGATTGAGAGATTCCTACTAAAAGAAGATTCTTACTTATCCTACTAAAAGGGAATACTAAAATACTTTTAACACTTGAGTCTATACACAAGCTATAGTATATACAGTATATTTACGATGTCAAAATAAAAGAACTCTGTCGTATACAAAATAATTTATCACTTAGCTATATCAACAAAAAGAGGAAAATGTGTTATTAAATATATTATCGCGGGTCGTTCTTTTTGTTGGTAACTCGCAGGACGATAGAGATATTCGAGGAAGGGAAAGTGGTAATTAATATTACCTATCATATTATAGCCTAGTTAATGTAACCCATGTCATACGGAATTAGTTCCGGTATCCGATTGGCATCCGTAGGCCTCTATATATGATGTTACTTGGGGCTAGTAATTATCATATATCCCTACCAAAATACTCTTTTTATTATTTTATCTAACAAAAAAATGTTGACAAAATATCCATCGCCTGTCTATGAAATCGATTCCAACAGTGTGCCATCCAGTATCCATGGTCTCTATGCATGTGTTAGTCGACAGCAGCTGTTGTCTGAACAAAAGACTCTATATTTTGTGACGGTGAGCATTCTTCCTCCTGTCACTGGAAACCATGACTATAAAAAACGTACACTTGATAACACAAGTGCTTTAGTTCTGCTGAACAATTATATGATACTGAAAGTCTGAAATTCATCCATCAAAATGATGCCCTTGGCAACATAGGTGTGTTCTGCGTTCGGACTTCGGGACATTCGTCCAGGAGGACTTTGAAAATACTTCCAAAATTCATACATTCTTTTATCTATTGTCATTTCTCACCGCAATTTATGAACGGAGTTTGTATTGCTGTATCTTCTGGAAAATGCCTTAAAATGAAAGTAGCGAGATAGCAAAATTGCACACTGACTGCAATCAGCCATGTGACGAAATTATTATACGTAAAACCAGCTACTTGTAAAACTGATTAATTGAATGTCTTTTCCCCTCATCTTCATTCAATCAGCACAATGTGTTCAATTTACCAAGTACTAGTGGTCAATCGTGTGTTTTCCTATCGGCTGGGCTTACGACCACTTTGTCGGTAACGGCAAAATATATACATAAAAACCCTAAATATGTCAGTCTTAATTTTTATTCAATAATTTCAATTGAGATACTAAAATCAAAGACCACTTTAGGTTTACCATATCCAAATATTTCAACAGATAGGCCGAGATAATCTTAGCCCCGTTTAAGCCCCAGCCCACATTGTTAATTCCCTAGTTTTTTTGTTGCCCCCTCCTCTCTTACTATCAGAATAAATGAATCAAAACCAAATTTAAGAATCACGATAAATTATAAATAAAAGGATGTACTTGGTATGGTATTGGATAAAGTTTCTTGTCTCACTGGAGTTGTAAAGTTCTTGTTTCATTAGAGCTGCAGAGTTGAAGAATAAAATAACCCTCGGGGGCTAAAACCTCTCAGCTGATAGTTGTTATGGAAATTCGAAGTACGAGATGAAATTTAAATTATCATTTGGCTTTTAAGGTGTTTTGTAATCTGAAACATAGCGATTAGATGTGCCAATAGTTTTCGCTGAGGAGGTAAAAGACTCGCGAAATATTTATTCACTTTATTTATTTTAAATTATTTACGTTTTCATTTTACAATTTTATATTCCTGTATCAACTATGTATGAGATTCGTGAGAGTGTTGTAAACATGAGTATAGAGTGTTTTGTTAAATAAATAAAAAAAAACACTTTGTTAGTCTTGAAGGACCAAAGGTTACGTAATAAAAATTTCAGTCTTCTCAAATAAAGGACCTCAAGGGTATTCACAAAATTCTTTTCGGATTATTTTCAACTTCATCACTTGACAATGTCAAGATACTTCCGAGGAAAAAATTCAACATCCGTTATATTTTGAATATGCATCACATCATAACTATGCATGGGTAAAATTTGTTCTTCAAAAAGAATCTATCAAAGGACTTTGTATGATAAGCCTAAATTCGTTCGTGCGTGATTCTTTTTAAGAGTATGCAAAAAGCATACTTTGTATAGGGATATCTCTTTAAGCAAAAGAAAGCTTAGTGGAAACTATCAAAAACATAATTAATTAAAGCTAACTTTTTGGACATTTTCTAGAGCCAAAAAGCAGGCCGCTTAGCCATGGACGTCCTAGCTGTTAAAACGTGCGGCGTTCTAGGTCTTCTAGAAACTTGGGAAATGTCCAAATACATTGGGAATATGATGTCAAATCAAACACACTCTCAGTGTATAGAAAGGTGTCTTTGATACATAAAAGTGGTAAACGGTAAACTGACTGAGATTTTAGTATATAACATGCCTAAAATAGGCCTCTCTCAGAGTAAAATGAGAATGAAAGACACTACCAGAATATTCTGTGAATTTCCTGTGTCTTTTCCGTTAAAGTCGCCTTCGATAAAAGCCATTGCGCTGAAAACAGTGCAATGCACAAGAAAAACTGATTTCTTTTTACCGTACACGTGGCATTATATTCAATGCTGTATACGCATCAGTGCCCTAGTCCTTTTGCAAATTTAGTCGAAAAAACTAACAGGTGAAAATAGATAATTCTCAATACTCTTTAAAGTTTTTTTGTTAGGAACGTAATTGAGTTCTGAATATTATCTCATGACACAGACCATGAAATTTTCAGATATTAATTAAGACCCTATTGGTTGTTTGAACTGCGTAATTGTAACGGATATTCGAGTATAGAGACACTTTTGAAATGCTGCACGATTTCTGAAATTTATCTGAATTACCTTTCGCTCATTGGGATAGGGCGGAAATCACCTTATTTTGTCCAAATGAAGGCCAGTTGTTTAATTGGCCTTTGTATGGAAAAAAAATGAAGTGAAAATAATAAAAATTGAGTCCAGGGAGGAGCTAGGGGGGAGCAGCAAGATGTGTTAATATTTTCTTGCATTCATGCTATAAAATGAAGTATTTCTCTGAGAGTGATGTACGAATATTCGCGGGCGCCTCAAACGGTTAAAAAATCTCTCAGACAGTCAAATTCTCCTTTTCATTCCTTCGTTTTATACAGGTTTAGATTTTTTTATTTTTTAGTTTTATCATGCAAAATCAGTCAGATATCGAAGGTAATTGTTATGAGAATAATATGCTGGACAGATATCATGATATAAATAATATTTGGACGTTTGTGTCAGATCATACAAAAAAATTGTGTTTCTGTAGGACTCATTGGACGTCTCACTCAAAAACAAGACAGCACTTTCAAAGCCGGCTGCAAGAAATGTGGTTATAGTAAGTTCTATATTTCTAATATACATGTATAAGACAACTGATGAGGCGAAATCTGAGTGTGCGTTGGGGCCATTGAGTTTTGACTGTTGAAAACTTGAAACTGACCCCCCACTCCCCAGTCCCCCCAAGTCATTTCAACTTGAACATTATCTCAGGGGCTACAATTGTATTGACCTTGTCCATGGCAAGGGACTAGTGTTGGTTGCGTAGGATGCCTTCATGTAATCTTTGTAGTGTCCTGGGTTGGGTATATTGTGGATGGAATGGACATGTTTGTATGTCCGTCCAGAAAATAGCCATGCTTGGACTTTCACACACTAGATAAAGCATGCCTTGAACCAACTGAGCCTAGTACCAAGACTCCCATATTTCATAGCCAACCATTATATCCTACTGTCTGGTTGTTTTGTGTTCTATGATTGTCTTGATTGTGTTTACCAAACATGGTCTCACCAAGAAGTAAAGTAGTAGTTGAAGATAAACTGGTGTATGTTGTGTAAAACAAGATACAATGCCCAATAATGATGCAGTTTATGCATGTTCCTTTAGGTGGTCATTTGACATTTCAGTGTCGGAATATTTTGAAGATTGATTCAGAACATGATGTTGTTGTTGATGTGAGCAGTACCTCGAGTGAAGATAGTGATGATGATAGTGTATCTTCTTCATCTGAAAGTAACCACTATTGGCATATGCTTCAGCTCTAACTAATTGTCTTACAGACCTCATGCATGACCAGTGTTTAGGCATACATACATAGGATGAATGATTATTTCATTTTATTTAGGAAAAAAGAAAAAGCGTTTAACTAAATTAAAACAAGATAGCAGTGATTTTGACTCAGACAGGTACATGAAGTCTCCTTATTTTGAATTGCCCACATTGGTCATTCAAGCAGTACTGTGACGTACCTTACTATGTGATTTTTGTTTAGTTCTAGATCAAGATCTTTAAAGAAAGCCCTACAAGATAGAAATGTACCCAGAAAACGAAAATCATCAATCACACCAGAGAGGAAAAGGTTTGAATAGAGAATACTTTATACAATGATATATACAAACATATATACAAACGTAAATCAGCAAAAATGATAAAAGTTAGCTAGTTATTGTATCAAAATTTGTCGACCCAATGTGCTTCCAGGGATGTTCATTTGTTCTCAAATATTACTGTTACTCTGAAATATAATGTAATAATGTTTTTGATCCTGTGAAATTTTCAGAAGAAGAAAGAGTTCCTCAAGTGACGAATGTAAGATTATCATTTCATTTTGATAATAACTAGCAATTTTTTATCAGTTAAATAGCAGAATAATGATCTTGCAAGGTTTTTGCTCTTTCTATGCTCCATGCTCCTGTGCATGATTTGACATCATAGGTATTAATCAGCTAGTTTTCTGTGAATGGCATTAAAATTGCTGAAAATGTTTTATGTTGAAGCTTTCTACAGTATTTTTCAGTAACATTTATTTGTTTGTATCAATGTATACTTCAGCATCTGATTTGGATAGAAAGAAGATGAAAAAGAGTAAAAAGAAACACAAGAAACACAAGACGGATAGGTGAGACAATGTGACCAAACAATGTTCCCCCTATACAGTATGTTGTACCTTAACCGTTTTTCTTATACCTATGCTTATATCGCCGGTGAAAACAACCCAGCACAGTATAATTTTGCCTACACCACAGCATGGCAAATCCAGGCTGTGGGTAGATGTGAACACAGAGAAAATATGACACAAAATGCCCATATTATGGTTTCATGGTTTTTAATTATTTGTATGTGTGCAAAACACCGGCCCATGGCAATGCTTCTTCTCCCAACTCGATGGCACGGGATGGAATGCAAAGCATCGTTACGACAAAAATTTATAATCGAGTGTTATTTTATTTGATAGTAAAAAGAGAAAACGAAAGCACGAGAAAAAGAGGAAACATCGACACTAACTCGGATTACCCGTTTCAAACCCTCGGTCCGATCTACGTCTACGGTGACTATCATGTTTCGTGCAGTGAGAAGTCACTCGTACGATCCTCACAACCTTGTGATGGATGGTATCTTTGCTGGGATTTAACGTCTTGCGCAAGCAAAGATGGTTGAGAGTATCTGTGCAATGCTTGAAAAACCCCACGCATTTGGGGAAAATGTAAGTTCAACAAGTAACCCAGTATAAAAAATACTGTATGAGCCAGCAAAGCCAAAGATATGTTTTCATATGTTACATGCACACCTCGTTCCTTCCATCTCTCTTGAACTGCTCATTTTACAGACGAGGTAAAGAGAGTAAAAGTGAAGTTTTATTAAATGGACCGTCCAATAGATTAATAATAAACCTAGCTTCTGCTATTTTTTTTATCTCTATGGGTGTGTAGTTCTTACTCGTGATTATGTAAATATTCGAGAAGTCCAGTTCATGTCTATACTGTACGGTCTCTGGTTTGACTGACCTATCCAGTCAAACCAGCTGCAAAGCTTTGACATATACATATAAGATCTAACAATTATAATAACTTTCAAAATTATTTGCTAGATTGTAGCTGGTCATGTGACCAGTTCCAGTGAACTTCTCTCCACAAATGAAGAGCTTAGTTACCTAGGGAAAGAGGGAGGGAGTGCTACATTACTCGTTAGTACTATATGACAGTTATCTTTTTTCTTATATTTATATACTGTGGCATGTCACACATTATTATATTCAGGAATTATATCTATTTGTTATCTCAAATCCATCAACATAGATGCAGGATTTTCAAGATAAGATTTCCAAAGGTTAGAGAATCTACACATCGTTGCCCCATCAATAACACGGTGATCAGCCGACCATGATACACACATCACGTGAGCTTTAAAAATATCATCTTTCTCATTATACCTCGGTACAGCCTGCATACAAAAAAATTATCAGGTGATCAAATGGAGGAAAGCGCTCCTTCACAGGAGACATGCAATCAAATCACATACCTGGGATTTTCCTAAAGCTCCAATGGCTACTTGAGGTGGTAAAATGACAGGATCAGCGTATGTACCACCAATCTGACGGAATAATAACCAATTATTAAATAACTGCATGCGAAATATAATATGAATATATATAGTTCTGAGTTCGGGTATTCGGAATTGTACAGTTATAATAGATGTACAGTTAAAACACGCATCGTTTTGGTGCCATTCCTCAACTTTTAAAAGAATTAATTAGAGTAACACATAATGGCGTCCAGCTCAAAGTTCTAGTAAAGAAACTGTAATTCTTTGAGTGTAGAAACTCATACTGAAAAATGACAGCGAAATGCATGCATTATTCTTTAACTTGCAATGCAGAAGAACTTACAGATCCGATATTTGACAATGAAAATGTTCCTCCTTGTAAATGTTCCAGCTCCAGTCTGCCTGCCAAGGCAAGCTCTTGTAAAGTATTTAGTTCTTCAGCGATTTCAAATATTGATTTATTTTGAACGTTTTTAACATTAGGAACAACAAGACCTTGACTAGTGTCCATGGCAATACCTATGTTGTGACAAGCCTGCAAAGTAAATTGATAGGTTTTCATCACAAACGGTTCACCTGTAACTATTACTGCCAAAACGCAAACATTTTTTGCCGAAGTATGAAATTTTAAATAGTACTTCAAATAGTACTGCAGAACTAGAATCCGGTATAAAAACTGCCTAAAGTGGACAAAGAAATCTCGACGTTTTGACCTAGGCCAAGGGCCCCTGTCAGGAGAGTAGGGCCATGATAGTACTATTCAGGCAGAAATAATGAGAGGTTACTGAAGTAGCATTTTTTAAAGTAAGATTTTGAAACATGTCATTGACCTAAAGCCAGTAAAGGCGATAACTTTTTTCTGCGATAAAAACTAGCACACGCGCTACAGGAATCGGGTCATTGAAAATATACACGAGTCGCACGTGTTTAATATGAAGTACATCTGTGAAGTAAAATAAATTTTAAATACGAGTACATACTTTAAAAGTAATATTTTCGCAATTTTCATCTACAGAGCTGTTCAACACAGGATAATATTTTAAAGCCATGGAAGCTGCCTTGATAAACATTGGCATAAATGATAATCGAACTCCTCTGCCCATTGCTAGTTCTTTGGCATTCTCCCTAAAGCTGTGAAATTTTAAAAATATTCTTATCAAAAACGAACCGTGAATAAAAAGAACTCATCTATCATATGAGAAATTACGGGGTACATTGGAACTGCGATGGTTCACAACCGTTGGAAAGGGAAACTTCGTGTCTGTGGTCAAACATGGTATACCCACATGATAACAACAAAACTCACGTGATGAGTTGGTTTAGAGTAATTTCATCGCAATAACCAAAATGCGGAATTTTTAAAGCATCACTCATTGTTTTAGCCATTGCTTTTTTAAACCCAGTTATTGGTTCAGTCCTATCTTCTAATACCGGTTGTAGCAAGGGTGTTGGAGGTGGTGGTATTGCCGCACGTGGTGCCGCAGTTTTCGTTGGTGGTTCACTGGGTATGGCTGACGGCGTGGTTTGGATGGGAGAAGGTACAGCATCTGGAATTCAAGAGGCAATTATTTTTCAGAATTTGAATAAGAATACCATTATTTTGAAAAAGATTACCTTGTTTGAGAAAATTGAGAATGTCCTCCTTTAATACTCTTCCATCCTTTCCTGAACCACTAACATCGTTCAAATTTACCTGGGCGAAGATATGATAGGAAAGGTTATCAAAATAAAGTTCTTCGGTCGTGGTGATAACCGTGACACATGACTACTTCCACAGGCACTCACATTATTTTCCATAGCCATTTTTCTAACAGCTGGAGTAGCCAACACCTTTTTGGAAACCTCACGGACCCGAGATTGCTTGCTGCTGGACGGCTCTGCCTTTGGCAACGTTTTCTCTGGTTCAATATTTGATGATGAAATATCTTCATGTTGTTCAACAGTTTCTGTGATGCTATCATCATCTAAAAACAAAACTTCTGATAATATCCAGTCGTAGTTGTCCACGTGATATTTTACTTTTTCTATTAACCCTCATTGCCCATTTGATAATCATATCCGTCAGTTAGATTGGAGCAGCTTGTAAACTACTAAACCCTGTATGCTATATATTTACTGTAGTGGTAATACATTCGTTGTAACTAACCATCTTCAAGTTCAAAATCAACTAAGGGATTTCCAACAACGGCAATTGCATTTTCTTCATAATGTATTGTCTTTACTATACCATCATAAGGACTAGTTATTGTCAGTGTTGCCTAAAATATAGCACATTTCAAATAAGGTTGAAATATCCTGCATAATATAAACTATAGAAAAAAATTAGACAACTGTGTGTCACCTCAGTTTAAGTTAAATGTGTCTGAAGTTAAGAAAGTGTAGAAGTACTTTTGTGTCAAAAAACAGCATTGTTTAGTGAAAGTAGATCAAACAAACAATGGAACAACCTTGTCGGTCTCTGCTTCACAGAGGTCATCAAAATGCTCTACTTTGTCACCAGGTTTAACAAACCTTAAAAAGAACACAATTAATTTACAGGTGATTGAAGACAAGTAATAAATACCGAGCCAAAGGCTACCTAGATGTATATAATTACCATTTCTTTATAGTAACCTCTTTAATTCCCTCACCAGGATCAGACAAAAGAAATTGGGATAACTTCCATAACGCAACTACATAATTATAACAACAGTGAAGTTTCCAAAAAATGGATATTAATTAACTCAGACATTACTGCCGGAGAGAGAGGAGACTGCTAAATAAGACATGCAGTCGCAAATACCTGAGTTATGAAACTCCCTTTGGGTGGACCAGAGAGGATAATTCTGAAAGCAATGAAAGGCATTTCATTTTAAAAAACCATTTATTTCATTTTTTATAATACATGAGGAATTATGTACAGTACCTTCCCAGGCACCTTACTTAATGTTGCTAATTCAACATGACTTTGACTTGAAATCTAGGAAGAGGAAATCCTTTTTAACTCACTAGAGCAGAATCTGTTATTATAGCAGTATTTTTCTGTTTTGAAACTAAATATCTTGTTTTAATGCAACGGATAAGTGAAGAGAAGTAATTCTTGTTTTCTTGCAACCATGGAGAGATTATCCTTGGTCTCAGTTGGCCAGTTGATCCTTCTGCCCAGAATACCACTGCACAGAATTTCATCATATTCTAGGCAATCACCATTTCCTTAGTTATAGAGCTAATAATGCACTTACAGAATATGCTGCCACAGTGTGCATTTGAAGGAGTGATTGAATCATTTGAGTGTTAATGCACAATACACAAGTTGGCAGCCAGAAATTTGGTGCAACTTAGGAAGTGCTGAATACAAATTACTCATATTAAAACTAGGTGGCAGCCTGGCAGGTGCAAGTGCAACCATGAACCACGCAAAGATAGTGAGAAGATGTTGAAAGATTAAAACGTTTTGAAATCAAGCATGTTCTTACACGATTATTTTAACATTTGAAATAGCATGAATTAGTTGGGCAAAGATTGCACGATTATATAACTTGTATAAAATAGAACAATACATGGATACATTACATAATTAAACATACAAGTGTGTTTAATATATATTCTGCTATATATTGATCAAGCACTGGTATGTGAGTTCTCACACGTTTATTGCATTGAATACCTTATTTCTGTTACGAACAAGAGGGTTTCTTCTCATTAAACATCTTAAGTTCGATTGTTTTCTCCCCCAGTGGCTCCAATACGCCGCCATTTTTCGGTACACGTGGAATTCTTCTTGTTTTCTAATAAGGAGAGACTTCATGTTAGAATACAACGAAAGGTTGTACTCTGGGAAGTAGTCACTGAAGACTGAAGTAGTCCATTTTAGGATTAGGATATTTGATAATTTTGATTGATTGATAGTCAAGAAATACTACGTTGAGAAGCTTAAAACATGAGTAATATCTATATTCAAGAACCGCCTACGAACGGAAAGGTGGGAACAAAATTACAAAAACCATAATAGTGTGGTTTAATACTGCAAGTTGTATTAGATGAATACTCTAGGTAATTCATTAGGTAATTAATGCTGAATGTTTCAGGTTCTTGTAAGCACTAGTGCTGGAGACATTGATATTGAATTATGGTCGAAAGAGGCACCAAAAGCTAGTCGTAACTTCGTGCAGTTGTGCTTGGAAGGTTACTATGACAATACCATATTTCATCGAATTGTCAAAGGTGAGGATTATATTTAAGAGAAGAAAATAGGTAATGGCTAGAATATAGCTATATGAGTCCCAAAGTTCATCTTGCAATTTTGACATTATATGATCTATGAAAACCAAAACTAAAAATAAATTGACTGGATATTCAATGGGTTAAAGACTTAAATGACTATTAGCCATAGTCATATTGCATGGTGCATTAATGTTCTGGTACTTGTTGAATTTCGCATAGTACTGAAAAGCCCTGAATTAATTTATCATTAGGATTTTGCATTCAAGGAGGTGATCCTACAGGAACTGGTACAGGTATAATAATATCAGACAAAACAAAGTGAACTTCATATAATATGAAATAATATTCTGCTAGAATTATTAAATGCTTTTTTGGGTCTTTCTATTCTAGGAGGTGAATCAATATATGGTGAACCGTTCAAAGTAATAAGACACTGCAGATTAACAAAAACAAAAATACAACAACTTAATGTTTTATATTATATATTCCTTGTAGAATGAAGTACATCAACGATTAAGATTTGTAAGAAGGGGCTTGGTAGCAACTGCAAACACAGGTGAAAATGACAATGGAAGTCAATTTTTCTTCACTCTTGGACGGGCAGATGAGCTTCATGGTAAACATACAATTTTTGGAAAAGTGAGTTATTTAACATGTACTGCATTAAAATTTTTCTTTTATCTTGTATTTTGATGGCAAATACCAGTGAATACTAGAGTCAGGTATTCCTTAAATCCATATCTCTCTAGAAGTATACTAAATCCTTATGTAGGACATATTATAAAGACATATAAAGACATGTATTTGTTATATTTACTGTAAAAAGTTCAATCTAAGAGAGAATAGCCTTCATATTCTGTATTGTAATTATCAAGGTCACTGGCAACACAATCTATAACATGTTGGAAATGGAAAGTATGGAGGTTGATCAAAATGATTTTCCTGTTTACCCTCCCAAGATATACAAAACTGAGGTAATGTGATTGCATTATCCAGGAGGTTATCTTCTTATTAGAGCAATTGTAAATTGTCTGGCTATACCAGCTATTTTAAACAAAAACTAACATATATAGTCCTCATGATAGAATGGATGCAAGTATGTATACTGCTGCTCACATTTATTTATAACTATATTCACATTTAAAAATGTTGGCTTTTACTAGGTATTGTCCAATCCATTTGAGGATATTGTTCCCAGAGAAAAAGAGAAACATGTTGAGAAAGAAAGCAAGAAAGAGAAGAAAAGCAAAGGAACAAAGTAAGAAATAAAAATGGCTGTTACATCTGTATAAAAATGGACAGAACTAAGCTAGTGTATATGGCTGTTAGAAATTTTAGTTTGTTATCATTTGGCGAAGAGGCTGAAGATGATGAGGAAGAAATTCACACTTTGAGCAAGGTTCGTGATCTGGTAACGAGTAGGGGTGAAACATATAGTTTCATTTGACATTCTTTGTTTTCACAAAAGTTGTTGCATATGTTTACTGACAGACTGTTAGGGTGCTTAAGGACAGTATTCACATTCCTCGTTTCTTATTTTAGGATATGAAAATCAAGAGCAGCCATGATGTACTGAATGATCCAAAGCTTAGTTCAGTCCCTACTTTGACGCCAACAGAGGACGTGAGTCAATTTTTATTGTGTTTAATATCATTATGAAAAATGAATTTCTGTAGGGTGGCTGTTGGAAGAACGTATTGGGGGATTGAAATTTCCCCTGAGGTTGATTTGATTTGTGACAATTGATACTATGGACTAAGGTGTTTAAAAACGAAAATGATCTTTGTTTTCAAAAACATAAAAGTTTTTTAGTTCCATCGGAATTTAAATAGGATGTGTAAAAAAACACGATCGGGAAATCTTCCAAGTAATTCACTCTGTTCTCGAAGCACAAAAGTGGAATTTCAAGTTGTTTTCAAGCAGCGTTAACTGTCAAGTTCATACACACTATCGAGCGCACGTAACAAAATTGATCTACAAATAAAATCTATCTACACAACTAAAAAATTGACATGCAATTCCGAGGTAGATTCTAACTGCATTCCAGGAGCATAAATGCATGTTAGATTTACTATTGCTGTGTAGTTTTTAGTAGCTAGGCTAGTGTATAAACGTTTAGTAAATAATTCCGCTTTTTGCACTCAAGTGAGTAATTCGGCACTTGTGATCTTTGAATCTCAGCTACCTTTACATCTAAATCTCTGGATATTTCACAATTTTCGCTAAACCGGTTCTTAATGAGAATAAGGATAATTCGATGTTAAGAATCCTGCTACAAACGTGGAGATTGGTTAAAAGCGAAGGGGCAAAGCGAATTTAATAGAGAACAGCCGTAAGGCAGTCATCTCAGCGCAGGTTTCTCTCGTGTGCGGTTAGTTCTTGTCAGAAATCAGAAATACATCTCTATGATTTATTGAAGTACATATTGTACTGTTTACAGCAGAGCTGGTTTGGACTGTTTTTATTTAGTTCACTTGGTATTTGTTTGTTTCAAGAATGAAAAGGCTGTTGATGAGGACGTGGCAGACAATGTTCGAAAAAGGTTGAAAAAGCCAACAATTGAGAAGGAGAATGATGAACAGAGTGAGGAAGATGACGAAGATAAGCGCTCGAAGAGAAGGTATATATATGTTGTTTAAGTTACATGAGGATTATTATTATGATTAAAATGTGATATTCGAAACTTCGTCCGAACTTGTTTAAAGTGTTGCAGTCAGTGCTGAAAACCTAGAATATTTTGCAACCAAATTACTTTTATTTTTCGTTATCTATCTGGACCTTCTGGGGTGAACTGAGCAATCATCAATTTCAGACTTCAGACATTTACCGTTTTTCAACATTCCTAATTTTCAGTAAAGAGTTAAGGCGTGAATCTAAACGACTTCGACGTGAACTGCGGGATAGTAAGAAAACTAAACCTGTAGAAGAAGTTGATACGAAAGATGACGAAAATGAAAAAGAAGGTTTGTATTTCAGGTTTTGTACCTAACGTTGTTGGTAAACATCAAATATAACGCCGTGACTCCTTTTGTTTATGTCCCAGATGAAGTTGGTGCATTAAAAGATTTTCGTGAAGAAAGAAAAGAATATTTGCATAAAAAGAACGAACAAATTAAGAAAAAGGGATCTGGTCGCGAAGAACAGGTGTGCTTATTTTAGTTGGATGGTCATGAAGTATTTAGAGATTCTAGCAGCGCGGGAGTTCTCGTTTGTCTATATAACTATGTATTTATGCCCGGGACCACGCATGGGAGTTGCAATGATTGCATCTCATGAACTATTTCTGTTAGTCGTTGGTTATGGCTTCGTCTAGACAGAAAGCAACCTCCGGTCGCAGGGCATTTTTCATCTACTGCACTGCTCGCTGTTGGATAGAAAGGCGGGCAATTTTGAAGCGACGAGACAATTAACTTTGTCAATTCCTCGCAGGGAGTAAGAACTCTCTAATCAGTCTAATGTTTTATTAGCTGCTTTTTAACGTCATCGAATAGTATCTGAAACAACCTTAAAGGTGCAATGCGCAGTTTTGCCAACCTTGGAAAGGCATTCTAGTATCCTTCTCTGAATCATACAAATGGTAACTGGTGAAACGAACTGAAATCGCTTATGCTTTTGCAGACATTACAGTTGCTGTCCATTTTCCAGTCAAAGTTGGAGGAACCTGGAGACGAGGTTGCACCCACTATGTTAGACGACGATGAGGATGATGACGAAGCGGTTGATAGCAGCTCTTGGTTAGTTAATCAGGAGACTATTATATTTATGATGAATTGTGGTAAATTCGGGTGAGGGGCAACCCTCAGTGAGGGAGGGGATGTCGTCATTACTCTGTTGAAATTGAGTGAGATAATGAGTTTGAGGTGGGTTGAAGAAGAGATAGAAATTTGTTCCTTGGTAACGCCTAGTGGTGTCCTAGCTGTGTGACGGTTACGATAAGAAATATTTGTCATTGTGAGATTTAAGAAGAGGTCTTGCACTAGAAAATAGGAGCGTCCGCGTTGACAGACCAAGGAATTTGCAGTAAAAATTACAGTAGACGTGATGTACCTTGATAGTTATATTAGTATACTGTTACATTTGCCCATGGTAAGATCTTCTGCCATTGAATATCCACCATATGCCCTGTTCAATATATGGATGTCTTTTACAGGTTACATCATAAACTGATGTTTGAGGAGCATGATAGAAGAGCAAAAGATGCCAACATTCGTGATGAAGATACTTTTGAAATATTTGATCCTCGAAATCCTATCAATAAAAGACGACGAGAGGAAAGTAAAAAAAGACAGAAGGAACAGAAAAGAAAGTAACTCAGACAAGGTTAGTGTGAAGATGTTGAGCGTACGTGTTTTCAACTTTTCACTGAAAGACACACGACTCAAAGAAACCTCGTGAGAATATTTTCTTGTGCTTGCCCATGCACATCAGTAACAACACAAAGTCACTTGTAGGATTTTTCAATCGTACCACTTGCATGGACGTTGAAAATCCAATGAACTGTTTCATTTAGTGCAATTTTTTAAGAAGTATTCTTAGTAGCATGAATTGCACATCTGGCCATGCATAGAGTTAGATTCCTAATTAATGTTATATTTATCTGCATGCCATCAAACTATATAAAGCAAACCCTTTCTTGAGGTTTTTTGGGGGCTTTCAAAAATTATAACCCTCGAAATATCGTGCCTCGTATGTTCGTTAAACTATCCTAATCTGTTACTACACAAGCATTTGATTTGCCATCGGCTTATTACCTACATATTAATGTTCCATTATACCGCGACTATTGGGAACTAACGTACTCGAGTCTTTGCAATTGATAGCACACATGTTAAACAGATTGAGTTTTAAGTTATTTTAATTGCTTGCGTCTATATTATTTCAACAAGTGATGATAAGGCCTGTAATGTGTTGGCCTATGAGAAAAGGCAATTTTAAAATTATCAAAGTCGTAATCACACTTCAAGCGGATCATGTCGGATTATGTTCATTACAAATCCTTGTCTTTCCTGTTGGTCTTTGCAGTCATATCCCATCATGCCTCTTCTATTTATTCGATAAAAGCACTGGAAGCATTTTAATATGACTCTAAATATTTGTGTCTGATATAAAAACGTGCTGAATTTTTTCGACTGGACTCAGATATAAAAATATTTTTTCAAGTGCACTAAAATATCATAAACAGTGTCCTGCTGTATACTATCGTTACATTTTGGGTATATAGTTCAAGCCATAGTTATACGTAATTACCGCAAAATACACAATTCTAATTTGCTAATTTGTCACTAACTATATAGCAGAGGGGTTGATATTTTTTTCTCGGGGGAAGGGGGGGGGGGCGGGCGATATCTACACTCTATCCAACGCTTCAACCTTTGTGCGTCAGATATAGCGACAAATGACAAGTTGTTTTTCTGTTTACGTCCAAATATAATACTACTGATGTTATCAATCTAAGTCGGAAAATATAAGTTCATCGTAATAAAAACAGAACACAGCAAATGCAATATACATAGCACATGGCCTGCTTTTCAGGTGTTTTTTTGCGGAAAAACCGCAGAAAGTCTGTATATGAATGCTATGATAGATATAATATTTATGGATGCTTGCTAATATTTAGATGTCACAGGTTCATTTCTGACAGTGCACGCCACGAGGCTGTTAATATTCCAAGACCACCCATTACTTAATTGGCAAGATGAAAGCCAAATGAAACAAGAACAAATGCTGAACTGATGATGAGCGTGATGTTGATAAGCGGCGTCGATGCAATAATCCATTAGATCTCTATCAGAAGATTGCACTTATTTAATAATATACCACTATACATGACTGCGCACTATAATATTGCTTTAACAACATATGACATTACTATGACATACACTTCTAAAGTTAGCGAGGAGAGTTTGGACTGATTTTAACAACTGTTGAACGTCCAGATATAGTGTTATTTCGCGGTGCACTGGTCTTGCTCTAGAATAATACATAGAGAGAAACTGGTAAGACGATTTGTCTGATATATAGATGAACCTGACAAATGGAAGTAGTTTTAAAGTCACGACAGATTGGACTCCTCAAAGTCTGCGACTTTTACCCACTACAAAGATGTGTTGTGCTAGTTCATTTTGTGAAGACAATGGTTCAATTCATCACGCAACAAAAAAGGGATCCTCAAAAACAGTAACCATAAAAAGGCAGAAGAAAAGAAGGAAAGATAAAGACAGATCTGAGTGTGTAAAAAAGCCGAAAAAACGAGAACGAACTCGTCAAGATAATGTCAACATTGCTTTCGGAAAATTAAGGGACATATTACCGACTTATCCTCCAAATAAAAAACTTTCGAAATGCCAAATATTGAGGCTGGCTGTTCGGTATATTACACTGTTAAATAATGTGTTAGAGGAACAAGGTCTTAATAATGTTCACGCAGACACATGTTAACACTAGCTTTCTGATTGATTGATCGATGAATTACCGGGCGGATATGTGAATTTACTGTTAATACCGCGCTAATGTCGAAACTTTTGTCACCTTGCATATTCATCATAATTGTGGTTTGTTTTTATTTGCCACCTAGCACTAGTAGAGTAGAACTTCTTTTATGTCACGATATTTTTTGTTCAGACGAAGAAAATATATAAATTATCTGATAGTCCATACCACATGAGTCAGTTATTTATACCAAACGCATGCATGCAACGGATTCGCCATGCAGTTGGGTGCATACTGGTCATTTGTAAATATGCTTACATGCAATAAATGTTTTCGCTTTACTGGATGTCAAAATATTCTCGCTTCAGATTTGAAGTAAGAAACCGGCCAAATGGAGTGAATATACAATTCTGAACAGCTGCATGTAATCTCGTATCCGTTTTGAGATTTTCGGGAAGGACTACGCCTACACATATTCTCCTAAATTTAAAATTTTAATTTTTATTTCCTGGCCACTGGCACTGCATTTATCCAAACTGATTATGAAAAATACGATACAAATTAGAAAAGAAGTGCAAACTTCACCCAGTTTTCTTTTCAAAAGTATTCAAAATGAACATTGATTGCAGGAATTAGGATGGAAGGGTTTTGTGCGTTGTTCATCTGAAGCCGAAAATTGGACAAAACGATGAAAAATAGAACACATCAACCTCGTAGAGTTCATGCATGCAAAGACGAATTTCCCTGTCATATGACAATTTTTTTTCAGCATGGCAAGGGCGGGCGATTGTTGTCCGGCGAGGCCAATTCCAAATCAGTGTCACTCCTCTTAGATTAAAGGGATTAATTAAACTCCGCTATATTTCCAAATAGGTTCTTATTTCAGCTGAACAAACAAACAAAACACATTTGATATTGTAATTTCAACATGATGATTTTAGCAGATGCTGTATTTGTTGAAATGTCACGGACAATATGTTAACTCATTCTTCAACACCAACGCATCTTCTATATAATCTAATTACAACCTAACACCTTTCCTAATATCCTGGCGAATCAGTAGGAAACGTTTTAATTTATCATAGGTTTTTCGAGAGAAGTATGATGCAGAGTGCAGAGGTAGTTACGGGCCATTTTTGTTTTGATTTTTCCTGTTTGAACTTAATCGAGGGGATGGTCATATCCATTAAGGGTATACTTGTACTCAGAGCATTCGTAACTATTCTCTCATATGCATCTACATTTATTGTAAAGCATAACCATTTTGCATTTACCGGAACAGTGAATCAGTGAACAGTGAATGCTTTTCGACGCGTATATACTTGCATGCGTAAACCCCTGTACCCCTCATAATAATAAAGCTTCTTGGGTCAATACTCAAAGAACTTGGCCCATGCACGTCCAGTCACCGTTTTAAAAAAAGTTAAGAGGTTGTGTCAGCATGATAGTTGTTGATGCATGCATCACACATTTAATAACATTTTCAGATCAGTTTTGTATTTCCAACAGGAACGTAGCTTGTATGATAAAAGTAAAAAGAAATAATTCATTAGCTACATTCATGCAAGCACTGTTGGGATAATTACATCATTATTTTATCACATATATTGTTCAGTTAGATTCAATGTTTTTAATCCAAGAACTTCTCCGCAACATCACGTATTGTTCTAGCTGATTCCAAAATCTCCCCTTTGGTTAATTTGCTATTTACAGTAACGCGGATGCTGGAAAAATAAATGAATATCATTCAGTACTATACTCTATAGCATATGTTTTATCATGCGCATATAAATATGTGTCAAAGAAAAATCTACTCGAGAGCCTTCCGTATAGGGAAGGTTGGAGAATAATTTTTTTATGTGTAAATTGTTACTGCAACAGAGCCATGCTGGTTACATCATCATTTAAAAGCTAAGGTATCTTTAGCACGGGTATCTTTATCACGTTACCTTGGTGGTGGTAGAAAAGCCTCGTCTTCTTTCAAGTATCTCGCAACAGAAATAGCGATATCTTTGTCTAAAACCTAAAATGTATTATGTCAAAAAAACGTTTTCGGACACTTCAACTTACGACCTCGTATATAAAGACCATGCACAGATTGAATATAATTCAGATAGCATGCAATACGGACTTACTGCAGCAACTATACGCTCGAGTATTTCCTCGTCTTCGTCAATAGATCCTCGAGATGTTTCAAGACGTAAATGAATGATCGGGGATATTTCATTGCCATTTAATTTCAATCCTCGAATTCTAATAGGAGACGGATGATAAGAATGATAAACCGCGCTTCGCGAACGGGAAAATATTTATAAGATCTACTTTACCCTTTCAACTCCTTGTGGAAAAGCAGGGCATTGTCACGTAGCTTCTCGAACATCTCTAAACAGATAAAAAGTCCTTGAAAGAAGAATCATTCAAAATGCGTCCAGAGCGGATTAATACAAGTCTGACTGGCACAACACGAGGACATTTTGTTACGGTTTAAAGGCTAGTTTATACTCAGGAAAAATCTCCTTTGGATCGGAACGGACAGGAAAATTTCCTTTGTCGATGAGTTCTCAGCCGGCGTTTATACAAAGGAAACTTAGGAATCTTAGGAACTGCAGTACTGTTTTCTCACCAACCTGGATGTTGATCCATGACATTCAAAGCTTCGGTACCAGCTGATGCAAGGAGAGGTGGCAGAGAGGCAGAGAAACAGTATCCTGCACCAGAAAGACGCTGCAAGATGATAATTATTATTTATAGACTTTGATTTTGAAGTCGAGAAATATTTAGTTCAAGGTCTATAACTGCAATAACTAAAGTTGGTTATAAACAAACAAATTAAATTTCAGCACCTGGTGGTCAACAACGAAGGATGAACCACAACAAAAACCACCAATTGTTGCAAGAGAACTTTCCATGGACGCACTGATGAGATCAACATCGTTTCTCTGAAAAAAAGGTTTGTTTGATTTGTTAACTTGTTATCTTCATGCATCACCTATAAAGGATAAAATAAAACAGCAATGACAGAAATGAATATTCTCTTACATTAACATCAAAATGTTCTGTAATACCGCGACCTGTCGCACCGAGAACACCAAATGACTGACTTTCATCCATCAAAATACGAACTTTGTATTTGTATTTCAGCTCAATCTAGAAAGAATAGTTAAAGATGAAGGTGATTAGAAGTTCTTTTGCAAACCAATTTTTGAATATTCAACTATTGTTCATGTTAAACTTCCTGGGCTTGGAATGACAAATCCTGGACAATCCTTTTGTCCAGTGTTTCTGTCTCCATGTTCTTTTCAATCCCAACGGCATATTTTTATGTTTATGGCTTAAACTGTCTTACCAGTTTTGGCAAAGGAGCAAGATCTCCATAGTTTGTATACAATCCTTCCACAACTAAGAACCTTCTTGTTACACTGGCTTTTTTTGCATTCTTTAAAACATATATAGGATATTTAATTGTACAATACTACATAAATGCAAATATAGTTAATTATATTATTTCCAGTATCACATGGGAAACTGATAGTTTTCACCTTCTTATCCCTTTGTTCTTGTTCTTTCAAACAACGTTCAAGATCTTCCATGTTGTTATGTTTGAACCAGTATACCTTACTACGAGAAGCTGTCACACCTTTCTGGATGGCAAAGCATACACCATCGTCACTGCAATTTGAGGTAAAATAAATTGCAAACTTTCTGATTGTTTTGTTTAATTTTACAATAGGAGGTAAACTCCACTCACCAGAAGATAACATCTCCTCTTTTTGAGTAAGCTGGTATTGCACTTGCAATTGTTGAAAAACCATATGCATACATAATGGCATCCTCTGTGTTCATGAATTCGGTCACTTTCTTTTCAAACTCAAGATGAACATCTGAAAGCATAAAATAGCAAAGTTACTAAGGTGCTGCTCACTTTGAAGTTTCTTCAAAGGCTTGGACTAAAAAAATTGGGCCTAGTAGCACATGTGATTTGTTTGAAATTTAGACCCTCTATATTTGATCAAATGAATTACAGAAAAAACAGAGTGTTAGCAAATAATCCTTCATGGTTAAATTAAATACTATTTTCCATACCTATTGTACCATAGAATCCCCTTGGGCCACAAGAACCTACTCCATATTTTCGCAATGACTTTATACTTGCTTCCTGCAAAACAAAACAAAAAAATATGATCACAAAAAATAGTAAAAATTTAATGGCACAAAATAAGCATTGTATTATAGGAATTCTATTTTTTCAAGCTAAATGCATGATTCTAAACAAACATGCTTAGAGAAACTTCTTATACCTCAATATCTTTATCTCCCACAAAACCAAGGAAGTTAAATGTTGCCAGATTTAGGCACGATTTTCCATTTACTGTAATTCTATGTCCTGGTTTGCTAAAAAAGAAGTAATGATAATTGGCTATATATATAAATGTAGTAAAAAGTAGGTGGTACTTGGAATCATAGAATTTATTAAACTCTGTTTTCCAACCCTTTGATGATATTTGGATTAAGAACATAGGAAGGGTGGTCAGCTTTTGCAGGAACCAATGGTTCAGGTTTCCAATCTTTTATTAACTCTTCTTCCTCCTATTGTAAAAAATTGCTGTTCTTTTAAAAGTGTACCCATCATATTTCACCCCACCATATTTAATGGATGCTTCTTAGAGATTGCCTCCTACCTTTTCAGTTAAATGTATTTCACTTTCCCGTAGTTTGTACTGTTTGGCACGGAAAAGACGGAACACAAGTAGAACCAAAATCACCTCAAATAGTATGTGATAGAATGGTGCCTAAAATAAAACATAAATTTGTGAAAAATGTGGGAGAGAAACGATTAGCCTTATGCATGATTGTTTGTAATAAATTACATATTTGCTTCATTGATGTTTACACATCAAAATTTGCCTTATAATCATAACATAGTACTTTTAATGAACTATATGCTACTGGTCCATTTTCCAGTTTTCCGGGTGATTCAGAGGAGCATCATCACAATATTCGGGTCCATTTCCAAAATATCAATTTTGAGTCCAGTTCCGAAATATCAATTACTTGAACAGTCTTGACCTAGTAGCTCAGTTGGAAGAGCATTGGACTAGCAAACAAAAGGTTGCTAGTTCGATTCCCACCGTGGTCAAACTAATTTTTTAGTTTACCCAGTTGATGACTCAGAGTAGAATCATCACAATGTTCATTTCATATATACACTATGCACTATCTTATCTTATCTTAGTCTTATGCACTATTACTATGTTTGTCTTGTTATTTTGCTTCTATTTAATATTGTCACACCTATAAAGCTTGCCCTACCTAGTCTTCCAAAAATTTCTGAATAAACCTGTCATCCCTGAAATTCAACTAGACATTTTAGAAATAACCAGGCTTCTGTATAGATTTTTCATTCAGATATTCGGCAGCAATTTTTCTTTCTGATAAGAAATTCTAGTTTATGCAATATTATAAGCAATACATATACTAGCGAGTAGCGATCAGCCAGCTATAAACCAGCGTAAGCACAATACACGCTCGCCGTCTTATGCATGCAGTGTTACTATTGTTATCAGCGCTTTCTGTAAAGTAAATATACACGTATGTAAAACATACCCCTATATAAACATCCCAGAATTGAACAAGTTTAGAAAAAAGAAATGACCAATAAGGCAATGTATTATTATCACAGGATTCTCTATCGGTTGCCATCTCTTATATACTGTATAACATCACTGATTGAATTATTTGAATAATTTCACTAAATAAATAACATACAGCCAGTGATACAGCGTTGGGGAAAACCTGGAAACGAGGGAGGATCAATGGGAGCATATGGGGTCTATGGGATAGATTTACAATCTGGACAAAGGTGTGGTGTTCTAAAATTGTAGCCTGATGCCTGAGCCTGATGTCGCACGGAATGATATTTAACGACAAATTGCGATTTGTCGTTAAAATTTGTTCATGGTACCGCGAGCTTTAAAAAAACAAATTATAAAACAGGTATTACAGCGTGTTTGTTTTTGCTTTTTTTACTGCCAGGACCAAACTGTTAGCCTCCTTCCCAGGATCCAGGCATTTTAATAGGCATAGATTTTGGATTTTCCATTACGTAAGGCCCGCAAGAGCAGATTTCAAAGGCAGTTTCACTAGCCAGGGTGAAACCAGAGGGGCAAACTGTATAGTATGTAAAACTGTTTTTCAGGAGTAAATGCGGGCAAAGCGTCCTTTGGAAATTTGCCATTAAATTTGCCCATTGGAAAACTGAGGAATTTCCATACCCATGCAAGGAATGCTCGAATTCGAAGTTTTCGTCTTTTCGAACAAAACCGAGTATTGAGACAGATTTGTATATACTAAACAACGGATTCTGTAAGTGAAATGTCGAAAAAACTGAAAGTTTCGGAAGGGGATTGGACGTGTTCAGATAATAGGTTCGTTCAATGATAGGTTAGAGAGAGGTTTGAACACATTCAACAACATTCCTATCCTTACTAGTTGTGGCAATCTGAATTTCGCGCGAAGGACAAACTGCAATCGTTGTGGCAAAGGTACAAGACATCAGATATGTTATGTAATAGTGCCAGCATGGAAGTTAGTTTGCTGTTTGCAATGTTAACTTTTGCAACTGGCAAGTTGTATAGAAATTAGGATAGAAATCTTACTTCAAGCGTTTTGTCTTGCAATGTGTTACATTCACGCTGAATTATGCCACAGCATTTACAGTACAATGACATGCCAGGGTTGTTTGCCTATTGATTCTTTTTGCAGCACTGCTTTCACAAACAATGCATGTTGCCAAATAGCAGTGAGTGCAAGTGAGTGAGGTATCATATGCCAGATGTACGTACATACATTCTTTAAACTTTGAGAATCAATCAAAGTTGTGAGCTTTCAAAACAAAAGTACATTCCTGATATATTAACAGCTCTTTACTATAAGAGATCAGTATGTTGAAGCACATGTTGATATAAGCTTGCTGCCACTAACTCATTAGATTATTATTTAGGAATGATAAAACTAATGAACCTTTGACTGCTCTGTCAATCCATTGTATCTCTATACCGCTGTAGTGCATGATAGCAGATCATCAACAAATACCCACTGAGAGAAATCATATATTGGAAAAAGACCACTTAGGATGTTGCAAAGTTTTATCTAATTCTTTAACATTTCTATCCTAAAATACTAATATAATTTCTACTATATGTACTAATATAATTTCTTTATCATTCTTGGAATAGAGAAAGGAAAGGTTGTTGATAGAGTGAAGAAAACTGGATCTGAAATTGGCAAGCATATAGCTGAAAAAAGCAAAGGCTTATTTAGTGCAGATGATTGGCAATGTGGAAAGTATGTACTATCCTTTGTTTAATTTAGATCCTAAGTAATTCACATTTTAAAATTTGTTTGGAGTATCTGGAGCGAATATAGAGTAATTGATGCATATAAAATATATTAATAAGCTAGTAATTTAATAATAATATAATTGAATATGCATGAGGTAATAAAATTGAATATGTTATCAATTAGAATTGGTATTTGTCATGTGCTCTATACCTTAGAAGTAATAAGAATATACCTTTGTCTCTACCCTATTTTTACCAAACTTCCTTATCAAAGCAACAATGGGGAAAGTATAAAAGAAAACCAAAATTTGATTGGGATATGCTTATGTTTAGGATTTAACCACCCATATTTTTCCTTACAGATGTGGAAACATAAATTGGGCGCGACGCTCAACATGCAATGTCTGCAATGCCCCAAAAATTGGTCACAAAGAAAGAAGAACTGGTGAGTAATAACTAATAATATCAGTAATGATAGAGGATAGTAATAAATGCTTTTCATTATATGTCCTAAAAGATGAAAACTGATGTGTGGTTCATTTATATTTTTATTCAAAATTAAACTATTAACTACTGTATGTTGTCTGTATAGTTTATGTGATATGCTCTCAATTTGTTTTTAGTAAGACTGTAAGAGTTGTCTGAACACTTTTTTCTCCTCTTCACAATGCAGGTCTTGGTGGAGGTTTTAATGAACGGGAAAATGTTGAGTATATTGAGCGACAAGACTCCGATGATGAGTTTGATGAGGTATTGTAATGACATCTAAAAGCTAAACTTTTGTATACCTAGACTCATCTTAAATTATTGTACCTCATATAGTTTGGTAGAAGAAAAAAAGGAGCAAAACAAAAGACTTCCAAGGTATTGTATCCAACAATATTATCAGTTTCATTGAGATTTTCTCATTCTGATTTTTTTTCCTAGAAGTCAACCATACATGTAGATCCTATTGTACCCACACTGTTTTGTATGGAGGAGACTCGTTAGTGCTTTTCTATTTGTAGAACAATGAAGAAAGAAGAAGATTAAGTGCTGGTGAAGATTTTATCAAGCTAAGAAATATTGAGCCACAGCCTGACGAAGATGATGATGATGACGATGAAGATGATAGTGATGTTGATCTTTCAAAATACGAGTTGGATGATGTAAGGCTTAGATCAAATGTTGCACTTCTCACTTCATTTTGTTAGGCTTAGATCAAACGTTGCATTTCTCACTTTATTTTGTAAGGTGTAGATCAAATGTTGCACTTCTCATGCTCTAGAACGCATTAACAACAGTAGATAATTTCAGCTTATTATCTAATTGCTTTTAATGCATTCGGCGCATGACAAGCGTCACGTTTGACACAGGCTAAACTATCTATCTATCTTGGTTAAAATTGAACTGGGACATAAATGTAACCTCGTGTCTCTTTATCTTTGCTGTAGACACTGTATCTTAAATACTGCCAAACCTGCCATCTGACTGTGTATCAGCTAAGTTTACAGTAGTAACTGTAGTCTAACTCGCTTTTTCTTTAGGACGAAGAGGAAACTCCAGCGAAGACCAAGGAAGATTCACGGGATCAGGGAGGGTAATCATATGACCTGACACCCCTGTGGGGTTCAGGTGGGACAATACCAAATGTTTACTCTATGTTCATTATGTGGGTTTAAATCTCCTGATCATTCAAAGTACGGTTGACGTACATGGAAAGATTTCTTAGCCTTGGGTGTTCTTATGCAGAAAATTACGGTACCGTCAAAAAATGACGATTGCTCAAAGTTATTCGTTCTTGTGTAACGTTACATAAATCTTTCCGTTTGGCATATATAAAAATGTTTGTAAAATTTTGAAAAAATACAAAAATTTTGGTGGGTTAAAAAATTGAAAAGTTTTTATTGGTGATGTTCATGTACTGCATTCTAATACTTTGGTTCAATTTTAAGGTTGATCGACAAGGATGGTGGCTCTAAAAGGTAGTTATAATGTTGTGAACATATTCTTAAGAGTTAATCTTAACATCATTCACTGAAGCAGCTACTTGATATTTTACGTTTGACCATATATTCTAACCTTAAAGATCACGTTCTCGCTCCCCTGCATCGGATGGAAGAAAGGTTCGTCGTCGTAGTTCATCGTCCAGTTCTAGTTCAAGATCATCGCGGAGTTCGTCATCCCGAAGTTCTTCATCGGGGTCGGATAGCAGAAGGTTTGAACATGCTTTTTAACTTTTGACGATGTGATATATGTTTCATTTGTGTGGAATAAAACATACCGGGTACTCCCCCCTCTATATTCTATTTGGCAAAGTGCAGCTACTCATATGCTGTCCTAGTTTCGGGTTGGGTGATTTGCTGCAGCAGTTTACTAGTAAAATTACCCGCAAACTCAATCATTCCTAGGAGTCGCTCAGATTCACGTTCAAGGTCAAAATCTCCAGGAAAAAAGTAAAGTAAAGTACGTATAAAATATACGTACACGAGGTACGTAGAGTAAGCTGCGTTGAGATGGTTCTCACATGCCAAGATGGTTCAAAGAAGTTTATTCATTTGTGTTTAATCAAGAATAGAATCATAGAACATCGTTGATTCGGTCACCGTATTGTAAAATCGGTTACAAAATATACGTATTTTTAATTTTTCATACGTATATTTTTCCCTTTTTTTAGACCTGTACTCCTTCTGCACTCTACATAAAATCTTTTGCTTTTGCTTTTGCTTGTATGCTGTACTTCAAAAATGTGATTCCTGTGAAAGCTCCATTTATTACATTTTTGCAGCTCACTTTAATGTATACAGTTTTAAATAAATAGTTTTGAAGTTGATTTCTGTTGTAACTTGTGGCTGATAATAGTATTCTACTAATCCCCCCCGTCTCGTACGCCCTATGTTGAAATTTTCCGGGCCACTTTTAGAATGGGTACTTTTTCCTATTGCTTTCACAAAGTGATAAGAAGTGCCTTTTCTAAAAGTGCCCGGATATCATGATAAATAGCCGAGATGATCAGGCGTACTTTCTGATTATGATCATCCAGAGCCCGAGCGAGCATGCGTAGTGGAGAGCGTATTTAAATATAGCTCAGTATAGCCACTGAAATATAGTTCAGTGGAAGTGGAGTGTTTGCATTAGTTACGTGGCGAAGCAGCATGGCCACTGAGCTATATAATAATTCCTGGAGGACCGGCTCCTAATGTTTTTTTCTCAAAAAGTGAAGCAAAAAACATGGCGGACTTCGCCCTTCTGCGCAACCGCAGAAGCTCTGCTGACGCCACTTGGTTCCTTTTGGCCATGGTATTTACCACTGACCAGGCTCAATAATGAGCCCGCTACAGCAGTATTCCCCCCCTGGTTTTTGTAAATAACAATTCTCCCCCCTGGTTTTTATATTTTTTTTGCCGTGAAATCTTGTTTGTTTTTGAAATATTTTTTGGTTGTTTTTTTGATATTTTTCGCACTGACATCTAATAAAGTTTTATTTTAAGATGAATACAAGTCATACGTACACGCTGTTTTTGCCAGTGCGGGAGCAAATATATATTTAAATATCGAAAAATGTGGACAAACTAAAGATTTTAATACTGACACGAACTGACAGGTTTATTATTTTATTTTCGTAATAATATTTTTGTTATTTATACATTCCAATATGAAAGTTTACAAATGTTTGAATGTTTTGGCACTATCCTCGCAAGACAACTAGGAATTTATAGGCAACAATTTGACTTTTCTAAACCCTAAACTGATGAATTTCGCAGGAAGTATGTAATCAGTATTCAGTATGTGATGCTGTCTTCAAGACTTCATATCTATGCACAATCCAAAATCCAAAGAAACAGAGGCCATAGCTCAGGTAAAATGCTGCGCAGCTGACGAATACTAAGTGCAGGAATATAGTTTCAACCAAGAATCATATTTGCATAATATACTTTTCATTCAAGTCATCAACTTGTACCTTAATAAACCTGTTTTCAGCATTCTCTAATTGCATCCCTGGACCCCTGGTCATAGTAAAGAATAACATTTGTCCTTCCATAGGCTCCACTGATTAGCCTAATGAATATAGCCCTCTTGGAGGTTGATACCATACACAGAAAATACACAGCAAAAGTTGCTGCAGATTGAAGACACACTGCTCAGTCAATGCATGTTTATATTTATTTCATTAATTAATAAATATGACAAATGGTATAACCACCAGCCAACAACAAAATCAGATAACATGGAAATGAAGAACAACAATGCACAGTCATAAAATGCATGAACTTCATCCTAAAAAATAAAAATGGAGATATGATCAAGATTTATTCCCAAGGTGCAAGAAGCTAAAAAATAAATTAAAAGCCATGATAATTGATCATTTCACTTTGGATTTGACAAGGTAAACAAGATAATATATTAACTAGGCTTTAACAGAGCTCACTATCAGAGGTTGGAATTAATTTACACTGTTTACAGCATCTTATTATTTTGTATTAGCACCCTCAGATCATGTTAATTTATGCTGGGTGGGATAAATAGAAGAGGGACTATAGTAGACTCACTGGGGGAATGGTTTACCTATTAGCATTGATGTTTGCTATCATGAAAACAACATAGACCAAACTCAAAAGATTGACACTGCCAGGAATATAATTTTTTCCCCACACAAGTTAAGAAAAAATGATAAAGTTTGGGTATATAACATTGCATTTATTGTTTGTACCACACGTTTTGATGGATTTATTGTCTCAGAGGCTTTGGTACCCAGTTTATACTATAGTCCAACTCGAAAGGCCAAAAACGAAATTGTTTACAGTAAAAAAAGTTGAAAACGGCTTACCTCAGTTACCTGGATGTTATAAAATAAGAGCAAATTGAGAAAATTCACCTTACCGATAAGTGAATTAAGCCATTCACAACGTCAGACGCAGAGCACGAAGCTATGTGTCCTTTCCATTTGTTGAACAGGGGAAAAGAGAAACACTTTTATCCATTTTATATGAAAAACAAAAAATATATACGGAAAGCTGAAAATATTTTCATAAAATCCAGGAGGGAGACGGACTCAATTTCTCACTTTGTATCGCGGTATGTCAGTGGTATCTACCATGAGCAAAAGGAACCAAGTGGCGTCAGCAAACGCCGAAATCCGCCATGTTTTTTGCTTCACTTTCTGGTCAAGAACCGGTCCTCCAGGAATTATTATATAGCTCAGTGAGCATGGCGGTGTATTCAAAGATTTCGTCATAATGCTGTTTTGGTGATGAAATTCGGTAAACGTTTTGCTGACAAGTCATTTTATAATGCGACTGATTTAGCCGACTGCATTACGACTTGCTTTTTTTTATACCATGATATAGAACCTGAATGTCTGAGCATATGCCAAAGGCACTGAAGATTGTGGTTATCAAAGAGTAAGTTAATTTCAGAGGTGATAAGTTTATATAATTATGTTTGTATTTACGTTTGTGTATGAATCATGCTTTAGCTTCAGCTTTAGAAAGTAATTTCTATGGGAAGAACAAAATTTTATTTCTACACTGCTAAAATAAAACCATAAATGTAAATTACATTTAACTGATAATATGTTAAATATAGAACATTTTGTCACACGATATTGTACTATTTCCTGCTTTGTTCACCCAAATACAAAGGAATTAAAACCAAGTACTAAAAATAAGGTATCAGAATAGTCACCCTACAGAAGTTAGTTGAGTTACCACAAAGTTAATCACACATTTGAATTTGGTTCAGACAAGACGTGGTTTAATAGTTAAAAACATCCTAATACGTTTCCCCACAGTACAAATTTAGTAACATTAGCTAATTTCCTATGGCTATATCAGGGTTTTTGAATTGAGGGGGGGGGGGAACAGTGGAGCTTTTTGGGGGAAATTGTTGCAAAACCAAAATAATTAGAGAGGCTAAGGGCTAATTTCCATGTTTCTTATATACTTTGTTTACATTTTATAAGTATGGTACAAAACTTTATTTTAAAGAAAAAAACCCCACAATAATTTATAAAAATATAGACTGCTAGATTTTTCCCTATTTCCTGCACATAGTGGTAACTAGCAGATTTCTATATATATATTTCTTCCAGGTAGATATGGCAAACATGGATAGTTTGTCTGGTGTGGGTTATATCACAGCTGGTGTCAATAATTTTGTATTGCCAGAGAATGATACAAATAAGACAGATATTTTTCCTGAAGGAGTAAGCATCCTTCAACTACCTGATCAAAATCTGAAAGCATCACGTAAGAAAAAACGTCCACCTCGTGAAGACTTTCAGACATTTGAACGTATCTATACATTAAGTGAAGAATACCTTGGTAGTGGCTCATACTCTCATGTGTTTACATGTAAGCGTAAAACGACAGGCGAGAAATATGCTGCCAAAATTGTAGATAAGAATAACGCAATTCCTCGGGAAAAAATCCTTAACGAAGTTGAACTACATCACCTTTGTCGAAAAGAAAACAATATTTTAAGTCTGGTACAATTCTTTGAAGAAAACTCAAGGTATATTTTTGTTTATCCGCTTATGAAAGGTGGATCTTTGCTCAGACATATTGAAAGAAAGACAATATTCACTGAGTCAGAAGCAAGGGAAGTTGTAAAAGATGTGAGTACAGCATTATGCTTCCTTCACAAACATGGTGTTGCACATCGAGATTTAAAACCAGACAATATTTTGTGCGACAATGAAGAAACCATCACTCCAGTTAAGATCTGTGATTTTGATCTCGCTTCTGGTATTGGATCATGGACCAAGCCTGTATCCACCCCTGTCCTTCAAACACCAGTGGGCTCAGCGGAGTATATGGCTCCTGAGGTAGTCAAAGCGTTTGTTAACGAAGATGAAGCCACATACTACGATAAACGTTGCGATCTGTGGAGTTTAGGAGTGATATTGTACATAATGTTATCTGGTCATCCGCCGTTTTATGGCAATTGCGATGAAGACTGTGGCTGGGATAGAAACGAAACGTGCAATGAATGTCATAACATGCTGTGGAACAGTATCCAAGATGGTCGTTATAGTCTATCTGGCACTGAATGGAGCCGTGTTTCCTCCAAGGCCAAAGACCTAATTACTCATTTACTAGTCCGTGATGCATCGCGACGCTACTCTGCAGATACTGTACTTCATTGCGCGTGGATTACTCAGGAAGACACGAAAGATGAACCCAGTGGAACCCCGGTCCAGTCACCACGTGTCAATTTTGATGTTTCATCTTTCCTGGATGAAGCAAACAAAGCCAGTCGCACGTTAGCTGAGCATGCTAATCTTGCCAGTAAAAGCGATAAAACTAGTTTGATTGGTTTGTCTCCTCCTGGAAATTCCTCGTTGGCAAAACGCCGAGCTTGCAAGTCAAAAATTAAATCCTGAATGTTGCCCTTTTACGCGTTGTGTCTCCTATTTTTTGATATATATATTTGCGTTCTTCATACATCGACTGTTTTAATGCTTTTGTACAGACCTTTGTAACAATAATCAAGAACAATCGTTTATTTATATTGTTGTTATCATACTGAATTCATACTGGTTAATAACCAAATCTTCACGTTCTAACTTAGGTTGTGGAAATTTATATTTTAATATCCAAATATTACATCTACTGTTTAAATACACCACTATCATTCAAATGTCCAACAAAAGTCGTTAATTTTATCACTATGACCAGTTGTTTCAAAGTTTGTTAGCGATAGCCAAGGGTTGATACCCAGGATCATGTTGAGATTACTATAGTCTAACATGCAGATTGTTATTACGATGCGAAAGCTTGCAGTCCAGTAATTGCTCGACCCAAAATCAAAGCGTGAACGTCGTGAGTTCCTAGCAAATAAAAAAAATTATACTTAAATGCCGATTATATATTTCCAGAGGCCGCTCGCATTCGGATTTTAGTCGCGGGTTTCTTACACTGTGCTGGGGAATAGCAGTTGTGGGTTACGAATGATTTGCGATATTTACATTAATGAAAGCTTTCTGTTATTATTACATTAGCTTCTCTTTACGACCAATGAAATCTAGGGCTTATAGCGGTCCTGAACGATATAGTATGTCGATCAGTCCGGAAACAAAATACCTTCATATGTGTTGACTGACTCCAGGTTCATCACGTGACGAATCACATGGTATTCATCACTTATGCCATTACCTGAAGCGGTAAATTTTTTTTACTGTTATACAGTTATATTACGCAGGAAATCAAGCAAGATACTTTCATGCAATACAGGATGCTATATTGTGAGACTCATTCCGTATGTTTTACATGTCCTACCTCCTAGCATATCTCTCGCGTTTCTTGCAATTTCTAACGACTTCCCACAATTATTTCTTTTCACTAGTGAAACCATTTCTGGGCAATGTCTTGAAAAAGTATAGGAGGTTTTACAATTTAACGAACATTTAAGGCCGTGATACACGGCAACATGTAATGAAATTCTACTTTTAAGAGATGTAAATCAGTGAGGTGCTACCGAGATGTATCAACGTTAATAACGGCTTTATGAATAATCAACCATTCGTATTCACTCCGACTCGATGAAATTATGACATGCGTTTATCTGAAAATGGAGCTTTCATGAGTAGATTGAATCTGTTACTGGTTAACTTTAGATGCACATACTTTTTCTCATCTTTTAGTCTTGCGACATGAATAACGGCATTCAATCCAAGAGAAAGCTAAATTTTAAGAAATTTTGAATCTTATCAACGTGCAAGGATAAGGTTATTTAGGACTAAAATGAATTGATAGAGAATACCTCTGTCGCCATATCAGCTAATTTCTTTTGTATAAGTTGATTTCCAGCAAGAGGTTTGCCAAACTGAATTCTGCATGACATTGAAACCATAATTTTAGATATTACATTCACGTATGTTACAAACCGAATCCAGCCACCTTAATCATATTACCGGTCCAAAGTATACTGTCGTGCTGTTTCATAACAAAATTCAGCAGCACCCAAAGATCCAAATGCAATACCCAATCTTGCACTGTCTAAACAGCTGAAGGCACCCTAAAAACAATCTGATATTAACCTACTATAAAAGCACCAAATTTAGTATAACCGCATATAGGTTCATGTCAGGTTTGTCGACCAAATATCAAACATGTTCATATATCCTTTGTTACTCACTTTCAATCCACTGACTTTTGGTAAAAGATTTTCCTCTGGAACTTCAACATCTTCCATGACAATCATCCCTGTTGCTGATGCGCGCAGTGAAAACTTTCCTTCAATTTTCGGGGCTGACAGTCCTTTCATTTCCTATCAAAATACAATTATATGCCCGTTTCTACACAACACCAATAATCCACATTTCTATTCTTAATTAGTTCATGGTTCTATACAGCATCAACTAGCCGTGTCTATAATGCTCAGATGTGTTTTTACTCGTCGGGGAAATATTGATTCATATGGGAGATTGGTGTGATGTGCATAACGAAAAAAGAGACATGAAATAAACGTGGTCGAGAACTGTTTTCGGACCTTTTCAAGAATAAATCCTCTGACCACGTCATCATCACATTTTGCCCACACCACAAATACATCCGCCACAGGAGAATTTGTTATCCTATAAAATGAAAACAAAAGCTTCGTATTTAACCCCGTTTCCAGGTTGGGTCCCTCTTGCCTTTATATGACGAAATCTTATCCTGGTAGCCAAATTATTAACTAGTGCATACCAAGTTTTTGATCCATTTAGAACATATGATTTGCTACTTTTCTGATACTCTGCCCTCGTTTCCATTCCTCCAGGATCACTGCCGTGATTGGGTTCGGTCAGACCGAAACTACCGATTAACTCTCCTTTTGCTAAATTCAGAAATGGGACACTCTGGTAAACGCAGGTGTTTGCGTTCTCCAAACGTGAGACTGGGTTAAGATACAAGTACTATCCAACTAATATATGTTATTAGAATTGAATGACGACGCTACGAGTAGGAATCACGAGTAGTAATTAATATTATACAATTACTTAATGGTTTCCGTGTTTGGATGGCCTGATCCAAACACGGGCTTCAACCAATCAGAACACGCGTTATATACATGTTATTTTATAAAGAAAGTTCGTGAGGCGTGTATGATTTACTACGAATATTTCATGTACCTAATTTTGGCAAATATTTGTCTTTCTGATCTTCGGATCCAAAAATAAAAATTGGATGCATAACTAACGAGGACTGAACACTCATTGCTGAACGGTAACCGCTATCAACCCTAAAAATGGATTTCAAAAACACATAATACAGTATATAGTTGACACTGATAATTATCTAGGTGTATGATTGGGACTGATCGACTGACCTCTCCAGTTCTCTAGCAATTAATCCGTATGCCACAGTAGAAACGGCAGCACATCCATACCCTAAAAGTGTAGTAGGAATGCTGTGATTGGCATTCATTCAAATGACTAGCAAATGTCATAAGTGAGTAATAGTACCAAAGTACGAATTACCTATTTAGTGGATTATTCTAATGATTTAGTGGATTATTTTAAAGAAAGATTACTACCTTCAATAGTTGCCCCAAGAATTCCTAATTCACCTAATTCTTGCATGATTCGTTTATCGAAATCTGCAAATGAAAATATCGCTTAGAAAGTTACAGTGTTTTATGGGATGAATAAATCTAAACAACCTCTAAATACCTTCATTCCTATTTGCCATTAGGATTCTTGGCATCAACTTTTCCTGGCAATACGCACGTACTTGATCTCTAGGGACAAGATTATGAGTATTCATATTGATTTATGCAAATCCTGAATAACCATACTCTAAACTATTTTTTACGGTGATTAAGCATGTTTTCAGAGTCTAGAGTTGCCGAAATATAATACCTGACAATTTTTTCCTCATCTTTCAAACAGCTGTCAATATCTATTGGATCTTGGTAATCAAACTTTGCTACAAATAAATAATGTTATTTGAACATGTTCTCTAATGACTTTCTAAGTTTAATACTGGCACTACCTTATACATATATTGAAAGATTTCATTAGTGTATTATGGGGATTATACAATATGATAACTGACACCCAGAAGACAAGTTTTATAACATTTACAGTGGATAACAGACATTGGCCAACACTCGATCAGAACCACATAGATATAGAGGCACCTTACACCACTTACCAAAATTTGACTTTGTACTATCTGTTTTAAAAGTTGAAGAAAATGTACTGTACAACCTATATCATATGAGGATTGCTCGATCATGTTGATGCACATTCTGGTTCTTGCCTTTTATACGCCAGACCATGTTTTCATATATGCTAGGGTTAGTAATAAATGGAATGCTACTGTAGATTTTATAATCAATTAAATCCCAAAGTTTCATAATCCCTAGCAATGTTACAAAGTATTGGGTATTCTTCTAAAAGTAAACTGACATCCCATCTTGTTGTAATGAGATGCTACAGTCTCCAACACCAGTACAGTTAATTGTCTCTCAGGTAATGTTTCATCCACAGACAAATCGCCAATTATTTACAAATATGCCATAATAAATGTGCATCAAGTCAGATATAACCATTTTCCGATTTACTAACTGTCCCTCCTAGGAGGCAAACAATTGCATCAGTCAGTTCTGGTCTGTGGGAATGTGTTGATCACATACATTATATTATAAACATTCTAATCAATGGAAAGGATACAAGTATTAATACAAGTAGAAACTGCTGTCTTTTGATAAGCAAACTTATGACATAGAGATAGTTTAGAACTATAACGCACAAATGTACGTTGAAGTAGCTTTCCCAGTTCCATATTCGAGTTCGTTTACACTGAACGTTACATCATCATCATCATCATCATCGTCCAAAATCTAAATATTAAATATTCATGCCCTAAGGTCATCCATACAACCCCCCTTGATATACTCAGTAACCACTCTATATGACAATATGCCTATATCGGAAATTTTTACCCAGGAATAAAATGCCGTGGATATACATTGTTCCCACATGCTTTTTACAGACGCGCCAAACAAAACAGTTGACAAATTATAGAAAGGTTGTTTTTAATCGTTTAAAAATAATGTGATACCAATGTTCTTCCGGAATATTTTTGATTTTTGTTCCTGGGACGTGACTTTTACCCTCACCAAAGTCCGTTTTTAAAAAGAAGTTGTGAGGTGAAATCCAAGATGGCCGTCGCTGGACAACAAGTTCCACCGTTTCCTGCTCCACAAGGTAGTTATTCGGTGAATAATGGTACATATTACATGGCAGATTAACACGAGATGTACTATGTGAACAGTTAATTTGTCTAAAAGCACTTCCGATGTGGTTCTATTAAGATCTACTACTAAATGACATTCCAACTTTACAAATACCTTGTGCCAAATGATGACTGACAGATTATACCAGATCATACACGTGTTGAATATGCTCTAGAATATAGAGCTAGAAGAGCAATTGTGACATTCAAGCAATTCGGGTTTCATATGTTGACAAAAAACTTTCTTGCAGTGGCACATACGCCAATATACCAATTGAAGTAACTGTTTATACCTGGAAGTACCAGTAGGGTTATCTCATGTTAAGGCAGCTATTCTGTCATTGCTCTGTCTAAAGCTGCTAGTAGATATTTTAACTATGATTTTTCTAATTATAATTTTTCCATTTAGACCAAGAACTCAAAAACATAATTGATAAATTAGCAAATTTTGTTGCAAGAAATGGAACTAAATTTGAAGAGATGACAAAAAACAAGCAGAAAGACAACCCAAAGTTTTCTTTTCTCTTTGGGGGTGATTATTTTAATTACTATAAATGGAGAGTATCAGTAGAGATTGGTAAGTAATAAAAACTGAAATTTCTGGTACAATGTCTGTAACATTTAGAAAGCTTGAAAATAATTCTGAGCACTAACCAATTTGATTCCCTCCACTTTAGAAATTTAATCCATGCTAGTTCGGATATGAATTGGATATTGTTTGTTTTTAGCTCAAGGCAAGCTTATCCCTCAGCATTTACAACAACAAGGCCAATCCTTTCCAAATTCTCAGACATCACTGGTCCAACAGGCCATGGTTCAACAGTCTATTCAGTCTGCACCATGGCAGCAACCACAGCAGGTAAATTTTATCAATGCATATATTTCAGAAACCTGGTGGCTCAGTTCCCTGCATTATATAACCCATATCTTGTTGTAATATTAAAAGTTACAGTTAAAATAATCAGTACTTTTGCATCCATTTTAGGTCCAACAGCCTCATGTCCCAGCTCAACATCAGGAAAATCAGCAGCAATCCTATCAGTTATCAACAGATAGTATAAATATTCCTGAATTTGAAAGTTTGCTGGCGAAGATTATGCAATCTTGCACCAAAGAACACATTTCCGTATGTATTGTATGTCAAATTTCAGCAATTTACCTTATTTCAGAAATCCTTGCCATAGAAAGTTATAGCAAAATGTCATTGTATATTTTCCAATTGGCAAGCATACTAAGGGACTTGAAGATTTTTTTCTAACCAAATTGTTCCCACCATGTCCTGACCATTAGAATGGCAAAAACTGGATTTTCAAACATTGTAAAACAGATGAAAATTTCAAGCAAGTGGCTGATTATATGTTATTAAGGTAAGCAAGATGGTACTAGAAGCGAGTTTGATTTTGACAATGTACCATATGCCATCAGAACACTAACCATCAGAACCATCTTCCTGTTCTCAATTCTCTGTAGGGTGACAGGCGTTGGAATGGGATTTCTACACAAACTACATATAATATATTTAATAAATGACGTACTTCACAATGCTGTACGTAAAACGAGCAGTAATGTCAAGTTTCAACTGCAACAAGTCATAGTTCCTCTATATTGTCATACGTTTGTTGGGGAGACTCAGGAAAATCAACAAAGATGTGCAAAAGTCGTACGGATATGGGAAACAAATAGTTATTTTGACAGTGAAACTATCAAGGTAAAGCTTTGAGATCCATTCAATCTCTGGTGGATCTGTACTCTAAAAACAGTCACACAGAGTGAATTTTCTCTACAGATCTTTCTCATAATGACGTCAAACGCGAAAAGTCTGTTGTTACGGCGAAGCTTAAACGTCTTCGCAAAGCTAACGGCTAAGCAAACTTCGTACTGATAACATGCTTTGAGGTCATTATGAGAAAGGTCTACTACAAAACAATGATGGTTTTCCACTTGACTGAACGCTTTTGGACGGGATTCGGAGTGCCCTACCCAAACGATGGACTTTTGCCCGGTGTCCAACAAACGTTATTGTGAACTTTCAGCTGATTTTCCGAAAGTCTGTCTCTGCCTTTACTAAAATTCGCTTTCACGCATGAATATAGCTAGCAGAGTGATGATTTTATTTTAATTTTATTTTAACAGAAATTAAAAAATCCTGAGCAGACTAAGAGAGAATTGACATCATCGCCACCAACAGGTACAAATATAAATTGGAATACGGTCTGACCATACAATGGGCATTTGCCCTTAGATCTGATTTCGGTCTTTTCAAATTAAAAGAAGACATAATAAAAAGAATGCATTTAAGAGTCAGAGTTCTAAATCTAAATATATCCATAGGTGTGTTCATTTCACCTCATGAACTTCTCGCACTCCATAAAGCAGTATCTAAAAATTCGTTCTCAGACAGGCATTATTCATGCACCTTCCACAAGATGGCGGAAGTTTTGTACACGCTAATAATGACAACAGAACACTGATTATATAAGATAGTTTTGTTTAATTAGTTGTACATTTACAACACTGTGTAAATGCACCGTTTATGTAAGACATATTATTTTATTATCCAAGATCCTCGAACCACGCAAAAATCAGTTCAATCAACGGAAACAAAGAAGAGTGAAAATCAAGAGGTAGAGAACACTAAAACAGATGCCACCGTTACAGGTACGTTGGTTATTACGTACGGTTTAAGGTGGTTTTCCACGTTGTCCATGTTTTCCATGCGCGCACACTGTTCTGTTGCTGGCCGCAACATTTTTTCTAATAAATAAGGCGATTCGAAACTATACACATTATTTCGTTTCAAATCTTAGAAGTTTTGTGATTTGTGCATTCACAGGTACAGAACAAGAAGAAGTAGTAACATCTGTAACTACAGAAACAGAAAATTCTACAGATAAACAAGCGATTCCTACACTTCAACCACCACCACACACGGAGGTTTGTATTATATTTATCCGCTGTATGACCTGTCTCTAGTAACGTCAGTGTTCACAAATTATAGCTAGAGAAGATAGTCATTGTAAATAGCGTTTTAGTTTTTCTATTTTATTTCTCTATATTCATACTCGCCGTAATTTTTGGAACATATTCATGTCTCGACCAAACGCTGCGTTTTTTATTTAGAACCTACCCTTTCCTCAGCATCCACCACCTGACCCCATGTTCACACCTGACCCCAATTTTTCATTCCCACCTCCTAATTTCCATCAATTTCCACCCCCTGGATTTCCTCGGCCACCGTTCAATCAACCCCCACCTGGATTTAATGGTCACCCCATGCCACCATTTGATCCTAACTTTCCTCGACCACCCCACATGTTTCCTCCAATCCCTCCACAACAATTTGATTACAATCACGGATTCTCGGAGCAAGGATCAGCAGTTCACGAGTATCATCATGGACAAGGAGGTGGGCCTGGGCCAGGGGGTGCACAAGCACATGGGGCTGGGACTGTCATTGAAGAGCCTCCTCCACCGCAAGCTATGTATTATGAATTACCAGCTGGATTAATGGTACCACTAATCAACGTAAGTTTTAAACGATGGTTTTAGTACAATAGCTAGTTCAAATGAATGAAGAAAGATTGAATCCACGTCAGAGTTGTAGATATATGTGGTACTCGCTGTGTTTGTAAGTCAGATGCTAGATTTTCAAGTTCCACATCAAATTTTCAGTAGAACTCTTTCCAATCGTCGATAGGCGATGCCCACTGTAGCTCTAAATAAATAACGCGGTAGCTCCAGTTGTATGCGTCTATACTGCAAATTGTGCATGAGCTAATTGTTCTGAATTCGTCCGATGTAAAAGATACGTACTATACAGATTTCATATTATATTATTTTATATAGTCTCCTGACGTTGACTACGAGTCACTGAACCCAGAAGATGTAAAATTACCCCCTCCCCAGCCTCCCAGTGAGAGATTAATTGCCGCGGTTGAAGCATTCTACAGTCCTCCGAGCCACGAGAGACCACGAAATAGGTGAGGATACTGAATACTGATTACCTGCATGCACAACTTTCACTGCAGGCTTTCGTAGAAGTGAGTGTCGTGGACAAAATGAAGCAAAATGACGTCTCAAATAAGAACTTTGGAATACTTTACAAGTCACCTTCACTCGCCTTACAAATCGCATAATGACCACAATACATGACCACATTATGCAATGGTATATTGTTTGCATGCATATGTGTTATGTCAATAGCACATTAGCATTAGTTAGATATCAGCAGTCTCGTAAGCTGCGGTACGCTGTGGAACTGCCATGCATATGGTGCATGTTTGAAATAAACAGGGAGTCAGTTTCTTCATGAATCACAAGTTCATGCAATTCCTATCGTGTAGTCTACTTAGCGTCTCCTGATTTGACGTATACAAATCCAGTTTCTTCAACCTCAATTTGTTACGATGTATTTTGTAGCGATGGTTGGGAGGCCGGTGCTCTACACGAGTTTTACAAAACTAAATTAAAGTTCATTAAAGAAAGAGAAATTCGTGACAAAGTAGAGAAAGTTAAAGAAATGGCGAAGAAACAACTGCAACCAAAAGAAGAGAATAAGGAAGATGAAATAAGGTAAAATGCTTGGACTAGTTTTACTTATATTTAGTGGGCTCAGTACATAGCTACTGAATGAGAAATTTGCCTAATTTGCGCGTTATAAAAATTTATAAGGCGCAAATTGTATTGTGCGCGTTATGGCGTGTTTCTATAAATTGCCAATGCGCCTGGTAAACCAATCAGGTCGATACTGTATAGAGGTCGAAGCTCGAGCAGGTGAGAGGGCACGAACCTTTCTGGTCTAAGATGATCCTCGAGCCATATACAAGTATGCGGTTAGTGTCAGGTTTAGATTAGTACGTAACTGACCAATATGCCAACGCGCTTGCATGCGCCCTTCAATTTGACTATAAGAGGTATCTTCTCCCAGATTATTAGATTTTCTATGTGTGCTAATTTTGTCACCAATCATAAAAAGGGAATATTTTATATATTATGTAATTAAATTTATATAATATAATTTATTTTATTATTTTATTTAATTTAATTATTTCTATGAATGCTCAGATGCTGCGGTGCATGAAGTCTGCAATATAAGACCTAAATACATTCCTGAAAATTCCACAGATCAGTTCAATCTCAGATTTACAGTAACAATTTCGTATTTATTATTATTATACACAAATAACCTTTATTATTATTATACACAAATAACCTTCTATATACAATCGTTCTTTAATGAATAGAACTAGTTTCTCAAGGCTTCGCGCCGACGGTATACAAACACACAAAGCGACTCTATACCTATTTGGAGATCAGAAACAGAGGAAAATATTACCTAACGGTCGTAGCCTTTGACGCCTGACATGCCATGCAACTAAAGCCCTTAGTATTAAAGTGCATAGTTACTCAGAAAGTTCGTTCGCATGTTATGAATTCTTTACAATTCGTAAATTCGTTAGTCCTGGCTTCGTTTTTGATAAATATAGCGGTCGCTATGTCTTAAGAGATCATTAAATTGCGCGCTTATTGCACAAACAGAATTCGTCAAGTAAGCGAGTTGAAAGAAAGTATATATAGCGGTCGCTATGTCTAAACTGATCATTACATTGCGGAAACAGAATTCGTCAAGTAAGCGAGTTGAAAGAAAGTAAATTTATGCACCACCGAACCATAACTGTGTTGTTGATCCTTCAGTTGAAGAACAACGGTGTTCGGTATTTCTACACAAGTAATATCCAAAGTTGTCTTCTCCACAAATTCTACTTCCCGGAAATTCGTTGAAACAGACACGGTATGAATCATATGAATCTAAATGTATCCCCCAGCTTTGCTTGTGTCTAACAACTACTTTACAATTGCTGCATGACTTTCCACGAATATTAACAGATTCAACAATTTTACATCCATCATGTACACTGTTGGAGGGTAGAAGAGGAACATCTGCATGAGTTGCTATGACGTAATCAGTAGCGACAAAACCATCCGTGTTAAAATTACACGTTAAACGCCACTTCGGATTTGAGTCCTGATGGATGCTCTCCATTCTTGGCTTGGATAATCTGTAGTATTTCCACGATGGAATATCTTCATTCTTAGCATCGTCTTCATATATTGGTTTACGAAACCCACCTCTTTGAGAATATTCATAAGACTGAACTACTGTCCAGGCCATATTAGAATCGAAAGAGCATCGCACCGTGTATTCCTTATCGTCGTTGTCAAATATCTTGTACAGCCCAGCCCCCTGGTTTACGTTGAGGAAGGCATGGCACGACTTTGGTTTCTGCGGGGGCGTGGGCGCCAGTTTCGTATTGCAGCGATGACCTGTGTAACCGTCAATACACTTGCAGGTGAAACGCGTGTTGTTTGTGAACGACGGTATGCAAACTCCGTTATTAAGACATGGTTCAGACGTCAGACAACAGTTGATGCCAGTTATGCAACTGCTACACTGATCTTTGTCAGCCTAGGGTATATAAAATAAACGTACTATAGCGATACTATAGTGAACGGTAGAATATGGTTTTGAGTAATAATGTGTCTGGAGAAGAAAGAAAGGCATCATCAAGAGAGAGGAAAAGAACATGATGAAAGCCGAAGAGAAAGAACACTGAGTGTGAAGGGGGGAAATGAACTAAGAACCAAGAGGGAAATGGAAAACACGATTTAGAAAAAAATCCAGAACATTACCAAAAGCGGGAAACCTCGCTGTTATGGCTTACAAACAACTAAAGAACGATGGAAGCATTTGCACGCTTCTAATTAGCAAATCATGCATGTTCAAACTTGAATAGCTCTTATTGGTTGAGCTAATTAGAATCTGCAAATGTTCTTTAAAATTATTGAGGTATTTCATCTGAAAACACAAAACATCATTCGGTGCCTTTAGTTGCATCGATTGTAAAACACATCATTATATAATGCAATCATGCAGAAGGCTCGCGTTCATATTATATGATGTTAAACCAATCTGATAAGTGAAATGAAAAAAAAGAAGAATGAGAAAGTCGGGATTACATTCAAGTTCAGCATTTTCCGCTTTTCAATCTCGTATCTGTCGCAACCAAGACTCCTGCCTACAATCGACTGTTGGAATCTTCCTGTAGTTAAACAAAGCTGACACGTGTTTCCACATATTTGAAACGATTTGCACAAACAATCTGATAAACAGTGTTGTAGGCATTCTTGCATTGAGGAAGTTGTGATGTTGTGGTAACATACTTGAAGTAGTCTCTCATCGTGATAACTGTGAATTTCCAGTTGACCAGTATGTTTGAGTGTTGTTGTACAGAAGTACTGTTGAATGAATATTGCTTCCACCAACAAGATTAATCTAATTAAGAATTTGCCATAGTGGTTAGTCTTTGGTAGTTGTCGATAATATGATTACCTTTGCATGGTATTTGCTCGACCTAACTATCCTTTAACCATATATTAGAGAGCAATATAATGTATTAATCATTTTATGCTGTCAACTGATGCTTAATTGTCAAAGTTAGCTCATCTTTTAGTGCAGGGAAATATATTTGCATTGCTTCAATACAATACATGCATGAATCAACGCATTCATTGCGCATGCATGCTTGATTCTATTAGACCAGCTGGCAGTATTTTACAAAATTGGGATTATCGACTGAATAATTATACTCGACGCTTTGCGTAAAAATTAAAAGTATAAATACCCTTATAAATGCCGCGATATTCACTATAAATTTTATGCAGTCGCTGAATCACTGTTTGATAAGATTTTTTTGCAGAATTTCCGGCCCACATGCAATGCTCCCTACCCTGGTTCACTTGTTACCTTTAAAATGTTTAGAATATTTGATAATGTCTGTGTTTCTATGGTAATATGACAAATTGTAGACATATATAGCTAAAACATTTTGTATCTATAAGAAAGCCATTTGAAACGTTTGAAAGAGTTCGTTATATTTTCGCATTTCCTGCTTCGCATTGCAAAATGGTAATTTTTTTGCAGTCACACATTCCAGGCTAATTTTCTTTTTCGTGAATTCATTTTTCATAGATTTGTTGCAATATTTAGTTCTTCAACCTTGGTTTTGAAATTGCTTGTTTTGCAAAAAGCTTGAATTCATAAGTGCAATCCTTAATCCTAACCAACAATATTTTGATTAGAAATTATTTGCCATGAGACCATATTTCTCGACGTATATATATATATATTAATTTTGGTTCCCGTCTCAGGAGTTTTTATATAATATATTGATCGTATACAGATTTGCATGATTTATATTATCAGCGTACGTCCAGAATAATATAAACGTTGCATGTAAATAGTTTATATATAATATAGGTATGTAAAAACCTACCTTTTTACCGCCATATTTGATAAGCTTTCCTTTAAAAACACTCGCATCGAGCCATAAAGATGTGCGAGATTACGCAAAGTAGTTTGCAATATATATAACAGCACGAATGAATTGATATATTTGCATTGCTTCAATACAATACATGCAATCAACGCATTTATTGCGCATGCATGCTTAATTCTATTAGACCATGCAGCTGGCAGTATTTTACAAAATTGGTATTACAATTTGTCATAAGGTGTGCAAGATTACGCAAGGTGGTTTGCAATATGCATATAGCAGAACGCATGAATTGATTTTTTTTTCGAATCTTTTCTTCGTAAGCACTTTATTTAAAAGTGCCTCTAATTTTATATAGGGAGCAGTTGTAGCTCAAACTGAGTTTCATTTCACAGCCCAACTTCACAAAAGATTTGCCGTAATAGTTTATTCGCTCGATATGCCGGCATCTTTCATCGTAACGAATTATTTGGGAGCGCGGTGCGAATGCCATGGACTCACGCTGCGATTATATTAGTTAAATTATGTAGTTAGCAAAACCATGCAATGGCGCTATATGATAAAGATCCCATGCATGGAATTAATCATTCTAATGATTTATATGTGAATCACACTCGACCAACTTTGGGACCGTGTCCTATGTTTAATTTTTAATCAGAGAGTGAGCGTTCCAGTCTTATTTGAGTTCACTGATATTAACAGATTCAACAATTTTACATCAAAAATGGTCACTGTTGGGGGGTAGGAGAGGAACATCTGCACGAGTTGCTATGATCAATGAAGAATTTTAACCTGTATATGCAGGGTAAAGCCTAATGTAAAGTAAACGAACTATATAGATCCTCTTAATAGAATCTTAAAATTAAAGGGCGTGCAAAGTAGAACCCTTTAGCGAAAAATAAAAAGTTACTTCTTAATTTATACTGAAAAAGTATAAGTAATGAAAAAAATTTATACTGAATATTGTATTTCAGTATAAAAAGTAAAAGTATATATTAGTTATAGACCTTGAACGAGGTCTATAACTCGTTCGGGGTAATTTTGGTCGTGGTAATTTTGGTCATAGGTAATTTTGATCGGGGTAATTTTGGTCGGGGTGATTTTGGTCGGGGTAATTTTGGGTGAATACATCGAGTTCAAGTATATGACTGTATTTTCGAATATTTTTTTAGGTCCCGTTCAAGATCAAAATCACCGGAAAGAACGAAAGTTTCGTCGCCTAAAAGACGTTCTCGTTCGAGATCTCCTGTACGTCGTAGATCAAGGTATCATTTTAATTTCATTTGTTAACTCTTGCATGTCACAACGCTGTTATTTCTAATATTATAGGAACAACGCTGTCTTATTATTCTAATGTTCTTTCTAGTATCAGGGAGTAATTGCTAACGGTCTCGCATTCTTTAGTACCATCAACTCGACCAACCTGCTTTGCGCGCTTAGTATTAAAAGCTTGTTTATCTGGTTAGTCTATTAGCCAGCAATGAATCGGCTATTCGTATATCCGCGAGTCGTCTCGTTGAGACCTTTCATTGATTCTTAGGTCAAGAACGAGGTCTAGATCACGAAGTCGATCACCACGACGAAGAAGGTATTTACAGCATTTTTTTAACCATGATTCATGCATATTCACGCCCTTTCATGCCAAAATATTAGATTCTTCTGACAATTTATATATATTTATATTTCCCGCGTTTATATATAAATCTAGTCAATCATATCAGCGAGCTTGGAGTACCCGGATGTTTAATTTTTTATACTCAACTCTACATAACCAGGGTTCAATCTAACCAATCATAACACTCGTGTCTGGAGTATAGCAATTGGCGGCGAAGGCCATAAAAAATTAATTCCTTAACTAAAATAACTAAAATGCGCATTTTGCATGTGTTATTTTTACCAAAGAACAATTGAATCATGCACAGAAATTCTTTTTAAAACTTTGATTAGGGAGATTATGTTGCATTAGTCCATAGAAAGCTGTAAGACTCAAAGTTAAGACAAACCAGCGATTCTTCATCAATAAATTCAAATCGCAGTGAGCGGAGAAACTGATGAAAAAAATAACATTTGTAGGTCAAGGTCAGTGTCAAGATCAAGATCAAAGTCAGGCTCTAGGTCAAGGTCGCGATCCAGAAGCAGGTCACCCAGGCGTAGAAGGTATCTTATCATTAACGACATCATTAAAAAGGGAGAGTGTGGCAGAGTCTTCGAAAAAACGTCGAATCAAAACTAAAATTAGTAAAAAATCCCATGATTGCAACAATGCAAGGAGCGCGTTGTTGACTAATTCAGCCCTTAAGACTTTCCAAAGTGAAACAAGGCTTTTTCGAGGAAACAAGGAGAAAGTGGACTTAACGTCACCCAGATTGCAAGACTGATCGAAAGAATTTACTCAGTTCAAATTCATTCAGATATCTCGCTCAACATCCTACACCCTGCCCCCCCCTTTTTCCCACGTCCACCACTGATTAAAGTTCATCATTTCTGAAGGATAACCTTGACTGACTTTATGCAGTGTATTTTATGTCTTTTTTTCCTAGATCACGCTCTCCCAAACGAAGAAGTCCAACGCCCCCGAGTTTTGCGTATGTTCATTATCATTTTACTTTATATATTTACATAATTTTCACTTTATTTTATATAAACTGCTGCACAGTAATGTGTTTGAAGTGCAGTAGTTCAGTTACAACTGTCATAATGCTCAACAAACTTAATAGCTCAACAAACCCGTCATGATAATTTTGAACAAGACTCTGTGTGCTGCATGCAAATCATAAAAAGTAGCGGCAGGTTTGCCAAATTTGTTCTCGTTGCCATTTCGCGCTGGCAAGAAAAAAGAGAAAGTGCAACTGAGTTATAATAGAGTTGATTAGTTGAAATATATCATGGTTTAGGGTAAAAACTCGCCTTAAAATGGAGAACAACCTATATAGGAATTTCTGCGTGACGGAGTTTTATATTTTAATCATTTTTCATCCTGTGAAATTTTAGTGGAACATATCTTCAACATTCTCTTAATACAAGAATTGATGAAAGTAATGTTGGGCATCAGTTGTTAAAGAAAATGGGTAGGTTGAGAGGAGACTAAGGGTGCTGTTCTCACTTACATTACGGATTTTAAATTGTAACAAGATTAAAAAGAAAATTTCTGATTACAAAGTGAAGCGTTATAGATCTTATTTGTGACAATAGAAATCACCTGACCATAGTCCTTCAATTCGGCTCCAAAAATGGCGGCCGAATTATCGTCACTGAGGTTATCGTTCCAGTTTAAAATAAAGTTCCCTGGAATTCACTGCCACTGTCCATATCATATGTACCATCACAACAAACGTCTTATTACTTCACGGTATAGGCTGGGAAGGAGCCGGCTTAGGGAAATCGGAACAGGGAATTCAAGATCCAATTAAACAAGGAGATATCAGAGATAAGCAAGATATGTTTAAGGTATGATTATTGTTTATACAGTGCATTTCTCACCTGCAAATAGAAACCACAAAAATTGATAATAAACTGATATATTGTTGCCGCATGTCTTGGCACATATAGAAATTGCGGCCCTTTAAATAGAGTTAACAAAGATGAATTAACAGACAGAAGAAATCTGTCGACCTTCCGATTATGATAATACTGTTTGGCTAAAACAGTTCCAATGTAAAGGTGTTGAAATTTACTATAGGTAGTTGATGCAATGAAATAGGATGTTTTAGGTGATACAACTAAATATCTTGATTAGTAAGTTGATAATCTTCGGTCCTAAGGCCGAGCCTTTTATGCTTTGTTGGTACTGGGTCCAAAAGTTGTTGACATTGCTCCTCGATTGTCCTTACAAGTTATGCTAAGAGACAACGCATTGATTGACCTCTCATCATCTCTGCTGACTCTATCATTACCACGTCGTAAGCACAACGATGTTATTGCATTTCTGAGATCAGTGCAAAAGTACAGGTTTAAGACAGCGTTCAGGATCACGCTTATATAAAATATTGTTAAACTAACAGAATTTAAAAGTGGTGTTGGGTATGCGGGCGTGACCTGCAGGATGGTGACAATCATTAGAGGCATCCAACACATGAGACAAGTGATATTAATCCAAATCACCATATAAGCAACTTTATTCTCAAATGCTGTATAGAAGAAGAGAGATACAATTGGTTATATTTTGCCTTGATCGTAATCGCTGTTCAAACTACAAGGGCGATAGTAAAGCCAGTTAGTTACCTTACCTTTTCTAGCCGCATTTCTTCTCTTGTCAATTGATTGACCTGACGCATGTATTCTAGAGTTATGTCTTCGTAAATGAATAGCTGTTATATAGTTGCATACAACTATTACTCCAAGCGGTGTTAGACCATAAATTATGATTATTACAGTCAGCTTTGCTATGCGATCATCAAATACAATTCCGCATGACCCAACACGGTAGTTATAGTCTACTGTAAAAGCAAGATATCTGATGACTAGCACAAAAATCAGTCCATGTATCCAGGTAAACACAACTAAAGCAAGGACTCGTTTTCTTGTTACAAATGTTGAGTATCTGAGCATGGACTTCACGGCCAAAAGTCTGTCAATTGACATAAAGGCCAGAGTTTCTGTTATGACGATGTAAACTGGATACAAACTGATGCCAAAGAAGAAACATAACTCTTCATCGTCCGCTACCAGGTCCGGCATATTGGTTTGCAATACTTGAGATGGAATCACTACGACGGATGCTAATAACTCCGCAAAAGTAAAACTCATAATTAAAATACTGGAAGGTTTTTGTCGGATTGTTCTCGAAGCACGGTAACCAAGAAGAACAAGAATATTTGCAGGAACTGCAATGATAATGATGAGAATTAAAACAGTAGATAAACTGATGATTTGACCTTTTGGAAAAATGTGAATCGCACTTCCATTCGTCATGTTGTTGAAGCGATATTACAATTTACGAACATAAGCAAAATAGGACCCAACCCTAAACGTCTTAAGGCTATTTTTAATATGACAGAATTCATCGTAATTTCACATGTCTTAATTTGTTGCAATTTGTTGTAATTCGGTTTTTCATATCCGACATTTTGCACCGCAACGAATTACTTTGGATTATGAAACGTGCATTACGGCAATGATAACGAATTATGACGTATGAAAACCAGCCTTGAATAGCAATTTTTAAGGTTTTACATTAAAATTCACTTTTAATTGTTCTAGAACAAGCAATAATCCAGTTAGAATATTTCTGATTAAGAAATGTTTGCTTTTATCAAGATATTTCAATATATAATAGACATTAAGTAGGTGCATGCAAAGTGACGGCGCTACATTATCGCTAATATTCACTTATGTTGGCCCCATGAATATCGGCAAATATTTATCTTAAACCTAGTTTACCACTGCCTCCGTGTAGGAAAAGTTCCACGTCTAAAATTTACCTAAAATATTGAATGTGCTGCAACAATTTACTACATAAAAGTAGCCTTGTCTGATGTTATGCAGCATCTAATTCAAAGTTGTCATTTCAAAACATACGGTAGACTCTGAGTGCGCGAGTGATGTGCAGTTTAGTTTAATGTTTGGCTTTTTTAAGAATACCTAAGACAAAGAGTTGACTAACAAGTTACAGCAGGAACTGTTTCTCTGAAGGCAACTTTTTGACGTGAAAAAAAACATGTTACAGTACAAACCATTATCTCATCCGCGCTCAAAGTGCAAGATTAGCAGTTTTAAGAGCTTTTACTGAATTTGGCAATTTGTTGTATCATTATTATCATTCCTGCCCCTATCCTGTCTACTCTCAACATATTTACACAATATGTTAAATTTTCAGGGTGTTGGAATTGATATCAACGATCCCTTTGCTCAGTATCGAAAAAACATGAGTTACACCTTCAATCGTCGTGAGTAATATTTCATGTTGCGTGCAATTATAACTATATTGGTATATTTTGCAGTTTGTTCACTTGGTGGAGGTTTATATATATATTTTTATATCATAACATAATCTTAATATCATAACATAATTTTTATATCATAACAGCACGCAGAGATCGAGATCGGGATAGGAGATAAAATGAATTCTAGCGACGAGCAAAGAGACCGAAGTGAAACCTCTGAGCAGTATCATCGCACTGCGTCTGTAACTGTAAAATAAGTATTATCGGTCGGTACCTTTGAAAAAAATGTTTTGTGATTGGTTAGTTTGAGTAAAAGAGGTGGTAGACCATGTAAAAATGGTCTTTCTAGACACAGTTATCAGCACTACTCTCCTCTGTTTCTGAAACCAATCACAAAGCATCATGATATCAGGTGCTTGTTAGTCATGTATTATTACAATAGTCCAATCAAGTGGACGAGTTACTGGGGCGGGAGGGCCCTAGAAAGCTGAACGAAGTGCCGCAACGATTATTTTATTGGTAAATATTCCTTATCCACCCCATATAAAGACGCCAGTGTTGACAATTGACAAGTAATTGTGTTCTGCTCCAAGTCTCTCTCTTCCTTTGTGGTAATGTATTCTACATGTACAATATAGCTGATGTACATGTACAGTAGGTTTCCGCAAAGAATGAGAGACTTAGAGCAAGTCTATGTTTTGCCTGCACTGGAAGAAAGCTGCAAACAATGCTCCACTCTGTAACGTTGTTGTCATGATGTAATTATAATGATTGTGTTAGTGTGTGTTTCATACAGAAATAAGACTGTTCAAGTATTTCAGTGCATATGTTGAGATCATTAATGACTGTATTGACTGACCCATACAGCGTCACAAGCCCCGAAAGAGCGCATTGGTAGAAAACTGTTAACCGTCCTAAGAATGATCGATTATTTCATAACATTCTTTCTTGAAAATTAACATATTTAGCAGCTTGCCAAGTTTTTTTAAGATAATGCCCAGGCTTCTTACGGGTTGGAATTCAATATGGCGGCCAATTTGAAAAGCCTGTCTTTAGCCGCTAGTGTAGGTGATTCAAAAAATAATTTAAATTTGTTATCAAGTTCTTCCACCAATGTAGTATCTAACAAAACAATATCCCCCATCGTGGAAAACCATTATGATTTACGTTGGCCGACTACTCAGGAGCGTGATTTTACTCAAATAACTCACGAGGAGTCCAGCAGCCCAACATGCTCAACATCGAATTCCTTTTCCAATGAAGACAGTCATCATGATGTAGAAAATGCTACAGAACAAGGAGTGCAACTGAAATTATGCGCACAGGCATGTTTTTTTTTAATTGAACAGCTGTGTAAAGTGTTTTGGTTGTATAAACGTTGAAAATATTCCTAAACAACCCCCCATGCGGCCAGGCCCCATAATTTATAATTTTTTATTTCTTGTGCTTCAACAGTCATTCTTTACCAAATCCAAATGCTTGCTGTACTAATCTGTTTGTGCGATCACTGCAATATGTATTAATATTTAATAAAAAGAACTTCTCTCTGGAACTTGGGTTTATAGCATGTAGAATTATTAAGTATCCCTTGATTAATCGTTGAAAATCATTCAATAATGATTTTGAACGATCTGCCTAGGGATTCCTGAAATACTGGAAGAGAAAAGCTTACGAATGCTTTCTAAATTAATTTTCCAATTTAATAGATAGTTGAGGAAATTCAGCAAAAAAAGAAAACAAATTGTCCGAGGCCAAAGGAGATGGAAACATCTTTCAACTGTCAATATAAGAAATCTGGTAGTTTCTATGGAGAATCATCAAAAAAGAAGCTGAGACCATTGCCTTTGCTTGAGTCAGAGGAATACAATTCTCAAGAATCAGACATGATAAGTAAGGTGCATCTGTTTTTTTTATTATTATTCAAGTTGGGCCTAATTAATATAGTTATACATCCTACTTGTAAATGTATATATGATAGTCACATAAGTGATGATGATCCAAGCAAAGTATTCAGTTTTTTTGTTTATCCAAAAAAAATATAAAAGTGCAATTTTTCTTGATAGATTACTGGAATGTGTTCTCAGATGAAATTATCCTTGGGATATTTTCTTTCTTTACCAAGAAGAATATCTGTGTTTGTGCAAAAGTCTGTAAGAGATGGCGGAGACTAGCGTAAGTGGATGAGAATGGTCACCTGTCACTGCATTTACTTCATCCTTCCAAGTTTAAATTGGAGTCCTTACCTATCATAAAATTTGATGTTAGGTATGATGAAAGTATGTGGCAATCATTGGATATAACTGGGTTGACAATAAAAGAAGAAATTCTTCAAAATCTGTTCATACGGGGTGTCGTTGTTATGAGATTAGCATGGCTTGATGTAGGTCAATTATTACATAACTATCCTGAATCATTAAAATCCCTCCTGTTTTAACAATCAACATAAAATCTAGTTGATTAAACCTATTGTTGGGACAAGAAATTTAGTAGCACATATAAGGAAACTAAAGGTAAAAAAACTGATTTGATTATTCCAGAGATTTATGAGGTCATATTTGATAGTAAACACCTCTTTTCCCCTTAATCGACCCTTGATATTATATTCTTTCCCTTACAAACAAGCCCAGAATGCCCTATGATTATAATGACTTACAAATGTTATTGTTTTATTGAATCAATATAGGTCCTTTCTTTAGAGAAAACTAAATGCTACACTGAAAGGTTAGTGTTCAACATATATTTTAGTGTATTAGTTAATATTAAGAGCAAATGTACTATAAGTATATACCTGTACTATAATTAAGCCATACTATATCCATCATGCGATATGGAACCATGCTATTTAAGCCATATAATTTGTACTATATGCCTCATGTTATAATATGTCTGCATGCTATTGGTCTTCCCCTAGCAATGAAGAGTCCCCCTATGATGTGCAATATCTGGATGCTTCTTCGTGTACAATTAAAGAAAACATTCTGTCACAGTGGCTGTCTGTAAGCAAATATTCACCTTGCTATACTAGGGCATATATGTAGGTTTAACACTTTATTCCTTATCATGTATAAAGCTTATATTTCTACTGTATTGATGTTCAGAAATGTAGAAATCTGAAAAAACTCAGCTTGGAATCCTGTGCAGTTTCAAATGGTATTTTAAGGTGAATGTAAAGAATTTTCAACAAACTGATTTCACTTTAAAATGCAGTATTAAGAAAACTCTGAAACCATATTCTTATAGTTTTATCTTTCTCAATATACAGAGCTATTGGTCGTTGTAGTCAGTTATCAGTCCTCAACTTGTGTATGTGCAGTCAACTAACTAAAAGAGGTCTCAAATCTATAGCACTTGGGTGTCAAAGGTATATCAGATTCAAAATCATCAACATAGTCTGTTACGCGTATTAGATAATCTGCATCAGTAGTTAAGTAATCTAACGCTGTCCCTGCACAGACCATTCTTCCTACCCTTAGAAGTATAAGCATGTTCTGTCACTGTCGTGGCAGCTTATTTTTTAATAAAACGTAACCGCCTACTGTTTTACTTTACTTTTTAGACTAACTGAACTTAATCTTGGTTGGACAAACATGACTCCAGAGTCGATTTCAACGGTAAGATTTGTTCTTTCTGTGCATGCATGCATGATTTGTGTTTTGAAAGCTGTGCATCTCTCCAGGTATGTTTTCCTCGTAGATGCATACGTGAATACGCCCACAGACAAGTTTATTCCTTCATATAAATTATTAGGTTGCGAAAAATTTCCCCATGTTGGTGAAATTAAATTTAAGTGGTTGTCGCGAAACATTACGTGATGAAGGTGAGAAAACTTTTTATGCATGGCATCACAACAGTTGATGAAGTGTAGAGATTCCTAAGTTGAAAGAGTTGGAAGAGTGAAGTTCACTAGCTTTCGCCCACTGGGGCCGGTCGTATGAAGGTCGTATAGCGCTATCCACTGGATTGTGAGTTCAATCGCCCAAATATTTTTTTTGCTAGTCAATTTGAATTCGAACCTTCTTAATCTTGAAGTCATGTTTCTCTTTGTTCATTATTGGGTCAACTATCTACAATTTTATTACTTTTCAAGAATTTTTGCACTTACCATACACGTTACCTCGTAAGTCACCACGTAACATGACTTATTCTGCGTATTATTTGTTCTTGCAGCTGTGTCAGATCTTCTCACTACGTGCCATAACCTTATATGTCTAGATCTAAGGTACAGAATTGAAATTTAATGTATAATTTGTGTAATATTATTGACAAACGTTAGTTTTCATGAAAGAGTGCAATTTCATTTGTAGTTTCGAACCATTTCGATGAAAATTTGACGAAAATTACTTAAAATTCCTGGAATTTTGAAATTTTTCATGATTTTATCTGTTTAATTGTATTTTTTTCATGTAACGAATGTCATAATCTCACTTCGTTGTGTTGTTAAACGCCTTATATTCTCTTGTTTTTAAGTGATTGCATTGACATTAGCGAACGGTCTGTTAAATCTATTGTGAAACATGGCAAAATAAAACATTTGGCGCTGAGTCGATGCTACGGAATCACTCCAAAAAGTTTAGAGTAAGGGGCTCTTGTATTTGCAATTTTCCTCTTCAATTTTCTTTTAAGGGCCTGTTCACCCGGCGAGTCATCCCGGCTAGGCGAGGTAAAAAGCACATCACATCAATGACTTAACCTGATTAGTCTTTCATTATATGCAGTTTTCACCTCGCCTAGCCGGGATAACTGGCTCCATGTAAACAGGCCCTAATTTCCTTACGATACCAACGGATGCAACTCGACATTTACCAGAGAGCGAAAGCTATAGTGTCGTTGTTAGGATGTGATTTCCTTCAAGAAGGCGATAAAGATTACATTTCTTTTCATATCTTTATTTAAACGAAATTTAAAACATGGTTCACGAGATTGGTCTAAAGAAATACAAATGATCGATTTGTAGACTAAAATTATATTATTTCTGTTTTTAGATCTTTATCATTGTTGAAGTCATTGTGCTCATTACAGGTATACGGATTCCTAACTAACCCTGGGCTAAGTGTTCTAAAGAAAGTGTTGAAAGGGATAGATATAAACAAAAATATGTTTTCCACCATCGCTCGACCTACAGGGAGTGTGTATAAACAAACAATATGGGGCATCAAATGTTTAGGAATTGGTTAGCTTGAGATTAGTTTCAGAAATTTTTTATTAAGAATTTTTTATTAAGAAGTACACGGGTTTTGTTTGTAAATATATGGTTTTCAGATTATTAAACCAACCGACTTGTTGTCACGGAAACTAAATCGCTTCGCATATTGTGCATGTTTTGTGGTGTGAACTTTCGCGTATTAGCTCTGTTGCCGACAAAATCGATCTCGGATTGGTCTTGTGGGCCTAAGACTAAGGTCACGTACATCTCGAATCGATCTTATGGCTAGCTGAGTGTGCACATGCAGACTCTATATGCATAAAAAAATCATTGACTGTTGTGATTATGATCTTTGAACAGCCATATCATTTCCGCACAATAGAAATAAATAAACAAATTGAAAAATAATAGTTAATATGGATATCAATGATTCTCAATGTGACCTTTCTCAATAAAAACCTTTTTTACTCGACACATTCTTTTTTCTATCGCCAGAATGACAATCTTTTATCCCATACAACTATAATTGTATCATGAGAAATAGTCCTTATAATCAACTGTCTTGTGTATAGCCAAATTATCTTAAAAGAGGACAGGCTAACATTTCCCATGTCATATTGATATAATTCTAAAATATTTATGGCAATATTTAGAATAGCTCAAGCTATTCATAATTGTCAATTTGGCTTTCTACTTTTCAAGGTAGAAATGCCTTAAGTATAGCAAGGAATGAAATGCCTCCTTAGCATGCAATGGGTGGTGTACAATTCATAGAAATAATTATTCTATTAATTATGCTTAAATAATTTATAAAAAAATGATTAAATATCATCAAAGACATTCTTTGGAACAGAACGATCAGATCTGGCTGGTGAATATCGTGACGTTGAATATTGCTCATCAACATCAGATAATAATTCAATGCGATCATCATCGTGTCTGGAAGGTTTCAAATATCGAGCAATATTTCTCTCACCAACCAATCTCGTGGACGAACCGGCAACTATAGGTGTTGGATCAACGCTAATATCTTGAGAACTCTCTCCTCTGTTTTTATTCAATTTATCTTTCAATTCTTGTCCACGACTTGTCCAACGCTAAACGAAGAAAAATAGATTTCAAAATAATTCTGAGAATAGATTTGCAGACACACACTGCACTCATTCACTGACCTCTTTCAAAAAGACTAGATTATTAATGCTCAAGATATAGCATCCAAAATCCAATAATATTCAAACTTTCTGTGGTCATAATTATACCTCCCATTGTGTAGAGTCTACGTAGCATATCTACGTATAGCACATAGTTAACAAAACTTTTTTGTAAATAAAAAAATGTTCAATTACTTGTCTGGTATCGCCAGGGTTGATTGAAATATCTCTTTCACGTTTCTCTGTAAAATTAAGTAATTTTCAATACTCAAAATTAAATTAAATTACATTCTTTCATGAAAGCAAACATTTGGACAGATAAAATCATACTTTGAAAAATTTCAAAAACACGATAAGTTGTGTGCAATTGTCATTCTGATGAATGCAAAAGAGGGCCTATGCCACAATCCTCATTTGTATTGTTCAGGGCGGAATTTTAAATGTCACGTTTCTACGTGTGTTCATACTTTCACATACGCCAGGGTACGAACCGTACACGACAAATCGCATAGTGTAAATGGGTCTTACGAAAAAGCCTAGTTATTTTTCGCCGATTTTTCGAAGTTTTAAGCTATTGATAAATAATGAAAGCCCCATGAATAACAATCATCCTACCCCTTCTAACTAAATCTTTTCCTTCTGTGACGTAATCAACCGACACGTCATCTTCGACGATAAAAGCTTGAAATCCTAAGCAGTTCATACAACGTGAACCCAAACTGAAATATGTCGCTAGACAAACTAGGAGAATACTCATTGGATAATAGATATTAAAACCATTCGCTATGAATTCGAGAACATCCATATGACCCATTATCTATAGAAGAAAAGGAAAAACGTGCTTCATATTAATTAAGGTTTAATAATTTTGCCTCTCATAAAATGACACTTTCGTAGACTAGTTGTGAACGTATAAATGCAGTTACTGACCGAAGTAAAAGCAGTGTCTTCCAGCTTGAGTTTCCCGGCAATATGACTGTCAAGATGGATCACACTCAGAAAATTCAGACATAAAGCGTAGGTCAGTCGACTTAGTATCCTAAAACATGAACAGTTACATTCAATAAATTTATGGACGGTAATGATATTAGCCAATTAGGTCTAAATACTTAGCCTGCTAAGGTGTTAGGTAAAAATATACAATTCAATCATAATCAGATCACACACTTACAGTCCACTGAATAGCAAGCTGTTTGGATCAGTTTGATGATGTGGAGCAAAATAGTAATAATTGAAGATGCGAATTCTGAACACGGTATAGTAAGCACAGACACACATGTACGTAATGGTTACCCAGGACACCAACTAAAGTATGAAAAAGTATGATATTAAAACTGGCAACATTTCAACACTAGTCTCGCAAAATTACTTTACCTCAACATAGAAATAAAAGTATCCTTTTTGAGCTTCATATATGAAAATAGCAAATAGCGATAATCTCGGCTCCACAATAAAGAAAGTGACTTCTGACCAAATCAATGCCACGCTCAAGATGGCCAATATGACAGCAAAAATACGCAGACACCAAGGTTTTAGCCAAACTTTCCAATACCATTCTTAACAAAAAAGTTTTGTTCCGCTTCGTGTGATGATATATCATCATTCGGAGCAAGTGTATACTGTGCTACAGTTTTATACACCTACGAACTACGAAGGCAATCAAGCGTCAATCCAAGCTGTAAATCAACCAAGCAATAATGTTTTCTTTACATACTTACCAAAAGAAGGTGGTAAACGGATCAAAATATCATGTCGATCTAATGCAGACTTGTAAACTCTAAACAAAAAATTGTTTAATCAAATGCGATGCTGATTAACCTATTTCGTTTTCTAAGGACTTCCAGAACACTGCAAGAAATCCTCCTTAAACTCACCTTTCTCGATTTCTAGTATTCTTTTCCAAATCTTCCAAATAAAACGCTTTTTCAATAACACGGTTCCATTGACTGTAAGGAAAAAAACTCGCTCGCACCGGATGATAGAACAACATTTTAGCAAATTTCAGCATATTTTTATTTAATGCTCACCATCTTGCTTTCCTTGTTATTTGAGTCTGAGCAATCACCTGTCTGTGTAGTTTCACAAGATCTTTTTCCTCGTATATTTCTCGTATTCTGTCACCACCTCTCCCATCTTGATAGTCCACGAAGTCATCTGTTCCTCTGTTAAACGATTCTTGATCTCTTTCTGGACACTTTAATATATTTTAAACAAAACATAATGTATTTATGGTATCAGTAGACTTGCTCCAAGTTGAGTTGGGTTTTAAGTAGATCTATCCAGCGAGTACTGAGGTCCTGAGGTTATTGTTAGATCGGATCCATTCAACCAATTTTACAGTTAATACCTTACCTTGCTCATAATAACCTCGAGATGTTTTCTAAAGCGATGATTATATCTAATCGACTCACAGGCCTTTCGAACATCCTAATTTTGAAGAGACAAAATAACCGATTATTGAAGACCAATTTTCAGAAAATGATACTTGAAAATGAAGACAATGATAAGACTGCCAAACTTTAAAAGATGATCTTATAAGGATGATCTTAAAAGAGATCTGGTAAAAATTTGGAGCATCAATTTAAATTTATCTGGACATAAAATATTCTATTCTTGAGTGCAGGGACGCCGGGTCAGCAGAGCCAGCTGCCCCTCTTGAAAGCAGAGGAAAGGACGCAGAACGTTGCTCTTTCAACGTAAAGGATTGCATTGCAATTTGTTAATAAATCAGGTTTAGGCAACTCTACCAATACAGCCAACAAGCTTCAAGATGAATCCAATCAATCATTTGGTGGAAAACTCCCAAACAACGAAAATATCGAACAGAGAGAAAACGCAATGAGACAAAATTCAACTTGACGTTTTGCAAACAAAGCAATCCCTAGCGTGCGTCAATAGAAAAATGACGAAAATCTCCCCACCCCTCTGGTCTTCATATCGTTCCAGCAACCCTGCTTTTATAAACCCCTTACAGTTAAAACTTCGTTTAATTTCTCCTCTGCTTCTTCCTTCTCGGTGCTCATCTTGGAGACATTGAAATAGACATGTGCAAGTAGGTATTCCAGATTTGAAGAATGCCATACAGTTCTTGGTACCTCAACTAGACCATACCCCATGAGAAACACCAACAGCAGCAGGCCCCAGGTATTAGAAGCTGTTATACCAATGAGTTTGAGTTGTGTACTAGAAATTATTAGCACAAAACTTAATACAGGACAACAATCTGTATCAACATATTATCCTGGGACAACATTCCTCATTTCTCCTCATTCCTCATTCAACATTTCTTAGTGCATGTTTCATTCAAGTGACCTCTACATCTGTAACTTTTACCTCCATGTATTTTCTCATGACCTGGTAATTTGAAATCATTTTTATTCATATTTACCTAACTTGCTATAATATATTTTTCTCCCTACAGATTTGTTAAATGTATATTCATGTCTCTATGTCTCTGTCACATATAGTATGCTATGTGCATTGGTCATCCATCAAGAGCAAGTTTATGTATTGTAATTATAGTATGATAGCATATAATGTAATGTCTGATCCCTTATATTATAAGCCTTCAAAACAAAATCCACTTAAATACTTGCCCATTCAAATGAAGGTCTGGATGGAAGATGACATAGAGTAATAAACCAACAAAGATGATAAGGTAGCTACCATACCAAAGGGCATTTTCAAACAAGGCAGTTTTAATCTTGCCTTTTACTGTAAAATCTCCAGCATAGGAATATGATTGCATTATTGGCAAGACAATCCTAAAAAGAGAATTTGTTCAGTGAATAAAATAAAAATTCAGCTGTTGATGTTTTTTTACTATAGTGAAAATCTAAAATAATAAGGTTGTATTTCTCTATGTATTAAGTAAAATAATAAACTTGAACAAAATGCAAGCAGAATTTTATAGTGCTGCATACATCATGCAACAATGGAAACAAACAGTTATAGTCAAGCTTTTTTACCATGATAATATTTGTGATGACCAATAAACCACAAGCCAAAGATTAGGAAGGACATCTTCTGGCATGAAACTCCATGGTTTTTGACATGGCATATAATAGGATGTGTTCACTTCTCCATGAGTGGGTAATTTAGTTGTATTTGAGTCATTCTTTGGTGTAGAGGGATGAATGTTAATCGATGGTGAACTATGATCTTTTAGACATTGACGGTAGAATGCCTACATAGAGATAAAAAAACCCTGATAAAAAAAATCCAACAAAATGATATAATAACATAACATAATGCCATTATTCTATCCACTTCTAGGTGCATATGGTGCATTTCAAATATTATTAAACTGAAGTATAACTGAAACCTGGCAAGTAGGTTAAAATATAACTACTAGTACTACCTCACAATAAAATCCTACAAACCAGATTTTCCAAAGGCTATGTATTTATGTATGCTTATTTTCATCAATTTTAATACGGTATATAAATATCACTGCTAATGACCGAATGTACTGTGTAAACTATGTGATTAGGTGGAGAATAATTCAATAATATTTTACTTACCGATGATACATCTAGTGGCAAAACAAAGATTATCAAAAATGAGAAGAACCATGATGTAAAGACAGCTCCGGTAACAATATAATGTTGTTTTCTTAAATTTCCATACTGATGTAACACATACAACGTAACAAGGCAAACTAAAATAACTTCTACTGTAAAAGGAGCCACACTCATCTCCTGTGTATCACAACAGAAACTTACGAAATGATATGAATTCCATACAGCTCAATAGGACATTGTTTTGAGGAATTTTAGCCGGGAACAAAGCGGAAAAACGGTATTAAATAAGAGAATAAAATTATGTTAATAAAAGATCAAAAAAGACAAAAATTGCAAATCAAACAAAAACACTGGGTACCAGTCTTCAAACGGCCATTCAAAACTCCAAGAGACTATTGAGAATTCCAGCAAAAAATACTTTAGTAAAATCTTTAGTAATGCAAAAATACTTTCGGAATTGCTTTCAACCTAAACAATTGGGTTACTTAGTATACGTCCTAACTATCAATTGTATCAACTAAACTATTTCTGTGATGTTTAAATTTCCAGTTTTCCTATTTCGGCGGTTTTTGTACCGATATTTTTTTCGCAATACTTTCACCGCAAAATTAGAATTTAATTAATTAATTATTATGTAATTATGTTAATTATAAAAGCCTAGGCAACGTTAAGAGCAACAACGCTTCGAAGCATTTTGACTATTGATATTTAAAAGTGGCAATTGCTGCTATATTTTTTGGCATGAAATCTTCTCCTACTTCTGTCACATTTAGAAGCACTGTAAATTCTGAGAATGTATTAAACGAATCTCGCCGATCAGTGGAGTTAGATTCACACAGCGGTGAAGAATCGTCAACTAGCAATGATTCGGAAGAAACAACTACCCGGGACAGACTGTGCGTGGATAAAAGAGGTAAAGAAAGACCTCCATTAGGGTTTTATATAAACCGAACTGGTTTTCCTATTAAGGATTACGTTTGGGAGAGAATGTGGCAACATGTACAAAATGTCCACCCCAATGGATTTGGAATGTCGATGAAAATTCGCGGAAATGTAACTTTGCCCAAAGTGCCTGTTCCAAATTTACCAAATTTTACATATGGCATGGATGTTTCGACGAAGTTAGAACTGATTCAAAAGTACCTTTCTGAATTGAAGTACAATCACACTGGGACTCAATTCTTTGAGATACGAAAAGATAGACCATTGTGTGGTTTGATGGAGTCAGCAAAAGAAATGATCAGAGAATCTCTACCAATCAAATGTTTAGAGGCGACTATACTTGCTTTGCATCTTACGAATGGAATAGCTGGTCTACAAAGATTTACAATTGGTTTCAAGACTCAAACTAACACAACCTGGTTAAGTCATGTTGTTTTGGGCTTGTACTATAATGGGAAATTTGGAGCTCTTGGCTTGAGTCGTAGAGATGATCTCATGTACAAGGCACTTCAGTTTAAAACTTTACCTGACCTTATTGAGAATTATAAGACATGTTACAACAAATATTTTCATGTTTTAAAAAGGATTAAGATCAGTTATCCCGTGGCGCATGATCCGCATAGCTGTGAACGAATAAACTGGAAATATTTGACAATCAGTGTGGACAAAGTGGCTAAAGAGAAGAGAGTAGCAATGCTGGAAAGATATTCACGAGAGTTGAAGACTATGTCTCTTGGTTTTAGTAATAGTCCACAGTTTGCTAATGGAAAAGAATTCTTGTAGATGTCTGAAAATTGATTAGCTATTTAATTTAATAGCACCCTTACTGAATGTAATAATATATTTATATGAGAATTCTGTATGAAGAAAACTAGAACTTTGATAAAATAAACTGAAATATATATTACACCCAGACATGTGTGGTATCCTGATCTCTAACTACAACCAGAAAAATAAGTGCATGTTTCGAAAAATCAGTCATTTTTATCATTGGGTGTGTCTGGCCTTGTTAACTATGGCGATTGAAGCCTTTTTTCACTCTGAGTAACTTGGCATGCAAGGAGTTTTAGATTTTTCAAAATAAAAGAAAAATCATTGACCCCGGGGGTACGAGGCGAGATATCTCTATCCTGATTAGTGATCATCGTTGATTTCATCGTTGAAAACAATACATTTGAAAGCCTAAATACATTAAATACAATGACCATATGAAAACTAAAAAATGTCAAAATTATCAGTAAAATCTGCAGCGGGGGAACCGCAAAGGTAAAATCCATGCTCAGCGTTCGTATTGGTAGCCGTTCGTATAGGTATAGGTGAGCGTGGATAATATTGTGCCGGTATGGGTACCAATTTTACTTGTGTTAACTAAATTTTCAAACTATTTTCAAACTTTCAAATCTTAGTCCTTACTTTAGCACTATACATAGTTCATAACTAACTACGTGCCACCAGATACAGCCTTTTGACAAATACACAGAAAGTTATTCTCATGACCTAAACGGCATTGCACCAAAAAAGGTAAAATGCAGCCGTTGTAACAATGATTGGGAATTGCTATGACAATGGTTATTATAATTATATTCAATTTTATTGGCATAAGTAATTACGGCTTTTCAAGCGTCGTGCTTCAATTATGAGCTGAAGGCATTAAGAACAATAAATAAATCATAATCATTTAAGATCTCTCATTACCTATTTGTTTTAAATGCCTCCTTAGGCCAAGTTATACGTCGCATTTTGGTCGGTTCGAATCCAATTCAAACAATAGATAATGACAAATGAAAATTAACCCCATTAAGCTTCATTATCATCTCATTATCTATTGTTCGAATTACATTCGACGCCACCAAAATGCGATGTATATAACCTAGCTATAATATCGATAGCCTCGAGTTGACTTCACTTTGTCGATTGGTCAATTTAAAATATCAAACCAATCACCTGCGTTCATTTTTACCGATGATGCTGCTTAGCCAATGAAATGCACACATTCCAGGGCATACAATGCATACATGCATACTGAATTCTAACTCCCAAGTCCCAAAGTCAGGTTTATCCACTTGACAAGAATACATTGCAAGAACCAGGCGTTTTTGAAATGCGCGCTGAGAAGGGTTTCAGAACTGCTATCTCACTTCTCCAGGGAAATCTTCAAATAAACTGGTGAGTATTTTATCTTTGTTAGGGTCTCTTATATATGTTTTATAGCAGTTAGATCCTTATGCGCACCTGTATTTTTCATTGGACGATTGATTGCTCCTTTATATTCAATCTACGTTTTTCTGTTAATAGACAAATGCTTGTTTGAAATCTGACAGCGAAGCTGCTTGTTAAGATGACTTTCAAAATAAGGATGTGCTTAAAAATTGAACAACCATTCGAGATCGCCTCCAGGAATCTCAACAAAGGACGTCGCCGCTATTTCACTGATGTAAGTATGTTTAAAGTTGTTGATGCATGGTTTGATCCAACTTAATTGAGGACTGAATTAAGCTATGCCGCTCCCTAATGTTGCCTTCGAACCAGATTCAGGCCAGATTTTGCGTGTACTATTAATAAAACAAACACTAGTCAAAACCCATCGGATAAAACATGAGACAGGACTATATGTACGGCAATTTTGACCGGCAAGATTGTTGCATTATCAAAATTAAAAAGGCCGGTTAATAGTCTACTGCCTTAGCAGCTACGCTTTTAAACCCGTGGAGCAACTTTCACAAGCACGAAAGTGTTTCTAATCGGCACTGCATGTTTTACAAATTTCGACCTTATCGCTTCAGTGAAAACGATAAAAAATGTCCTGGGGTTAGATTAAAGTGAAAAATAAGGACGTAAAAGCATAAACTGGCAACACCTAAATACGAAATACTAGAAAGGAATAACGGACTTTCTGAAATCACCCAGGATTGAAATGGATTGTAAAATGTTCCAAAATAATAAAAATTGAATGCATGCATGCATGGTTAATTTCATGGGGCAGACCAAGCCCCTGTTTACATCATTGACATTATACTAGGTTCTGACCAGCCTGTGAAGGCTTTACGTAGTATAGAACAATGTAGAAAGGAGAATTTGATTTGAGAGCTAAAATATAGCTATTTTCCTATTCTTTTGCAGGTTTGCAGTTAGCACATCAAACGTGAACTTTTGTGACTTCATCTTAGCCAAACCAGACTATTGAGCAGACCAACTTCCAAAAACATGGATGCAATTATACCCAGTCGATACAACTTAATTTGACTTACAGTCGAATTTGATGCTGGTTATAAACTGACTTTATAAGCGAACAGTTTTAAAACACGAGGTCCGAAGCGACTCGTAGAGCGTCGTCTGAGCCAAAGAGACGACGTTTAATTGAGAAAGACGGTGGATCCTATGAAAACGACAACCGAACAGCGTACAAAAGGACGACCATGCAAACAGCATCGCTATGCTATGTAAAGAACGAGGATATTGCCTACGACTAACCGCAATGCCATACAAAAGACGAGGATTAAATATTATCTACGAAAAGCGAAATGTGAACGACGACCGCACGACGACGACCAGCAGAAACGCCGACCAACAGCAGAAACGCCGACCAACAGCAACGCCATGCAAAAAACCGATGATTACAGTGCGACTACGAAGTAGATGACCTGGCTTTCAAAGTTTGTGTTTTATTTTTTGTGGGGGCCCCTTAGGAATTCTTAAAAGCGGAATTAGTTCGGTCGAACGCAGTTCGGTCGATAAGCGGCGGTCAAACGCAGTTCGGTACCGGTGACTTCGGTCAATAAGCGGTTCGGTCAATGAGCGGTTATATATAGGCATGAAGGGTGGGCCCCATGAATTTCGGACTGTAAGAAATATTGCTAACTTCATGAACATTCATTTGTAAATATAAAGTAAATACAAGAATAAGTTTCTTTCGGACTATAAGAAAAATAGTCAAACGTACAATACGCAGCTATCATTAATATATATAGGCATGAAGGGTTGGGCCCCATGAATTTCGGACTGTAAGAAATATTGCTAACTTCACGAACATTGTAAATATAAAGTAAATACAAGAGTAAGTTTCTTTCGGACTACAATAAATATAGTCAAACGTACAATACGCGGCTATCATACATAGGCATGAAGGGTTGGGCCCCATGAATTTCGTAGTGTAGAAAATATTGCTAACTTCATGAACATTGTAAATATAAAGTAAATACAAGCATAAAATTCTTTCGGACTGTAAGAAATATGGCTAACTTCATGAACAATTGTAAATATATAAAGTAAGATTGGAATATAAGACATAAGGACAGTTACATAAAGGTTGTAAATATAAAGTAAATAGAAGCTTGATTTAAGTTGTAATGAGATAGTGTTTTTTTAAAGGAGGAATGGATGGATATACCAAAGCTTTTATGACATAAGAGAAAAAGAGGAGGAAAAATAAAAAATGTTAAAAAATCCATATAGCAAAATATGTTATGTGGTAAGTAAAAAAGAACCTATTGCAAGTAAGTGATAAAGGTTTTTGTAAATAAAAAATTGCTGTTAATAGAAATACTGTAGTTAAAAAAGAAAGCATAATCTATAATTTTATAGGATATGGCTTCTTAAAACAAAAATGTAACTAGAAATAACTAGGACTTTCCATTTCAGGGTAGTTAGTTACGCACCTTTTTTTCAGGGTAGTCAAAATGTAGACAAACGATCCAGGCAACTGGACATATGCATAAACCTTGTTAATATAAAGTAAAACAAGCGTAGTTTAAGGATGCTGAAGCTATGAAGACGGATGGCACAAACTTCGATCGTGGCTACTTCTTCAACTAACACCTCTTTTCTCTTTTTTAGGATACTAACTCCATTTTCTTTTTTAGAATATTAACTTCATTTTCTTTTTTAGAATATTAACTCCATTTTCTTTTTTAGAATATTAACTCCATTTTCTTTTTTAGAATACTAACTCCATTTTCTTTTTTAGAATACTAACTCCATTTTCTCTTTTAGGATATACTAACTCCATTTTCTTTTTTAGGATATACTAACTCCATTTTCTTTTTTAGAATGCTAACTTCATTTTTTTTTAGAATGCTAACTCCATTTTCTTTTTTAGGATATACTAACTCCATTTTCTTTTTTAGGATATACTAACTTCATTTTCCTTTTTAGAATGCTAACTCCATTTCCTCTTTCAAAATACTAATTCCATTTTTCTCTTTTAGAACACTAACACCTCTGTTCTCTTATTTAGGGTACTAACTTACTTCATACTATTTTTGTCTCTTTTCTAGGGTAGTTAATAGTCTCACTAACAATTCTATTTTAGGGTTACTAACTCCCTATGTCATACTACTTTTGTCTCATTTCAGGGGTGATGATTAGCCTCAAGGTAAGGTTACTAACATCTTTTTCAGATTGATTTCTGTGATGCCGACAAATAAGAGCCAAAGCAAGACTCGAAATAAAAGAAAATTTCTGATTAAAGCCTAGTCTATGGCCACCCCGGAGGCGAAGAAAGAGATTTATTCCAGAGAACCGTATATAGAATGAGCTGCAGTGAAGTCTTTTTTATTTGGGAAGACGTTTGAAATACAATACATTTTTCTCTTTTAGAACACTAACACCTCTATTCTCTTATTTAGGGTACTAACGTATTTCATACTATTTTTGTCTCTTTTCTAGGGTAGTTTATAGTCTTACTAACAATTCTATTTTAGGGTTACTAACTCCCTATGTCATACTACTTTTGTCTCGTTTCAGAGGTGATGATTAGCCTCAAGGTAAGGTTACTAACATCTTTTTCAGATTGATTTCTGTGATGCCGACAAATAAGAGCCAAAGCAAGACTCGAAATAGAAGAAAATTCTGATTAAAGCCGGCCACCCCCGAGGCGAAGAAAGAGATTTATTCCAGAGAACCGTATAGAATGAGCTGCAATGAAGTCTTTTTTATTTGGGAAGACGTTTGAAATACAATACTCAAGAAGAAAATAGATTCAAGACTCGAGATTCCAGATTCCAAGGTTTACACCCTCAAAGAAGTAAGAACCACTGAACTTGCTATATTAGTTTACTCAAAAATAAGTATAATAAACGTTATTCTTGTCTCACTGTGTGAAGCAGTATTGATGTGTTGTGGTAAATATTCATTCTTTTCTTAATTGTATCTTACAGATCAAAATGGCCATTTTTTTCGTGTTGATTCAAACGGCGGTTTCTCGAAGACGTTTCTCGTGCTGCGTGAGTCGTGGTTTTTACGCAATGAATTTTACTTCAACATGTCGAAATGAACTCTCAGACGTTTTAGATAATGACAGTAAACCTAATTAGGTACAATGCATGTTACTGTGAGAAGTATATATAATTCACAGTTTTTTATGCATGTTACACAATTGCTTTTTGTTTTTGACTCTTCACAATTCCCAGTGCTCTAGAAACGCCAATCAAGCAGAAGTCCACCATAAGGGCTCGTGTGACTTGTGTTATGAAAAAAGCATGTGAACGCTATAATTCCGGCCATTGATTTTCACTATGAATTCCATCCTGTTTGGCTGAAATGTTTGCAGTATAAACGTTCAACTTAGGGTGCGCAAAAAAACAGTCTAGGTTCAGTAATAAACCGTAAACCTAAACTAAAAGTTAAACCTAATCAGTAAATCTAAATCTCTAGGTTATTGTAGGCATTACAGTCATTGAGGATCCGATATATTCATAGTGAATTTGCTCTTGAAATTTTTTGATATTTCGGCTTTTTTTTCCTGTCGTTTTCTGTCAATACACTGACGAAAGAGCACTGGGATATTTTGAAAGTTTAACACTTAAATTTCGATAGAAACAGGGCGATCGATTCGTGTCCAGAAAAAACAAAAAAGTGTATAAGTGATTAAAACCGAAGTCTTATCATTAACACTTTGTTTGCTTTCATGGTTGCAAAGACTCGCAGCAATGTCTTGCTTTTACTGCAGTATGGGTTAAAGAAAGCTATTATTATGATTGAATCAGTTTGTCAGTGTATATACAGTAATATGAATACTTGTAGTAACTAGTAAACGATATTCTTTTTACAAGAAAAACAATTGTAATTTAACCGTGAATTACTCCATGCAAAAATGTATGTAAATTATATTATACCGATGAGGGCATTTGTAAAATATAGTAACCAGGCAAAGTTTGTTCATCTGAGAGTTCTTTAATATGCATTGAACATATATTTTAGAATTGACTTAATATACTAGTTTTACTTCACCTTTACTTACTTAATTTTTTGAACTGGATTCTTACTTGAAAATTTGAGTGTTTTTGTCGAGACAATAAGAAATTGTGCCGGAGACGGGGAAGGATTTTTCTTGGGCTAGCTTGCCTCGACACGGGCGAAAAACAAATACATTTCTTTGGCGGAGACGAGAAAAATTTTAGTAGCCCAAGCTATTAGACAAAGTGGCCCAAGACAAACTCCTCCCGTCCCCGAAAAAACTAGGAAAATTTTAAAAAAGTGAAGTTTTGAAATTTGTCAAAGTATGATTTTATGTGTTCTGATGTATTGTTTTCATGAAAGAATGCAATTCTAATTAATTCTGAAGCATTTCCACTTATTTTCAACCGAACTTTGAAATTTCAAAAAAATTAACGAAAATTAGGATTTTTCCTTTGGTCCCCCGTTGCGGATTTGGGTGAAATTATGAAATTTATCAAAGTATGATTTTATGTGTTCAAATGTATTGTTTTCATGAAAAAATGCAATTCTAATTAATTCTGAAGCATTTCGACGTATTTTCAACCGAACTTTGAAATTTCAAAAAATTGACGAAAATTAGGATTTTTCCTAATCGGTCCCCCGTTACCGATCTCGCTGAAATTTTGAAATTTATCAAAGAATGATTTTATGTGTTCAAATGTATTCTTTTCATGAAAGAATGCAATTCTAATTAATTCTGAAGCATTTCGACGTAATTTCAACCGAACTTTAAAATTTCAAAAAATTGACGAAAATTAGGATTTTTCCTAATCGGTCCCCCGTTACCAATCTCGCTGAAATTTTGAAATTTATCAAAGTATGATTTTATGTGTTCAAATGTATAGTTTTCATGAAAAAATGCAATTCTGATTAATTCTGAACGATTTCCACGTACTTTCAACCGATCTTTGAAATTTCAAAAAATTGACGAAAATTAGGATTTTTCCTAATCGGTCCCCCGTTACCGATCTCGCTGAAATTTTGAAATTTATCAAAGTATGATTTTATGTGTTCAAATGTATTGTTTTCATGAAAAAATGCAATTCTTATTAATTCTGAAGCATTTTGACGTATTTTCAACCGAACTTTGAGATTTCAAAAAATGAGGAAAATTTTTCAGTTTGGTCCCCCAATGTCGATTTGCCCGAAATTTCGAAATTCATCAAAATATGATTTTATGTGTTCAAATGCATTGTTTCATGAAAGACGTTTCAAAGTA